TTCATTTTTATTTCCGAATATCCAAAGTCAATATCGACAGCGAATCTTGTTTAGATATTACTACCATAAATTGAGCCCCATGCCTGCCTCCTCAAATAAAAAACAGTGTTCTTCTCTTCTTCATATATTCTGGTACGTATTCTCCTGTGAAGGAAAACAACATGAGGAATATGACAGGAATATTTACGAAATTAGGATAAACTCCCTTATCCCCAAATATAGGCCCCATAAAATATCTAATTCATCTGCGGGGAATTGTATTCGTATGTTTAATTTTTGCCAGTCGAGATTTCAAATTTATCGATAAATAAATTTAGGAAAGTTATAAAATTCAGATTGTCTCAAAGGGCGCATTATTGTCTGAACGATTTCTTTCATGATAAGACGCCGGGCAGTAATATGAATTTCTCGTTAGGTTAATAAATTCACAACAATGTATTAGTTTATAAGGCATGTTAAAAAGCGGACTTAGTTTCTTGGGTGTTCTTCTCAGTTAGGTTGCTCGACGAACGCACAGACAAACATTTTTAAATTTTTTTGACGAATCTAGATACATATTTTTCAAATTTTAAAGAGAATAAAGCATATTTTATATTACTTTGACATGTCTTGGAACTAGGCCTACTAAGCATTTTGCCACCGTGGTAATTAAGGCACCAACAGTGGTATCTCAGCTGTGGGAAATATTTATGAGCGCGGTAAGGGAAGAAATTTCTAATTCTTGTATCAAAAATAAACTTACAGTTTCGGAAATGCCGAGCTCCACGAATTTGTCACGTCGATTTGATTAGATCTAGTGGTTTTTAAAGTCAAAATAGATTTTCCCAAATCTGAACATTGTTACGATTTATCTCAGAAGAATCGAGTTAAGCCTATATTAAAGCGACACTGAAAGGCTTTTAGCATATCGTAACGAATTTAAAATAGTTCATAAGAAGTTAAAAATAGGGTATAATATCGATCAATAGAGACAGCCCGCACTTAAAGCTAGCCCACACTATAGATTGTCCATACTCACTTTACGAGTAGATCACTCGAGTAGGCTCTGAAGTGCTCTCAGACTGCACATCGCATAGAAACCTTCGCTACATAGGTACAGATCACTCGACCTGATGAAACACAACCTTCATTTATACAGCAATCTAAATATATCCCTATTCGAAATATTTCAGCAACATTCGCTGTATAGGTGGAAATGAAACGAAAAACATTTTCTTCGTTGTTTTATTAATAAGTAATGACAGACCTAAATATTGCCAAAGTCGCACATACCAATCGATCACATACACAAAACTCCAATAGTTTAAATATGTAGGTATCGTTTTATATACATAAGCTTTTGAAAAATATAAATCACTGTTATGTGTACATTTCCCTAAGTATAGGTAAATACAATTTTTCCAAAAATGATTTTAAATTGAGACAACCATTTGATTTAAAAATGGAAAATAAATTGAAAAAAAATTTTTGACTCGGGTAGGAAATGAACCGGCATCGTCAGCTTTTCGTGCTGTTGCTCTACCAATTGAGCAACCGAGTCCTTTACCTAATCGTTGAAAAAAAAATTTTTTTTTTCAATTTATTTTCGATTTTTAAATTATATAGTGCCTTCATGTGCAATAACATGTTAAAAAATAATACAGCTTTCAAACAATCATTTGATTTAATTTTTGTGCCCTGCCCGATTGTCAGTCGAGTCGTATCAGTCAGGAAATAAGAAACAAAAATAAAATCTTTATTTTGTCGAGAACCGAACTTCTCGCGATTAACGGATAAGGCTAACCATTGTAGCAAGGATGTGTTCAAAGAAATATAATACGACACTATAATTAACATCAAACGTAATGTTTTCACTGTAAAAAGATATGGGAGAAAGAACCAGAATAACAAATATGAACAAAGTAACGGAAAACCCTTATCACTGTAAAAGAATCGTCTCGATACGTCGTTACTTCCTCTGCCCCGTTACGAAGTTTGGGAGATGATGGCAGACCACTTGCATCAAATAAGGTTAATAACGTGACTATACTTATGGTAGAATTAACTCGTTAGGGAAATACTGTTTTTATGGCAAGGCTAGAATGTCATATGTAATAACATTCTTAACGATTCATATTTTTATCCTTAATTTAGAAGACGGCCTATCGCACTTATCAGCCTACAGCGAAAAAGGACAATGTTAAACACACTTACGCTTTATAAAAATTAATTGTAACATAATACAAAACTTTTAGGCAGTGCTTCGTTACATAACGTGCTTAAATTAAATTAAATAACAAAACAGGTTAGTTTAAATAAAACATTTTCGAATAAGTTTAACTAATATATCGCGTTTTAAACCGTTAAAGTGTTTTATTTAAATGTGTACTACTCGCGTAAACTATAGACAGTATAAAACAGGTTAGTACTTACTAAAACTAAATTAATATTTCTGTAAAAATAATTGTAAATTTAAAATAAAGTGAATATATGTCAGGCTCTTGAGTTTTCGAGTTGCACGGCAGTCGTAATTAAATCTAATATTATCAATTAAAACTTTATTGCACAATAAAAACTTACTTATTAAAAACATCACTATTATTATACTTAAAACTTATATACTAAAATGGAATACAATGGGCGGCCTGATCGCTAACAAGCGATCTCTTTCAGGCAACTCAGAAGAATTAAAAATTTATTCTTGACGTTTCGCAATCACAAGTGGATGACATCAAAAGATGTTGAGTATTCTTCAAAGCGAAGACTGTCAATTGTGACGGCCGACCATCTCGAAATTCCAAGTAGCCTCGCCAATGGCAGCGAAAGCCTTACACAAATTATAAATATTCCTCAGTTTATGCGATCATTGGTTGTGATTTTGGTTACGAATTATTATTGAGAAAACATTTCCCTGCGATGATGAACAACTCTTTTGCTAACACAATAAATACATTAGAAAAAGTTGTTCATAAGTCCTTGTTTCATTAACAAAGGGACTGAAGAGTTCTGAAAATACGCATTGCTCTAGGCGAGTTTCACTTTTAATTATTTAGTTGGTATCGGAAGGTGAGTTAAGCCTTTTCAGGTATATGAATAGTATATTCGTACATGTATTTTCATGTGAAATATTCGTTCTTAGAGCAATGTTATTTCGCATACAATGGCATTACGGACTAATTAATATACGTAGTAAAAAGTTTAAAAGTATCAATAGTATATGTATATAGAGGAATGCCATTAGAAATACTAAGAGATAAGAATAGCAAGTATATAATATTATAGTTCATATGTATTAGTTTCCTGGTTCAATTGATATGGCGAAGTTTAAAACGTTTTTAAAGTCGAAACTAGCTGTTGGTCGTTCTTTTATATAAAAAAAGAAAGAGTCTATCTACTCAAACTGAAAGAATAAATAACCCACTTTTAAGTATTTAGAAGCGAAATATATGATAACGGAGTGACACAGCTGTTGTAAAGATTACCTAAACATTAAACGTATCAAATATAATTCGCGTTTTAATACGTTAAAAGTGTTTTATTTAGTCTCGTATAAACAATGCACGATACTTAAAACAGAAAGGTTTAAGATTTACAAACGACAATATTACATAAAAGAGCTACATTTCTCGATTAAACAAGACAGTTGGTGCGCATAATCGTTGCAATCTTTTAAATACAAACTTTCCCAAATTCTCACTCACCGACACTCCTAGATGAATGATGCCTAACCTAAAACTTCGATATAACTGTTAACACAGAGGTTATAACACTTACAACTTAATTCAATGACTCAAAAGATTATATTGTTTATTATAGTTGTATACTAAATTAGACGAAAAATAAACAATCGTTGTAAAAAATTTCAGATCATATAAAAAAGAAGATCGATACAGCACAGAGTTGGAGAAGAAAAGGAAAATACAAGAAGTCTACAACTATGACATTATACAATGACTCAATTGCTCTAACTTATATGAGATTACATATCACCTACAGTACAATAATAATTATTACTTAAATTATACAATTACGATTATTAAAGCAAATCTACTCTACATTCTGGGAATGTATAAACTCTACAGCTAATTCATATAACTATACAACAAATAAATTATAAAAAATATATTGTAAACAACACGATATCCGTCAAGACTTAAAATAAATACTAAAATACAAAGAGACTCTTCGATCAATCTTTGGAAGAAAAGCGACACTAGCGTTGTTCATGCATTACGTTATACAAAAAGTATTACGTTTTTAGGCGGTCAAGTGGCGATATGAACACAAGCTATTCACGTTCAATTTGAAAACAAGCACATTTGAAAATTGATTTATAATACAAATTATAATATCACTACCAAACTAAATAAAAGTTTCCCACAAACATCAAAGCCTTCTCCTCCAGACCATAATATTGAGAAATTTGTTTAAAATATTATAAATTTCGTGTTATCGTTAACCCGTTAGTTATAACAGTAATTGACTTATAAGCAATGCATTTACGAGAATTTTGTTTACACAAAAGTCAAACTAGTTTTATATTGTCATTAAAACACGAGCGCAGGTAGAACGCAATTTTTTGTGAAACATCCTACCTTCAAAAATGTTTATGAACTTTTAAATCACATTTTATTTAAGCTTTCCATAACACCCAAAAATCATAGTTAACTTCACTTCACATTCGAATCCTTCACAAATCTTTATTTTACCTTAATGTGTTAATAATTTAACACAATATCAAATTAAGTATAAAACTCAACAACAAAAAGAAAACAAATGATTTGCTATTGTAAAAGACTCGACGTATTTATCTAGGTTCGACGCGTTCTGCGTAAACGTATTGTCCATAAATGATATTATGCAGATTAGACAATAGTATATTTGAGAATTATTGTTAACCTTTTGCACTCTGCCATCCTTATAACAATGCGACCAATAGTGAAAAGTAAGAGGTTTATTAGGTCGTATTAATTGAATACCGGCGCAATGGCGAATGCTTCGGGCGACACGTCCATCTCGTGTTATAGTGGCTGATTGGACGTTTCTCCGGGGAGAGAGTGGACTCGCGCTGACAGAAGATTGTGGAGAATGAATACAGCGGGCTTCGGGCTGCCTTCCATATCCAGCTCCTATTGGATAAATAATATTAGATTATTTATGATGTATTTTTTCTAACTTGGCGCAAGCAAAAGACCACAACAAATATGGCCGATTTCAAATCACAGAGAACTAGAGATGACCTGTTATAGAGTGAAGTGGTTACCACAGATGACATAGTATAAAGAAATTGATCAGTTGATTATATATGGACCAAACAATCTCAATATCGATAATAACTTTATGACGATATTTTGTAAAAAAAATGTGTCGTTTTTAGAGGTCGTGCATGAGTGGGACTTCTACCTTCTATTGTCGTTGTCTTTGCCTACTTACAACATTCATTTTTACGATGTTTATTAAATTGATTTTAGCATGAAAAGTTGTTTTTATTACGTGAACTCCAGTTCATTAGTTTAATATTTATTCCAGTGTTTCAAGGTGCTTCAAGTGTAAACCTTCTGAGAAAAACTTTCCAAGTTAGAAAAATACACTAAAGCCGTATAAATATTTACCAAAGTGTCATCATCTGCGAAGTGTAGCCATAGAGCAGCACGGTCGTCATCCGCCGAAGCTCTTAGCGCATGCAGCGGTCGGCGATAGAGGGCGCGCGCTCCGCCACGACCCAACGACCCCGCCGCCTCCCACACACAAACCCCGCCTGTGCCCAAAGACAACCTTGCGCACGCGCCTCTATAGCGGCAACCTGCAGAAATAAACATTTTTTTATATGTAAATTGTATTGCCTCGCATTGACCTCAACGCGAGAGATTCTTGGTTTAAACAAGAACAAAACGTGGTAAAATGTTTCGGTTGAGCCAAGTAAATTGATACTACCTACTTTTTTCTGACAGATAAGGTTGGAATTTGTTCTAACCTTATTGTTGGAGAGACTGTCTTTTATTAGGAGAAAGGATGGCATGGATTTTAAAGTAACAGTTTATGCCTTTAAAGTATTCTTTTATTGTTTGCAAATGTTGTATAGTAGTTTGGTAAAATGGGAAAAATATTATACGTTATTGTCGGCTAACGCCATCCAGTGAAAGCGATAGTAAAATACTATAATAATACATAATACATATATTTATACTAACGGAAGGTGAATTCAGGTTGCTCCCTGACAGCGTGATGGGCACCGTCCACTAGTGCTCCGGCGACTGCGGCGAGGTCATGAGGGGTATCAGCTCGCAACGACCGTACTATCAGTCCAGCCGCCGTGCCTGCACGCACTCCTAGAGCAGCAGCCCCAGCTCCGCCCCGCCTCCACCAAGCCAACCTAGTGGCAGCGAGGCCAAAACACTCGCTTGGTGCACACCACGCCTCCGCTGACCAGGGCGCCGCTTCGTAGAGTCTGAATAAAACATGCAATTGAAAAATACTAGCTGACCTAGAAAACTTTATTTTACCATAATATGAAGTATTTTAAAGACAAATTATGGTAAGGTAAATGTACCATTGGTTTCTATTCATCATATTAATTTTACCTTAACTCGCGATCTGTGATTGCTACAAACGTTGGCTGCCAACCTTCAGCCTCATCGGACTCATCCGAGCCAGCTGATGCACCGATCTGTAGCATTAAATAATATGTTAAATTGAGCAAGAAAACTAGAGATGTTACAAATATGCCTGAATGTTCTGAATTTCCAAAACCAAAATTGGTTGACAGCATATCTTGTTTAGATGTTATATGGCTGGGTTATCATCATTCAGGAGGAACTTGATGGTTCATTAGGTACACCTCATTCTTATCCGTCCTCCTCTATCAAAAAAATTTTATAATATCTATAGTATACAAAATATAATAGATTGAATATCGTACATGTTCTTGAGGTGGTCGCCGTGCCAGCCATCCGGCATATCTGACGTCACCAATCACGGGACGAAGCCGAGGCCTAGCACGCGCCAGTGCCGCTCTGCACGCTCGTCTGGCGGCCGCATGCAAAGATCGGTGCCAACCCGCAGCCGTATTATTACAAGGGGCTCGCAAGGCTAACGCATGCACTCCATCTGGAGAGTAGATCTCAATCGTGCGCTCCTCTGTAAATTAATGTCTTACGTTAAAATCACTTCGCCACTTCCAAGAATTGTAGACGCATTACATGTGCATATGACATGAACTATTTTTTGCTCAGGTAACAGAAAGTTGGTCATTGTTAAGTAAAAGTCAGGTAATGAAATCAATTTGGTAGTAAAAATACCCTGCATAACATATTATATTGCATTTTACTATGTTGTCGAAAGAAGCATCAATCTATATTAGAATATATATCTAGAGATGATAACAAAGAACTAAAGATGGAACATATAATAAGATTTTTCAAAGAAACTGGTAGGTTTGAAGAGGAGACATGATGGCCCAATCCACAGTAAGGGGTTAATAATTACCCAGCTTACTACCAGTGTCCACAATAGAATATAATAATAATATAATGTTGTAGGCACACTGTATAAATTAAGTAAGACATATATTAATAAGTAAAAAAAATTGTATTGTATAAATTTACACTATTTACCAGGATCATGGTGGCGCAAGTTTCTGGCAACACATGCCATAAGCAATGGCACATATCGTGTGTCTGCACGACGACGTCGTGGGGAAGGCGGTGAAGGTGGTGCTTCCATCATATACCCTCTTTGCAACTCCCAGCCAACTTCACTTATTATTGATGCCTTTCGGAAGTATGGAGTCACTTCTCGCAGATATTTCACTAAAAACATTATTATATAGTATAGTAAATACAAATACCTACATTTTTAAAGCAGCAGAATGAGAGGAGGCTGCTGTCATAAAAGTTCTATTGCTAAGCACTATTGTATTATATTGTTTTAATTGTAATTTTTCAATCTCCTTAACATATTTGTATGATGTGGGTTTATAGTTGATTATAAAAATATTATTATAAAGAATTCTTTTTATTATATTTGCAATGAAAAGAATATATTATTATGTATTTGTAACTGTTGTTGTTAAGTATGTTGTAGTCTTACCTTCAAGTTGTACCATTTTACCAGCCCTTTTCAAAGCTTTTACTGCTTCCTCATGTGTTGCATCCTTTAAGTCTTCCCCATTTACAGACAATATGGCATCTCCAACATAAAGTTGCTCTGTAAGATCAGCTGCCATACCTTTGAATATTTTTGAAATTAAAATAGGCATGTTGTTTTCAATGCCTCCCTTTATGGATATACCTAGACCATTGTTGTCCGATTTCACAACCTGTACAACTCGCTTTTGGTTGGCAATGGCTTCAGGTACCTCTGTAAAGTCGCTGTTAGGTGTTTCTACATTGTTGTTGTTTAAAGTACCATTTAGAGTCGTGGTTGCATCATAACCATCATCCAAACAAACGCTAAGATAATCATCTTCAAGTGAACAGTGTACGCGATACCACACACCCCTCACCAATGTTTCTAGTAATCCTGATCGTACACATGTAGCATTCGGACTCTCACTACCACCACTGGAGCCTCCGTTCTCCACCATAATTTCAATAGCAAGTTAAACACTGGAAACAATTAACGCCTTACTACCTAAATGTCACACCTTGATATTCCGCAATTTGTAGCAATGAATACTTAAGGAACAAAATTTCAATAATTCGTTAATTCTAAATGTCTTACAGTGCAAACACACGAAAACATTAATATAAAACACTAGTTTTACTCGAAATCACAATCAATAATTACATTTAATACAACAGAATTGAATTCAATTGCCAATTGACCTATGCATTTGACTTTTGTATTGTCAAGTGTCAAACCATCAAGTCTTAACTCTGGCGAAATATAAATTTATATACAGTTTTTATTTAAACATTACGCATTTTAGCTAATTTTTTTACCTGTGCAGGATGTGTAGGAAACACTTTTCACCTTGAAGATAGAGATATTGAAAAAAGAAAACAAAGAAGGAGTTTGCTGAAAGATCTTTGTTTTGTAATGACAGTGATTGATGTTACTTGTCAATTGTCATCTATTTGATTGTTCCAAACTCAATATCATTTACGTTTGTTTATTTGTTGTTATATTGATATTACGGAAAAGTAATTTATGCCAAGTTTTTCCAAATAAGGCGAAATATTTACTCACAATAATGAAGTGTAGGGCGTGCCTCGTAGAAAATACTGAACTCTTTCTACTTGATGAAACTACTGTATCAAGTTTCAATTGCTTAACAAGCCTCGATGTAAGTGAGATTTTCGTTAATATCTTTTACTCGACTGGTAGTAATTGAGGTAGGGTATAAGTGAACTGAACAACTTTTTATATATGTTTTTGTTCATTACATTAAAAGACACACAGACCATATAAAGTATTTTCATATAATTTAAGTTCTTCCTTATATCTTTATGTTTAATAGAGCAATGAGGATGTATTAGTATCGAAATCAGTTGTATTTAAATATACATTACTATAATAAATTATTAAACTATTATGGCATATTCTAGGTCAAAATAAATGATAAATTTCCTCAACATATTTGTCCAGAATGTTATTCTCTATTAATTAAATTTCTACATTTCCGGGATACATGTATTTTTTCTGATACAGTATTGAAAAAAGGATCTATTGAGGTAAGATCACAATGATTTCATAATGACTTTATACCTATTTGTTTTTTGTTGATTTGTAATTCTGATTTTAGATAAAAATTGAAGTTAAACAAGAGGCTTTAGATTCGAACAGTGATGAAAATGTATCAAATTATGATGATTGTGTGGTTACCATAACACCCACAAAAGATAATATTGCTTTATCAGAAATTTTAAAAATAGAAAAGAATGGTATACTTTCAAAAAGTAACTTTGTGCATTTGTAAGAAACATATGTACTATTATAGTAATATTTTTTAGATGTTAACCCTCAAAAGAAAAGAAATTTGACAAGAAATCAGTCAACAGTAAAATCACAAGAAAGAAATAAAAAAAAATGTCTCTCCACAATAAAACCCAAAATTAAAACAAGAAAAGGAAAAGAAGTTGTTGTGAAGAGTGAAGCGATATATACTTGTGGTAATAGAACTCTCCTAAGCATGTTGTAAACTTAGTAAATTCCCTAACTAACTCTATTTTACAGGGCTTTGCCCAGAGACTTTTAACGCTGAATCAATCTATAAGAAACATTTAGAAAAACATGAAGAAATGAAAACATGCTCAATATGCCCCTCTACATTTGAGGATAAATATCAGATGTTGGCTCATCGACTGAAGCACCTTCCAAATCGAGAAAAGAAATGCTATATTTGTCTAAAAGGTTTCCGTAAAGAAATCCATTTAGAATTTCACTATAAAAAGAATCATTCTAATGAAACTGTAAGTTTTTAGACACTATTCTTATAATATTTAGGAGTCTAGAGGCCTTGAATAGTCATATGAAAAATTGCTTCCTTTAAAGAATCTAAAAAACTCTCATCTTATTTAGGTACACAACTAACAATATCTCCATCTTCTGTTTGTTGTACATGATTACCCTTTTCTGCCGAAATTGACAAAAATATTTATTCCACCAAGAAAGTTTTTTTTTTAATTTTATCCATGGTGGGGTTTATATAAACAATATCTGTGAAATAGAAATTGTTTAAAAACGATTATTTTGGCAATAAATTTTTTATGAAATATTTGTATGTTTCAACAGAATGTGTCCTGTAAGTGCAATATTTGCGGTAAAACTTATTCATCGCCGCGTCGTCTCAGAAAACATGAACTAATCGTACACAAACCAGCTCAAGTAATTTGTGATTATTGCAAGAAAATGTAAATATTAATTTTAATACTATAAATAAGTTCTTAACTACTAAATAATTAAGGCTCTAGTTCTAATACCTTTTTGATAGTGACAAATAAACATTTAAATAAATCACTTTTAACGGTTTTTAACGCGATATACCGGCGATTTAAACCGTAACAACTGTTGTATTTAAACATGTACTACTCGCTAAAGTACAGAACATTATTCAACAGACATGTGGTCAATGTGTATTGTTATTGAATTATACAACTCAGTAATTTGAGTTAATCGTTTTGATCTAGATGATAAAATAAGTTTTTTTTTTCAGTTTTGGCCATAAAGACATCTTAAGAGTCCACATAGAGAAGCATATGAATAGAAAAAGGTTTATTTGTCAGTTATGTCATTATGCAACTAACTACGGTGCTCTATTAAGAGTAAGTACTCTTATTGGCGTTGACATATTGTATTGTAATGAAGGATTATCACTGATCGATTAAGTTTTTTATTCTGAAGTTCATCACACTGCTGTTCTATCCGACAGAAATAATTTCCTGTTTCCCCAAGTTTTGACCCCAGGACTCTTGATTTACTCACTTTCGTTGCTAAGCACGTTTAACCATTAAGTTATAACCAAAAGGGATGCATTACATACGCCTTCTTATGATTCCAGAAACATCACATAGACAAGCATACACTGGAAAAGGTTAAATGTAAGAATTGCGGAAGTGTGTTTAAGGATCAAACGGCGTTAGAGAGGCATTTATTAAAATGTAAGCAACGATCTCCAACTGACATTTGCCCGGTGTGCGGCAAAGCTATTTTGAGGAGTTCTAGGGTATGGCTCTAATACATACATATATTCAAAACGAAAGTTTAGAATTTCACCAACTTTTTAGTTTAGAGTATTTCCATTAATCAATCTTTTCAACACCCTACTGAGTAACGGTCTCTTTTTTTATTGGAGGGTTTAAACGTGGGTAGGCAAGCTTAAACTACCGTCATCAGATTAATGATGATAGCTGGAACTGATGGCTTCCCGACCATTGAAGAATGCAATCTATGAAAAGCGGGGGTGATTACACCTACTTCAAAACTCCAGACTGTTTTTTTTTTTAATATTCTAATTACCGAACTAACATTTCACCCGAACCCGGATTTAGCAGTAGAGCGTACTAACAACTAGACTAATAAATACTTAACTATAAAAAATATACTTACTTAGGATTTTGTTATAGTTACGGAAACACATGGAAAGCCACTCAAATGTTATGGCTTATAAGTGCGATAGATGCCCCGCGGCATACAAATCGCGGATGGCTCTTAGGGTGCATATAGACAAACACGACGGCATTCGACGATTTAAGTGCGAATACTGTCCTATGGCCTTTAGAAGCGATACAGTTCTTATCAAACATCGTAGAGTTCACACAGGTAAAAAATTAACCCCAAGTAGGTACCATAGTACGTCTATAATCTATATAATAATTCTATCTTAATATTTTTATCTCGTAAAATTCACAAATATCTATGTATACGGCACGGATCTTTAGCGCTAACAAATCCTGCGCAGAAGTCAAAAATAAGGTATCAAATGGACGGAAGCTGGGCGCGGGGCGAGTGAACGTAGTGCGCGCTAGCTTTGATTGTTCCCCAGTCGTTTTGTGTTTCTCGGACCAATACGACGCTCCGCTTGCTTCTCGTACAGTCACGTACACGTGGTACGATGCGCAACTACCCCCTCTACATTTCGTTCAGCGCTAAAATCCGTGCCGCAACTTTCAACTCTAATTCGTTTATAGGTAAAGCTTTAAGTTTAGAATTACAGGTTCCAAAAAGAACATTCTGATTTAAATAGAACAGTTTAACGGTTTGTAACGCTAAATATGTTAGTTAGTTATTTGGTCTCCCCGTGACCACGGCTGCTGCAAAGCAACCGAAACGTCGGGCCGTACTAGTCCCGTAAACTACAGATATTATTTAAGAATATTCTGAATTAAAAATCGCTATTCCAGGTATCAAGCCATACGTTTGCAAAATTTGTCAAAAGGGCTTCACTGGAAACCACAACCTCAAAGTGCATATGAAAGTGCACGGCATCACAAACTTGATCAATAAGAAGAACGACAAAGAAGAGCAGACACAAAGCATGTTCACAAATTCAGTCATATAGAAATAAATAAATAAATAAAACCACCTTATATTTGTATAAATTAATATAATGGTTTACATCCAAGTAAAAAAGTAAATGTATCACATACAAAAAAGTCTTTGGCAAGTACAGAACGTGTACCATGAGTTAGGCGATAAAAAAGAGGATAACAGCACATTATCAAAAACAATCATCAAAAACGTACATACACACGGAGACGTTAAGTACTAACATGAGATGTCTCATTATGTTTCAAGTTAATATAAATACCACAAACTATTAAAGGGGCAATACTGGTAGAATCAAGAGCAACTAACTTATTTCAAATTGGGTTAAAGAATCAAGTTTCCTTGCTTCTTATTTACTAAGCTAGACACATTTGGACTTAATATTTACGACCAAATCAAATGTTTCCAAAACTTAAAAATAAAACCCTTCTCAATGGCAGTGGGTATCCCTATAACATCGTTTTTTTTAATCATTAATTCTACAGCCCATAGCAGCTTGGCGTATTTAATAAATTTAAGTTATTAATGATGATAATTGTACATTTTTTTTTGTATTAATACATCAAACAAATAAGTTTGGTTTGCCGTCAAAATTTAATTTTTACTGTAAATAAACTTCATATAATAGACTTATTTCCAAAAATCAAAATCGATCAAATTTAAAGGAGTAATTTTTTTTAATGAAATTAGTAGGGCCTAAGTTATCAATTATTGTTTTTCATACTGTAACTTTAGCCTGATGTTTTCGTTAGTTACAAAGTTTTTGAGCCTAAACTGCTCGGCCGATTTTAATAAAATTGTGCAAGTATGCTAGGAACCTCTCAAGCCCCATTCTTCAAAATGGATGGACTGACGGCACCCTGTTTATGTTGAGGAGTTGTTATGTGGAATTGTGATTATATATTTTACACACCCACGTGTGCAAAATAGCCATTCTATACGATACATAACTAGCGGCACGGATCTTTAGTGCTGAACGAATCCTGCGCAGAAGTAAAAAAAGGTATCGAGGGGACGGGCGCAGGGCGAGTTAACGTCATGTGCGCTAGCGCTGATTGGTTCCCCAGTCATGTTGTCTTTCTCGGACCAATACGACGTTCCGGCTGCTTCTCGAGTACAGTCACGTTTTCCAATTAATTACATGCATTGTACAGATGCGCAACTATCCCCTCTACATTTCGTTCAGCGCTACACATCCGTGCCGCGACCTATAACAAGTATACAAAAAAAACATGTACATGAGAAAATTTGTTTTCAATTGTGTCTGGGTAGATACAACAAATGGATTCGTTAGGAACGTTTGTGGGTAAGCAATCGGTAATATGAACCTAAGTGTTTCGTGCACTAAACAAAATCGACATACACACAAATAGAACTACGTGAGTATAACTAACACTGTCATAGGAACGCCAAACTGTGAATTGTGTAAAACTTTAAAAACAGAAATAAATATCTCAAACCCGGTAAAGATATAAAAAAGGATCTACAACAGACCGTGGCAACAGGCTCATGTTAAAATTTAAATAAATAAAAGTTACTTAACAAGACTGCTTCTAAGAAACTAAAACTAAATCCTTGTTACAATCTTAATTTTTAATCTGATTTTAAGTACCTAATACAATACTAACTATTTCAATACTTACGAACATTTGGTCCTTCTCAAAGCGCTCGTAATTGGGTTGTTTAAAATTAAAAGTACAACAGACTAAACGAAGCTTTGAGGAAACTTGAAATAAATAAAGGCGGCTTTGCGACTAAACTAGCGTGTACATTAGTGATAATTAATAGCAATAATTTACTTAATTCTAGACTATCTTTAAGACTGATATCTATGGACACAGTGTTTTTATAAGGTCGAAAAAATACGACGACACTACACGAGCGGGACTGCTGTGTTGTTGCTCTAAGCTATCGTGATCGCGTTGATTTTTTTTAATATAATGGGATTAGAAAAGTTTTTAAACGTTAAACTCTGTAATCCATCTTCAATTATTTTTAAATTTGCAAAAAAATTGTACACTAACGTATTAAGATGGAAATTACATTGCCCCAGAAATGCATGTATTCAAAAACGAACTACGACGATGACTTGTAATACACTGTAGCTCAATTGGTTTGAGCAGCAGCACGGCATACCGTGGGTGCTGGTTCCCGCCCGTGTCGTCACATTTTTAAATCTAAATAGATTTTTAATTTATATACTACCATCATGTGATAAAAAATAATAAAGTTTACAAGGTGTGTACATTTCACCTGTTGTTTCTTATTCGATTTGACTAACATAAAAACTAAACAAACCAAATGTGTATACATAGACACCAGTCTTTAAACAACTATAATATCAAAGTCATCCAATAACTTAGTTTACTTATGTAAAACACAGTGTACTTAGCACATATGGAAAATCTGCAAAAGTTACTTTCGTGTCAACTCGGTACTGGCTTCACTTATTATATCTCGTTACCAAAGTGAGTGTTAGGTATTCTAACTATTGTCTCTCTGCCAACTTTATCTGTGTCTATAAGCGAACCAGAGCTAAGTTTCTTCGTTTTAGGTGCAAGGGGCGGGACTTCGCTGCATGTTGAGAAATTGTCATCCCCCCTTGAGCTTCCTGCTGTACTGAATTTCTTTAAACTGCCCGTAGCCAGTGATCCGTTAGAAGATGAGCAATGTGGTGGGATTAAGGGCACTCGTTCAGGAAAATCGCGACTCGATGTTGGTTTGAAAGCGCACGCACTTGTGTCTGGGGCGGCTGTCTCCGGGCACCCACCCATTTGGATCCAATCGTGAATCCTGTTAAAGGTATTTTTTATTAATTAGATTACTCAACTTACATGCGTAATTCTTGTAAAATTAAATAAGATATAATCGTAATATTTGTAATTTTTCTTTACTAACACGACGTTGCGGATGCTTTGCACCAGTCGTGTCGCATACTAAATTTTACCTAATATATTTCGGGTTTTAAACCGTTAAAAGCGTTTTATTTGAAATGTGTACAACCCGTAAACTGCAGACAATACTTAAGTGACTCTACATATGTTTCTGACTTCTCAGTTAGCCTAGATCTGGATAACTAATACCAATGTAGTTAATAGTGAAGGTTTTTGTGGTTAATTCAAGTAGCCCGAGTTATTAAGAAATTTAATATTAAGAAAATATTCATTACATAAAAACCACGATGTCAGTGTTGTTACAAGAATAGATTTATCATAAGAATTATGAATTTGATTTTAAAAAGAAAACAAAAGCATAAAAAAAGAAAGAATAAGCTATCAGAATACAACTTCTTATGTATTAAATACTGTCTGTTGTTTACGCGAGTAGATTAACATTTAATTAAACACTTTTAAATATTTACAACCCCAAATACATTATGTAAAGTTTTGGATGCCTCCCTGTGACCACGGGTGCTGCATCCGACACGGCGGGCAGTAGTTAAAATAACAATAAAATAAGTTCAAATATATTTCAAGTTTTAAACAGTTAAAATATTTTATTTAAATTGTTATCTATTAATTTTTTGATACGTTTTTCATTTTTATGCAAAACAAATTACCTGTTGACGATTTCTTCAAAGTTGGGCCGTCTCTGTGGAGTGTGTTTCCAGCACTCTGTCATCAGTGCATACATAGACTGTGGGCAGGCAACCGGCGGTGCTAACAATTCACCCCCGCGGACCATAGATATGACTTCTTGATTACTATACCTGTAAATACACATAATCATAATTACTTAAGTTTTATCGTTAGTCAGTCTTAGTCTAGATTAGCTAAACAACATCAGCTCAAAGAGAACCTGAGTTTGAATGCATAACATTTCATCTTTAATTATATTAAGTTGCAAAGCATAAGACATTGAACCCTAATATGCAAGTATTAAGGTTGAAATTAAATTACGCGAGAGTTGAATGCATCAATAGGTTGAAAAAAAATCGACGATATGTATACAAAACAGGAAGCTCAATTGATTAGCTCAACGGCACAAAACACTGTGAATGTCGGTTCAAGTCCCGCCCGTGTCGTAAATTGATTTCAGTAAATCAACTTTTAATTGGCAATGCATTTAAGTCGAATATGGCAAAGAATTCTCGAAAAGGGACATAATCATCTTTATTTACCAAAAATAAGTACATACCCATAATATGGTTGTAATCCATAGCTGTATATCTCCCAAAGAACAACACCATACGACCAAATATCACTCTCAGTTGTAAATTTCCCATACAGAATGGATTCTGGCGGCATCCATCTCACTGGCAACAGGCTTTTAGACTGCACCTGTAAAAAAAAATTGAAATGTATATTTCTGATAAAACCCATAGTTTTATTAGACTTATTTCTCATTAGTCTTAAATTTCCAAATTCAACTTACTCTGTAATAATCTGAACTGTAGATATCACGAGATAATCCAAAATCAGATATTTTAACAACAAAATCATCAGAAACTAAGCAGTTTCTTGCTGCCAAATCTCTATGGACATAATGGTGGGAAGCAAGGTACTGCATACCAGAGGCAATGTTGTATGCAATGTTTAGTAAACGCATTGGTGGTAATCCTTTTCCTGAAGGTGGAGCACGACCCATAAGGAATTCATGCAGATCCCCACGAGCCATAAATTCAAAAAGCATGCACAATGGCTCTTCTCTTAGAGCAACACCAACGATACACACAATGTTCTCATGGGTTAATTCAGAAATCAGATCAATCTCCCTTCTAAAATCAGCTTTTGTTTTTGCAGAGGCATTTTCTTTCAGTGCTTTTACAGCAACATACTGTGTTTCACCATTCTTCTTGAGAGCACCTTTATAGACTTTCCCAAATGCACCTTCTCCCAGCTCTTCAAGAAATTTTATTTGTGATAAAGAATACTGGGGCACACGAAGAACTCCGTTTCCTCTAACAGGCCTAGTTAAATGGGGCTGACTGCTATTATTCTGATTTGTCAACAATTCATTCATTTCTATGGGAGAATTAAGTCTTGAATCCCCATAAATATTTTTATCAGCATTTGGTAGGTTAATGTCTCTTATTGTTGAGGCACTGCCACTTTTCTTTCTTTTCACTACACATGCAATAAAAGCCCCTATGACAACAATAACAAACATAAAAACAGCAAGTATATATATCCAAATTTTATGTGCACACTTTGGAATGTCACATAGTTGATCAGTTTTTCCTTCATTATCTAACTTAACCACACACCAGGGTTGGGATCTGATGCCACCCGGGTTTCTACAATAACTATGCCGACCTGCTAGTTCGGGATGATCTGAAGGTTTGTGGACCATTTGCAAAGACCAAGCAACACAAGGCATTCCATTGGCAGCGACATTTACTCTCCCAAGATAACCACTTCCATCTTCCCAATAGCATTTATCGTCTGAGGCAATCAGAGTACCAATACCAATTTTTAAGCATAACAGGTCATCCTCAGGCAAATTTTTACACTCTTCTAATGTCAACTGAAGTCCAATATGTGGATGGCGCTTAGCTATTGCATATTCAGTTTGGCAGAGTTCAGTTTCTAGAATTTCACAATCCTGTTTACAAACACGCCTTAATATTGTTGAATTGTATCTAAAGTTAAATGTTTCTATTGATATATTTGAGTTTGTAGCTAGTTGTGGTTGAGGTCCACCCGGGAGTCTATTATATATTACTTTAGGTGATTCATCCTCATATGTTTTAAGAGATTCATTTTGTAACATGAAAATCTTTTTAGCTTCAAAAAAATATTTCTTGTTAGTACTGATTGGATTTCTACATATAGGAAATGTGGAATAGCAAAGACTAGGCTCAGCATACCTTTCACAGTGGGAACTTATGTCATTTGAATATCTTGTTACTTGAAAAGCTTTCAATAATTTATCTTCTAAAGCAGCTTGAGTTGTATTGTAAGGTATATATACAAATTGTCCACTAAGATGTGTAATGCATACTTTTCCAACATACTCTTGACAAATGGGCTCTAATGTTTTTATAAATGTAAAATTCTTTTCAGTTTTATCTTCCTCTACAATCATACCTTCAGACACCAAATTAGGTGTTGCTTTAATATCCACAATGTATTCATTAGAATTCTCATTGCTAGGTTGCACTGATGAGGAGAGTTCATAGTTTTGAGTTTCCTCGCTTTCAACAATCAATCTAGAAGTAAGTTTTTTTTCGTAATTTTGTTTTATCACACATGTAAAGTTTCCTGTGTCAGAAAAAATTAAATTTTTAATTTTAAGTGTAGTGCCAATTGTGCCATTTCTTTTATCTACTTTAGTCAATATTTTAGTTTTGCCACTTTCTATTAGTGGTTTGTTGTCTTTTAGCCAGTACACTTTCACATTCTCCATTAGAGTTTGAACAATATGACCAGGTAACTCTGTTGATGAAGTCTCAATGCCAGCATCATTTTTGATAAATTTTTCTACTTTTGTAAAATTCATGTAGGCTTCACATTTCAACCGGGCATCAGTCCCTGGTGTTTTTCTAACGACGGAAGGTAAAGTTTTCGCAAAATAAATGTCAAGTTGAATATTCCATCCTTTTTGTTCAGAAGTATTCGCTTTACTTGATGATAGCGTTTCACCTTTAGTTAAAACTGGAAGACTTTTATACAGAACTGATAAAATAATGACAATATAATAGAATTTCATGATTAATCATCAATTAACTATCTTCTTTACAGGCACTATTTTCATCTTGATATGAGCAAAATATTTTGTTTCAAAATAATCAACCGTTAAGAATTGTACCTGAATATAATTCTACATCGGATATTGTTAGATATAAGATTTCAGACTTTCAGTCAACATTCCAAGTGATTTCAAGTAAATACTAAATAGCAAGCGATGTATAGATTAGAACTGTGATTGTAATATGTATATCAAATTCAGCAGGTACGCAGATAATAATAATAATTCTGAATGTAACACAGACGTGCTATAACCCGTAGCCTGTTCACAATCACTCTTTCTTCATCTGTTTTTTAATCTCTTGTATGCTATATTATATTTTTAAATGTACCCCTATGTTTGTTTTATATAATACTTAGAAGTAATACAATTTATGTATGAATACTATTAAGGTAGCAGCTAATTTATTGTTGTATTAATGTTGTTTATTTACAAAACGACATTTATTAACGTTAAGGCTTATCGTTGAGGCAAATCTCGTTTATAGAACTATAATTATAACTTATTGGCAACAGATTTTTTTTATAAAAACTTAAAATTAAACAAGTTTTAATAAAATGTGTAATAAATTCTCATTAAAAGTACACTAAAGCAGACCATAAAGATTTTTTACCCAGACTGTGCTCGATAAGTATCTTCAATTCTCTATGGATTATAAAATTGCAACTTCACTATTTTTGCAAACATAAATTATAATTTATGAATTTTCAGTTTCATTTTTACAATGAACTAATTTCTTTTAAGTTTACTTCGATATAGTAGTAATTTTCGAGTTCAATTGTACTGTCATTTGTTTTAGTTCGATAATTCTAAGATACTAATTAGAAGCTAGAATGCCTAAAAATAAAAAACAGCGACAGGCTTCAAGTAGTGATAGTGATGACGGTCCTGTTGACGTAAGAAATTTTCATTTTAGCTAATATTAATTTGATAAAGAAATTAAAAAAAACCATTATGAGTATTACAACCGACTGTTCTTACTAGTATTGAAACATTTTCGCCGGTAACCTATAAGTTTCTCCACGTTTAAATAACTATAAATTTAAATTGCATATTACAGAGGAATCCGCCACCTGAAAAAAAGGCTAAAACTGCTACCAGAACCGATGATAAGGAACCTACTTGGGTATTACAGGGTAAAAAGTTAGTAAAAGTACGTGAATTTAAGGGTAAAGTTTATGTTGACATAAGAGAATTCTATGAAAAGGACGGCAATCTATTGCCGGGCAAAAAAGGAATTTCCTTACAACCTGATCAATGGAGAAAGCTACTGTCTTTAGGAGATGAAATCAATGAAACAATTAGCTCTATGTGTTAAGAACAAAGTTTGTATGAAAATATAATCTGTTGAATTTATAATCTTGAAGTTTATTTTATCGCTAAAATGTCTACCTTTATTTCTAAATAAACTTAATGCTGATTAATTATTCTACTGTAGTAAAATCACATTTCCTCTCCTTTGGATAGAAACATTTGCTTACCGTTTTCACTGGCAGATTTTATTAAAAGAAGTATTAGTTTTAAATTGTTACATACTCAATAAACATATTTAAGGGACCCAAATAATATTACATTACTAGCTATGTCAGCGATTTTGTCCCCGTAGAATAGTTATTTTGAACATCTAAATTTGTTTTTGCAAGTTGACTGCGACTTTAAAAGTTGGAGATATAAGTGTCACAGTCATTTTTTTTAGGAATAATTGTATCATAAATATTTTTTGGCTATCTTGGCCCCTTTTTGCAGCATTATTTCCACATTTCCCGCTGTTTCTTCGCTCCTATAAGTCACATCGCGATGAGAAAATAGCCTTCCTCGATAAATGTTCTAACACAAAAATAATTTTTCAATATGTACCAGTAGCTCTTGAGATTAGCGCGTTCAAACATACAAACTCTTCTCTATATATTAGTATATTTTCCTTCATATCACAATTGGTTTGTCTCATGGTTAATGCAATTCATTTAACGATTGCTATAGTATTGCTTTAAATAATATTTAAAAAATATTTCTGGAATTCTTGTTACAGATCAGTAACTAAATTACTAATAAAATGATAGGGATAAATAAAAGTACTAGGCGTAAATGCACATTCTTATTAACGAATTTATTATAACAAAAGCATATGATAACAATCCCAGATAAATTGTCAAACTGATATTTAAAATAACCACCACACGTTAAAATATAACCGGTCCTACAAGTTGAGCTTGGGCAACATATATTATACATGTAGCTTACACAAGTAGTACTAATTTAAATAAAACCCTGTAAACGGTTTAAAATGCAAAACGTACTAATAAAAAAGATTTTTTTATATCCCGAGCTGACGCTACTTTTCCGGTACTAAACACCAGATTGTTGTTAACATTATATTTCAAGGTTAAAACCGTTAAATATGTTTCATAGTGTACTACTCGACTTCAGACAATATTTACATAAATTAGGATGTTGCTTTGAAAGTTTTCTATTAGCACTAGTAATCCACAAATAATTGTCAAGATCACGAGACTGTTTAATGACAGCAACTGCCAACATTAGTGTTAGTAAAATAGGAATCATAAGTTTCATTGAATATGTATAGTACTTGAAATATTGAACAGCACACCAAGATCTAAGAAGACTAGATCATATTTGCGGTAAACGCAATTATGGCAACAAAAAATATATAATTAACACATGTAACACCATAATAATACACATATAACAAATTAGCACTAAGTATATTTAAACAATTACTATATGTTGATTCAACATATTTTCTATTTAGTTATAAAAGAGAAATTTTGAAACGTATTTCAAAATCTCTTGGTAAATTTTAGTATACTACAAGTTACTATGTTAAACACAATTCCCATTTAATTAATTAATTTAGTGTGTACCTATCAGTATCGTATTTTTATTAATTTATCTGGTAGTAAGTTTGAATACGCAACTGTAAAAAGTTAAGATTTTTTTTAATTTTATCGCTAGGCAGAGTATATTAAACATTACAAGATCTATAAAACTGTAAAGATAAAAACAAACTTTTTGGACCACCTTCCTGAAATGTTTAACAGATACCTACAATAGATTCACAATGTACATTCACAAATTTAAATATAGGAATCTCCAAAAATGCATATTAATTAACTCTAAGTATATAATCTTTGGAAGTATTTTAAGAAATATAAATATAATAACACTATCTGAACAGGTGTTGTATCAAAAACAAAGCTTCCACAGGAATTTGTAAAAGATTCCAAAGTCGACACAGACCATTAAAGGATATGACCAAGTATTACATTATACCTTAAATCAACAACTCTACAATATGTAGAAACAAGCTTTGGCAAGTTTTTGAATCCCTTTCTGTATCATACCCCAAATTAGATATCTAGGGATTATTTTCATCAATAATTAACGACAAACATAAAATGTTTTGAATTGACTACAAATAACATTGAAGTTGTCGATTTAAGTTACGTAGATAATTAATCAAAAAATATAAGATCAAAAATCAGATCTAGAAATTTCTCTACTACCCACTAAAATTACATCTAAGACCAGACACATTACGTAAAATAGTAACTAAAAATTAATTCATTTTATCTTTGGCTTTATTTGGAAACATGAGATTTTGAAGTGGTCACACATTTCTCGCACCTGCAAAGAGAAAAATTGCAAAAAATGTAGTACTAAATAAGTAAATATATTGTGTCGTTAATAAGATGCCTCAATATTATTTTATTAAACCAATATATTGAAGTTTGTATATTTTATTGCTATCATGGTTAGATAAAACTGTCCGAATACCAGAAGAAAAGTTAAGTGATATTGACTTACCACTTTAGTGCCGTAGTGTATATGTGCCCATGAACACCCTATGCAAAGCGCAGTCAACAGAATCAGTTCCACCATAGGAGACACATGGCAGTAAAACACCACGGCTACAACCAGCGCGTACGGCAAAAGAAGGCTGTTAAACAACTCGCAGCGGGTATCACTCATTTGTGATACAATTAGACGGCACTGAAAACATTTACAAATGAATGCAATGGCCCAACTTATTTTGTATTTGACTCTTAGACAACTTAGACAAGATAACTACAATAGATTTTGTTTTAGTTGGATAGGGCACAACAATCTGGTCAACTACTTATCTTTCAATATTCATTGGCCTTTCCTAAACTATCTAGTCAACATTTTGTTTAGGGATAAGAAATAGACATCAAAAATTATTTTTTTGGTTTTACCATTACTTCAATAAAAATAAATGTCATTAAACTAATGTTTGTTATCCAACACAGTTCTGATTTTATTTCAATGATTACTTGTAGCCTAATATATGCGTTCCTCTCAAGAATTAAATATGTACTTACGTTTATATTGGAAAAAACAGTCCCAGTTAGAACATAGAATAGCCTAGGTCCTCTATTGATGATGTCTGAAGGCGAATACACAGCCCATATCGAGCTGAGCGCAAAGAACAGTCCAAGCGGAACGAGAGGTCGAATGGCTTCAGTAAACGGTCGCATTTTACCAGTCCTGTCGCGGTATGATCTAGATGAAAATATATTACTATTACCATACATGGAAATAACACAAATCAATACTTATCACATGAAAATAAATGAGATATCAATAGTTTTATAATATGTATGTGGAATGAAAAAGTTCTTATTATGTGTGCAACAACATATAGTTTTATGATTGAGTAAGAACATACTTGTAAATATTCCACATTATAACTGTCTGACTGGTGAGCATGGCTGAAAGATACAGGGTTACTTCGAATACAATGCCGGGTGTTAGGCCACCGGGGAGTGTGACATGCCATGCTTGAGGTCCGATCACAGATGTCACTAAGAGCAGGATACAGGAACCCTATTTAAAGCGATCATTATTATATCATTTCACAGGATCTTTCTGACATTTTCAAATATATAGATTTTTTTTGAGAATTAACCATTCTTAAATATAATTGCACATAGACCGCTTGTCAGGCATGGCTCTCTAGAGTACATATTCAATATATAACTAAGCACAATGAAGTCATTAGAATGGCCTGAATACAGGCATTGCAGAACCAAAGTTTGCAAGTCACGGTAAATCGTGGATCCTGATCATTAATTTAGAGGCGGTAGTCGAGAAAATAACGTCAACTAGAGCATCATGGTAGAACTAAGTTTTTTGCTAGTGACCTATCTCCACAAGTAAGACAATTTAAATATCATATAATAAAATTTATGAAAAAATATTTTCATTGTCTTACAATCATTGTGAAATCGTAGCCCCAAGGCAGGAACATGACACCAGTGTTATACTTCTCCCAATGGGTTAAGTAGAAGTTTATAAATATGTTCCATATTACGTAGAAGAATCGTAACGGACTCAGCTCGTCCCTGAAATAACCATTATAAATTTATAGAAATCACTTCTATGATTCTAAAAACTCTACTTTTTACATTATAACTTTACCTTCATAAATTAAATATTTAATGCAAAAACTTATATTATTTATTTGAGGCATAATCTAATAGATAGATAGCATTATCTGAAGCTCCAAACCTAAAAGGCACAAGTCACCAAATCCACCAATTATAAATTTGAAGAATGAAGATTTTAAAATATTATCTTCTTTAAGCGGATTGTTTACCTTCCAAAAATGCTATAAAGGCATGTGGGTATGAGCACGGCAGAATAAGAGTCAAGTCCATGATCAAACAGTTCTCCGAGTGGTCCGCTAGTTCCCGTTCGTCTGGCCTGCTTACCATCAATACCATCTAAAATATAAACATTGTTTTAAACTTATTACTCCAATTAGGTATTTCCTTGCTAGTTCCATTTTCCTAGCTAGTTATTTCCTTATAATTGTAAATGTAAATTGAAGTATGAATGCTAGAAAGGTTTTTATTTGTGCAGGAGTTTATCACAAACAAACAGCATTCGTACCCCATTAGTTTGGATTATAAAATATTTCATATAGGTACCTAAGCTATGAGCCTAATACAATTTGATCAAGTTCCACTTTTCGTCGTGGCTACCAAAATCATTCTGCTCATTTTGTATGTACTTGGTACTAAGATAGTAGGTACATAATATCCTAGGTACTATATTATTATAGTTAAAATGTTTACGTTAAAAAATTTACTAACATATATAAATGTTTGTCTGTTTGTCACGTAAATAATGAACCTAGTCAAAAAAAGTATTGTCAATAGTTTACGCGAGTAGTGCACAGGGCGCGAAGTTTCGAATGATAAGTTGTAATTACGTTAACTAATATATTCGCGTTTTTAACCCGTTAAAAGTGTTTTATTTAAACTAGTCAAAAAAGCATGTTATGGGTTCTTATTATCTGAATCAAATGACACCGTAACTTGAGATAACAAAGGGCAATAGTAACCAGTTATCGCTTTCGTAATAATTATTTACATAATCTATACATACATTACAAATACTAAATAAATTTCCGAACAGTGTGCTCCCGAACCGACCAAATTTGATGCTATTTAGGCTAAACAGTTTTCCTAAAAATATAAATATTCCAACACAAACGCACCGATGACAGAGTAAATATAATTGTTCGTGAAAATTGACTTGGATCATGATAATACGTTTAATTGGAAGAACAAGGAAGTTGAACCTTGATGCCTCTAAAATCTGATTAGAACAAAATATATCTGAAATGCTATACAGATAATACGACATGACAAAACCGGAAGTAATCTTTTTCTACAATCAAATGCTCCGGCGTAATTTATGACGATTATGTAAATATGGTGACCTTATGTCAACGATAATGATACTTATACCTTCTGATGTTGCTCAGAGTTTCTGTTACTTTAAATATTAATAACGATATTAATGTTAAATAATATTAGTAACAAATGTAATTAAATTGATAAAGTATGTTAAATATTAAAGTACTCAGAAACTTATGTTAAGATTTTAAACCATACAGTTTTAATATGTGGGTGGGTCAAAATTGTTCACAAAAAAAATAAAAAAAAATTGTTGTATATGTATTTCTTATTATAACAAGTACTATATTTTAAAAATATTTTTTAACATTACAACAGAAAATGTTTCAAAATATTCAAATTTCTTTTTTCCTAGTTTTGTTATAACTAGCATCTGTTAATGTTCAATTATTTTCATTGGAAAAAGAAGATAAATAATACAAGCCAATAGCTAGCATGTTGCCGCTAAATAAGAAAATGGGAGAAGTAAAATAAATGAGATCTTACCTAATGTGTACGCAACAAACAGGTTAATCGCAGAAATTGCCCAAACCCAACTTGGAATGCTATCGTTTCCATCATTGTCTTTAGTTAAAGCATAAAATCCATAATCATAATAGGAGAACAGCAGGAAATTTAATACAGTCAGTAGGAATCCAGAAAATGTTAATAAATTTGGTGCAACCCAGTGTGGACAATACTGTAATTGTTGGTTTATTAGTTAGCATACTCATGCATACTACTACATACTAAAGTCACATAAATGTGAGACAGTAAATAGTATTAACCTGAACGCACCAATCCCAAAATGGGTGCATAACATTTTGACTTAGCACACTTGTGTCGATAGAATTATACTGAAAATTAAAAAGGGTTATTTAAGATTTAAAGAAGTAATTAAACAACGCATAATTCACGTATAAAATTCTCGACTGACCTTGTACTTCTCAAATCCCTCTAGCTTGTCTTTAGAGAGAATACAAGCCATTATATTTATTTTGTTACAATTTCTATCGTAAGTAGTGATCACTTAAGAAAACGTTTCCTGTTTATTGTATGACATCTAAAATAAATATTGACTTCCTTTCAATTTTAATAATACGCATTAAAACGCCGATTTGATTGTATCACTGTCAATGAGAATGGATAAAATAATGATTTACAAACCAACCTCGGCAGGAAAATATAGTTATAAAAAATTGGTTTTACAATTATTTTAGATCTGTTTCACATCAGATATGACTATAACACAAAATGTATATAATGTTAGATTTAGTTTCTTAACCTCAAATATATCCAAAGAAATATACTAGTATTTACACTCACGTTAATATATTTTGCCGGTTACACAAATCTGCTGAGTCCGGAACCCATCAGAATCTAACCACAGAAATCTAGAATACAACTAACAAGACTTGAAGCAACTTTGAAGTGAGACAAGGAAAATACATGATGACAATTGACATATGTCATAGTTTGATATTTTTATAATATAGTATTTCTATTGAAGTAATACTATAAAATGACGATAGTACATTATATTACTATTTTCGTCTAGATTCATTTCAATTCATTTTGAGGTAGACGGTAGAGCTTAAAATAACGTCTTCCTACGAGCTTATTTAAAATTATTTGCAGTTTAGTCATATTATTTAATTATGTACTATATCTTTATTAGTTTCATGTTAACAATGTACTAAAAAGGTACTTTTTATATTAGAAGATTTAGGAAATGATGTACAAATGTATAATATACAATTTCTTCAATGGTATAATGATAAGAAAATTAATTAAGCTTTATTTATCTTACGTGGGCTTGTCGTTGATAATTTATTTGATAAATTTTGCCGAACATTATCTTTACGTAAGCAAAATAATCAATCGAATTATTTTGTTGTCTAAGGAAATTACGGGCAGGATGATATAATAACAGAAATAGATTATTATTTATTAATGTGTAAGTATTCGTAAGATAGCAGTCGTCTCAAAAGTTTATCAGCATTTCGCTATAATTATTGTATGTGACAGGGAACAATATGATTTATAAAGCGGCACTTTTTCGGGGAAGGAATGCATTAAATCAAATAGCATTTTATTCGTCGTCGAAGGTATGTGTATTTTTTTAAATTAGGATAATCATAATTAAGTCATCATTTTAATGACACTTTTGCAAATGATGATGAAACAAGGATAATTTAAAAATAATTACTGGTGGACAAAATTCACTGCTGTCATTTATTTTTTGTCCTAAGTTTTTATATTATTTTGTTATATCTATTCATATTATATTCAAAATATAAAAGGTTTATTTTTAAAATAACTTTGTTGAAAGTGGAGAAAGCGTAGATACTGAGGGCAGATTATTTTACGAAGCGCTCAGAAATTTGAACCCGAAATAATAAAAATAAAGGTGGTAATCAAAGAAACTTAGCATTATATCAGCTAACATTAATACCTAAATTCGAAACTTTATTTTGTTGATGACTGTAGCCTACAACAATTAGGAATTAAAGATCTTGTGATATCTCTAATTTATAATTTCGTTTTAAAAATTCCACAATATACTCTAGATAAGCCGAAGTTACGATGGAAACAGTTCATTAATCTGTTCTTATCAATATTTATTCTTTTGTTCATCGGTATCAAGAAGGTGTGTTGAGTTCTTAATAAACAACTAATACAAGGTCAATATGCGTAAATAGCAAACAATTGTAAAATATTTCGAAAGCCCTTCAAATGTTTCGTTTGCGAACTTCTCAAATGTTTTTTTTTGACAGAGGATAGGTTAAGATTAAGGTAGGTAGTTTAACATTAAGATGCGTTTTAAACAAACTTAAACTTACGAAAAAATAACAGACTGAAACCGAAACGCGGTTTAACACTCCGCGGGTTTACTTCCTATGAACGCTGGTTCATACCACTCAATAAAATTGTCGTAGAACTTTTCTGACGCGGACCAAAATCCGATGTGTTTTCATATATTATGTACTTTCTATAGTATCAGGGTTTTTACGCAATTTTCCTACTTACTTATATTTTGAAGGGAATCTTTTTTGACAAAAATTATAATCCTTAAGATTTTCTATGTTATTAGCATCGCCGAGTGATAGCCATTCGCAGAGAAGACCAGTCAGTATGGGAGAGACGTGCACCATTTTCCCCAACAAATGTCAGCCGACTCGTGCGAAAAGGGGTAAAAGTTATTGTACAGCCTTCGAATCGAAGGGCGTATCCTATGCAGGTAATTCTACTCAAGAGGGACTTGAGAATTATTTTTCGAACTTAACTCGATAAGCACAAGTAAATAAAACACTTTTAAACGTTTAAAACTGGTATATTATACATTTCAATCATCGGGTCGTAAAAGTCGGTCGTAAAGATAAGTCAATAAATATATACCACGATTTAAACCGTCAAAAGTGTTTTTTTTTTAATTTATTTCATAACTTATAAGGTTATGAAAAATAATTAAATCGTTTCTTGATTTTTCAGTCATATATAAATGCAGGAGCTGTAATTCAAGAAGACATAAGTGAAGCTGGAGTAATTTTCGGTGTAAAACAAGTTCCCATTGATCTTCTCATACCGAATAAAACGTATTGCTTCTTTTCACATACTATAAAAGCCCAAGAGGCAAATATGCCAATGTTGGATGCTATATTGGCTAAGGTATGTATTAGAAAATTTAATAGACTACTATAAACATATGTATTTCTCTACAATATTCTCTAAATTCTTCAAATACTCGCCTAAAAATAATTTAAATTGTGAGTGTAATAGCAGTGACATACAATTCAAAAAGATTTCTTCACTGATGTTTTGTGAAAGACAATCTGCAACTACTTTACAAATGAGTTTCCCCTTCTGCTCCTATTGGCTAGCTGCAGCTACAAAACATCTTCAACAAGTCGCTTTTTAACGGTTTAGAACGCGGATATTTTGGATGATTTTATCGAGATCATGGAGGGGACAAATGTAACAAGTACATATATTCTAAGTATAATTTCTCCTTGTTTTTAGAATATTCGTTTAATAGACTATGAGAAGTTGATGGACGATTCTGGTAACCGAGTGGTTGCTTTCGGAAAGTACGCTGGTGTTGCTGGTATGATTAATATCTTACACGGACTCGGACTGCGACTATTGGCATTGGGACATCATACACCTTTCATGGTAAAATATGATAACCTAAGTATCTTAAAATTATTGAATAAAGTAAAAATGGATACGACATGACTTAATAGGTTATAGCAATTGCACGGAACGCTGTGGATGCCGCCGATGGTCAAGTCCCGCCCGTGTCGTAATTTTTTTTCATTTAAAAATCTATTTCTAATTTATATAATGCCTTGTGAAAATATTAAGATTTTTAAAAAGATTTAATAAACTATTGTTTTTAATGATATAGCAGGACAGACAAGCATGACATTTACTTGACGCAAGGTGAATTTTCCCAGCTATATATATGTATATATAGGTATTGAAGATGATGCATTGTCAGCATATTTTGGCTTTTACATTCGGAAATCGGAAACTTCACGGCTTTTTTTGACTATGGACCCATACGGAATTATTATTTACTTTTTAATGAACTATACGTTGTTATTTAGAGTAATTATAATTTTCACTTAATTTATAGCATGTTGGACCAGCGCATAACTACCGTAGCTCCAGCATGGCTCGTCAAGCCATTAGAGACGCCGGTTACGAGGTATCATTAGGAATGATGCCCAAATCATTAGGACCTCTAACATTTGTTTTTACTGGTTCAGGAAATGTGTCTCAGGTAATGTATTGCATTAGATAAGTACTTAATTAAATCAGAATAATTATCTATAAATTATTCACTACTGGTTTCTATCAGGGCAGCCAAGAAATCTTCCAAGAGTTGCCTCACGAATATGTTCCGCCAGAAATGTTGAGGAAGGTCGCCGAACATGGAAGTAAGTAAGATGTTATTAATAACCATTGAACAAAAACACAATCATTAATTAAAATTGTACACAAATACCTACAGATACTTATATAAGCTTTTCTATGACAAAGAAACTAAAATATTATTATTCTATCGATAAGCTCAGACTTGGCTATAGAAAACTATTTAAACAATTTAATTTCACAATAAAGTTCTAAATATGTAGGTACTGTACTTGTAACCTTTTCGAATCCATTAAGTTAAACGAAACGAATAAAAACGTCTGTAGATAATAAACACCTGACAAAACTATTTCTGACTGTAACTGATTAAATTATTTTCGAATTACAGATAATAATCATAAACAGATTATAACAAAAACTAAAAAACAAAAAATATCTAATCCAGCCTACGTCTCAACCGTTTTGTTTTGTTTTCTCTTTTGATTTTTTATTTCATTGGCAAAATGATGTCGTATTGGATCGTTATAGTAATTGTAAATGTGAGACGCTTTGAAAGGTTTAAAACGCAAAATGTATTAGACATTATGGCACAATTTATTTTAACTGCAGCCATACGTTTGTTGTACTACGGGTAAACACATTGCTTAAACATAAGTGGGTTTTATTTATTCTAACTTATGTTTCTATAAGGTCCAAATAAAATATACGGGTGCGAAGTACGCCGCAGACATCACTTGGTGCGCAAGAACGGTGGTGGGTACGATCCTCAGGAATACGAAGAGCATCCTGAACGCTATATATCCACTTTTGCACAGAAGGTACCGAAAAAAATACTTATGCATATTTAAAAAATACTGAGTCCTATAGATATATAGGCAAATCCTTGGGCAAACTTCTAAGCGCTGCCCGACTGATATAATTATTGTTTCTCCGGGTTTCAAACTTAGGACCTCTCTTGCTATTACTTAGTCCTGTATGCAGGCGCTTAACTATTGAACTACGGAGGCGGTTAAAAAAATTTCAGGCATCATATGATTTATTTTTGCAAACAACCTCCTCAGCTTTATAAATTATTGCTGTCACTTACGACATCTGCCACTTCCCGTCGTTCTTGCGAGTGAATCATAAAAGACAGACATATTGTCGCGAGTATATTTTTTATTTTAGATTCTTTAAAGAAAAATAATTCTTTCATATTATCATATTTTTGGTTTCTTGGACTTATTTCGCAGCCCACCCAACGGAAGACGATGATTTAGACACGTTTGTTGTTGTTCGCTCTGTTTTTTTGCTCCTGTTGGTTTGAGCTTGAAGTTAGATATGCCTTCCTCGATAAATCGTAAACCAACACAAAAAGAGTTCTTGAGATCAGCGCGTTCAAACTATTCAGCTTTATAATATAGTATAGATTTCGATCACATGATTACGAATTTATTATTATTCTACTATCATTTACTAGATTGATAAGAAAAATAAACGTATTAATTAATCAATAAAATAAATAATAGGGCAGTGTGACATGTACTTATCTAATCTTAGCAAATTTTATGCTTATAATATGCAATAATGCTCATAATCCCATCTATCTACTTATCATCATATATTTGAGGGGTTTCATGAAAAATAACGTATTTAGAGTACTACGATTTCAATACCCTACTTAAATACTGGACATATGTCATACTAGCCGTGCCCGCGACTTCTTTCGCGCGGTTTAATTATTTTGGACATCAAAATTTATTTTTGTCAATAACCCCTCTTTTTTAATCTTAAACGATGAAAGCTAGATCATTTAACGATCCTATCATATACATTTTCTTAAAACGTTTACTCAGCGCACGTAGCGGAAGCCCTCAAAATGAATGATTTTCCCCTATTTATCCACATTTCCGACTGTTTCTTTGGCCTATTGTTATTAGTCTGAATATGTTTTACAGCCTTCCTCGATAAATGATTTCCCAGCGCAAAAAAATTAACGCCTTCAAACAAGCTCTTAAACTAATAATTATAAATAATATTAATTAAAGACTGCCTTTTTATAATTCAACATATGTATTTGATCTTTAGATAGCGCCATATACGTCAGTATTGGTAAACTGCATCTACTGGGCCGTGGATAGCCCGAAGCTCCTCACAATACCAGATGCTAAGCATTTACTCCTGCCTTCTCACACCCCCTGGTTGCCAACCAGTGTTGGTGCGCCGGCATTACCACATAGGTCAGTATTTGATGAGTTAGACGTGAATCTTTTAAACCTTCCTGTTTGTTAACCAGACCAAACGTATAATATAAATAATATTTAGTTTATTACAACTCATTTAATCGGTTTGTTAGAATGCTGGCCATCTGCGACATCTCGGCGGATCCCGGAGGTTCCATTGAATTTATGAATGAATGTACAACCATAGACACGCCTTTCTGTCTCTACGACGCTGACAGAAATAAAGATACAAAGAGGTGATTTTGTCTTAACTATAGCTCACTTTAGACTAAGGCTACATCTTACTATTAACAAAAACGTCTGAAGATTTATCGGTCCAATTTGTAAACAATCGTACAAACAGAATTCGAATTTTACAAGTAGAGTTTGCATAACCCTGAATTAAACTTAAAAAAATCAAAGTTTTGGCACAAATATGAGAACAATGTTTTATTATAAATAAAAAACCTCTTTGGTTTAATACAAAAAAATGATATAGCTTCAAAGGCCCCGGTGTTTTGGTGTGCTCCATTGACAACATGCCCACGCAGCTGCCTCGAGAATCTACGGACTTCTTCGGAGACCTGCTTTACCCTTATTCTGAGGACATTATGAGTTCGGACGCTAGCAGACCGATGGAAGATCACAAATTCTCACAAGTGGTACAAGGTGTAAGTAGCTAGCCGAAACGACTTAAAAATAAATGGCATAATTAAGTAAAAAATAAATAAATAGGGCTTAAGTAGTAGACCAAAAGACATTGATATTATGCTAAATAGTGTTATACGTGTAGTGTCGGAACTCTCCTTTACATTCTTAACTCTAGAATGGTACTGAAAAACAGTACCCAATGTTTTTCTATTGGTTCAATTTTTTCAATAAACCCGAGACCACGGCTCCTGCAAAGCATACGGTCTTAGTTTTAAATGCGTAAACTAATAAGTACCTATAGTTCGCGTTTGTTGAAATTAATTTTAAATTAATTTAATAGAAGTTGTAATCTTGCAATACAATAGCTTCCCTTTATTTGTTTTGTTAACGTAGATAGGAAATGTTATTGTGAATAACAAGTTTATCGTTTTATTTATAAAGAAAGATAACTTGCCCTGAATACTTTCACATGATAGTGCGCTTTGATGGACATTCGGCAAACTACGTGAGTAGGACATTAATTAACTTTTATAAGCGAAGAAATTTCTGATGTTAGTCATGTTACTGCCATAGATTATATAACTTCATATCAATTAAGGCCTTTTTATGATTAACCTTCTACTGTGGGTTATATTGAATACGAATTACTTTATCAGAACTACTTTTATAACAGAATTAATCAAGAAAGAGTGTCAGAATGTAGAGGACATTTCTAAGTAATCCAATGTCTGTCTATGTTCACTAATTGAAGTACTACAAGACTCGATTGAAGTAGACTGGCCTTTTTTCACTCATCGCTACTTCGTTCTTTGAGCTATTCGGGTGTCTCAGAAATAGTTCTCGACGTTTCGCCAAACCATGTTTTCTTTGACGATCTCCTGATGATGCTTTCCACTCGTTATAGCAAAGTCGAAAAACAAATTCGCCCACGGCTTGAAAACCCAAGTAGCGGTAGCTTGTTGTCGAGAAAGTTGAAAATCCTTGTCATTTTGTTATCAAATTGATATTTTGCTAATTAATCTTTACTTTGATAATCATATAATTTGATATACTCGTTATTACAAAGATATAATAATGACAATTTAAAAATCGAAAATAAATTGAAAAAATGTTCGACTCTGAGCTACCGCTCAATTGGTAAAGCAATAGCACGGAACGCTGACGATGTCGGTTCAAGTCCTGTCCGAGTCGAATTTTTTTTCAATTTATTTTCGATTTTTTAATTGTGTAGTGCCTTCATTTGCAATAACATGTAAAAAATAATAAAGTTTTCAACCCCTAATAATGACAAGTCAAAATTTCTTTACAGGCAATCATAACCAGCAACGGCAATCTGACGCCTCCATTTGAGTATATAAATGAATTGAGAATGTCTAACAAGTGAGTTTTCATTATATTAAGTGAGTTAAACTGTCTGCTTGCTCTAGTGGTTACACGAGGTCCCTTATACGAATCCCTCGTCTGATGCTATCTTAGTTTGGTATTTGGAATGAGTTAGAAGCAGACGAAGAAGAATACATTAAGTCGGTCCCTTTTATTGTAACTAGTTTAGTGACGGTAGTCGTTAAAATTCTGAAAGAATATCGCGATGGATCTAAGCTTTGAAACCTTTTCTTTGAAGGATACGACCTGTGACCAGCAATCGAATTTTATTGGGACATATTTTCTTTTAATCCAGTATACATAGAAAGTACTACTGCTACTTTCAGTCGCTCACGCCATAAGGTAGAAGGCCACGACCAGCAAGCCCCTATTACTATCTTAGGAAGTGGACTAGTCGCTGCACCAGTAGTAGAGTATCTTGCAAGAGACAAAAATGTCGCTGTTACCATCGGTAAGACCATCCTTATACCACACGAAATATTGATAATCTAATCGTGCAAAAACAGAAATGCACCAATAATTTTAATTGCAAAATTAATACACCTACTTTTGTTGTAACGAGTAACCATATCTCGTTACCTGACAGGCATACCTAAAATTTAATTATTAAATGAGGTTATTATCTATATCAAAATATGTCACTAGCTTCGACTAACAAGTAACAAGATTAAAAACAACTCTACTTTTAGGTAGCTTTAGCAGATTATTTAAATATATCATTCCAGTATTATTTATAAATTTAGAGATTGTTTGTGTTATTAACGCGAATATATTACATAAAACACTTGATAACTGTTTAAATCGTGACCTATAAACGTTTGTTTATATTTAACTACGATCGGATGAAGCAGATAGGCTTCTTTTGGATGCTTCATGTTGTTACAACATGAAGGGCTAGTTATTTAACTTTGAAAAATTATTTTCAGCATCACAGTTCAAAGAAGAAGCAGATGCTCTAGCTGAGAAATATGGCGTTCGATCTGAGTATATCCAAGCGAACGATGAGAATGCGCTTGCGGCTCTAGTCTCTAGGTCCCGTGTAGTGGTGTCTTTATTGCCTTATAATTTACACGGAACAGTCGCACGCGCTTGTGTGAATGCAAAGGCACACTTGATCACCGCTTCCTACGTTCAACCAGAAGTTCAAGAACTACATGACGCGTGAGTATATAAAAATATTCAATGATGAAAGTGTCAAACTATAAAAGAATCTCTGAATGTCTTCCATATATCTTTTGCGGGGCACTGTAAGGCACAGTAAGAAACGTAAAACCAAACAACAGCTACCTGCTAATAACCAATTGATTTGGTTTTTTAGGTTGGTTTATTGGGCAAAATGTTCAGCTCCTTAAATTTATTAAAAAATGTATTCAAATTTTAAGTAAACACATTTAATCGTTAATAGAGTAACTACTTTAATTAGGACCTGACTTTTCGGATTCTTCACAGCAACGAGAATTTTAAACCTTTACGAGTGTTTTTACGAAATGTTTACTACTCGCGTAAACTACTGATAGTATTTTAGACAAGCAAACTGGAGGCCTCGGAACAAGTAAGTGGGGGCTCCTGATTCCAAAATATTTTTCCCTTCCGTTGATAGTAATTAATAAATAGTATTGTGTTTGTAAAAAGTACTTTATGCGAGGGTTAAACATCGGATCTACGAAGGCAGTTGACAAAATTTTGACAAGTATGAATAATATTGTGATTTTCAGAGCCAAGGAAGCTGGCGTCACCCTCTTAAATGAAATCGGCCTAGACCCGGGCATTGATCATCTATTGGCATTGGAATGTATCCACGACGTGCAAAACCACGGCGGAAGAATAGACTCCTTTGTTTCATATTGTGGTGGTGAGTTATTTTGTTATGGCCAATATTTTTATATTCAGTCCATCGTTGAATATTAGGTTAGTAAGAAAGCTATCAATATGTTGTGCATTATAAACAAGCGTGACTTGATGACACGAGTTTATTGTCTTAAATATACGAATGTCAAATATGTGACTAAAGAGTCAGTCAAAAACCCGAATGCGAAAAAACAGGTAGAGACAAAATGTGATCGATCAGGGCACTAATAAAGGGCATATATTTGTAGGCCCTTAGTAACTACAGCCTGACCCCGTTAATGAAACATTGATGTAACAAATGCGTGGATTGTACAAAGATATAAATCGAAAAATGTATTTGAAGCTTTTATAACCACAATTGGTAGAAGTGGTGCCATCTAGTGTAATTTCCATGTTTAGTTTCAATCTAAATTTTTTGTTCTACATAACGACGCCCCCGAGCAATAACCCAGTAATAACACATTACTGGAATTTTTTTTTATTGCAAATTCGAAATCTGTGGGCCATTATTCATGTATGTATTTTTTTTTGGATTTTTTCTATGGATAATTACCGAAATATGACTATTGAAAGTTTTATTGCACGGAATTTCAGTTTGATTTTTATACGACAAAAATAAAATTACATACTGTAAACTTTTTAAATTTTATGACTGATAATTGGTATTATAGTAATACCGTAAAATAATTCATGTTACGTTTTGGTTTTTGCCATTACAAGATTATTGCAGTAAAATAAGAAGCAGGCCTTTTCAGCAATAGTTAGTAACATTATTCATAAGGATTGAAATACAGAAATAACAAAACAAGTTAAGATAGAAAATATTATAGAATGGCCCTACAACGCAAAAATAATCGTACTAGAACGATTAGATTTTTATTTTTTATGGGATGGTGCAGAACTTACTGTTTGTAAGAGACTATGATTTATACTGCTATTGAAAAGGCTCAATCAGATGAAGGTTTAAATCATAAAAGGAAGAAACATACAAATAGATTTCGGAAAATGAGCATTGATACAGAAACGAGTATCGTAATACGTATTAAATTATTCCTAACACTAGAGTCACATTTTACAAGAAAATGATCTAGTAGTCAATACCTTTCAGAAAATATTAATATATCAAAATTATACCGTTTGTACACCGACTGGTATGTACAACAAAACTACAGGAATGTCACCGTGGCTACTAAACGGCAGTAAAAAAATATTTTTAATATTCAAATTTAACTACTCCTTTTTTAAACCCAAAAAAGATCAGTGCGCTACTTGCGTCTTATATGAGCGAGCTACTCCCTCAAAAAAAGAAGAGTTTGAAGAAAATTTCATACGCCACATACAAATAAAATAAAGGATTAGGCAAATTAAAAACGGGGAAAAGGATATTTTCGACCAAAATAGAGTGTACAGTAGTGATATTTGACCTACAAAAGGTCTTTAACATTACACAATGTAATGTAGGGATTTTTGATTACAAACGGAAGTGTCCTGTTTACAATTTGACGCTTTACGTAAAAAAAGTTACTGCTATGTGTGGCATTATCGTGTGGCGAAATGGCTGTACGGAAATTAGTAGTTGTTTGTTAATGTTCTTAAATTCTGAACGTGAAAAGGGAATAAGCACAGTATCATTGTACTCTGATGGGTGCTATGGGCAAAATAAAAATAAATACATTTTTGCCTTATATGTCTTTGCCGCAAAAAACTACAACTGTCCATAACGCAAAGATTTTTTTAAACAGGGCATAGTCAAAATCAAGGTTATTCAATGCACCCTGGCATCGAACGCAATATAGGAAATAAAGTTATTTATACCTGACAAGATATTGTATTAAATTCAAGAGTACCGATATTCCAAATTGACCAATCGGATATTTTAAATATTAAAAAGTCTAGTCCAACAAATGGGTGTCCGGATACTATTGAAAATATCATCCGTTGACCTGACGTCATGGATGTTCACGTAACGCCATAACAACCAGGAAAGCTTTTTCCCCTAAGCATATAATGATTGTATTAAATTGAAGAGTTACCGTACACTCAAAAATACACTAAACCGGCTCACATGATATAGCTCTAGTATCAGCAACCTATTCCAATAAGCAAAGCACTCAACACAGGCTTAATATATTTATTCAATAGTGGAGCAAATTGCAAAATATTACCATAATTTTTACGTTGACGTATTCTGAGGAGAAAACTAATATAGTTACTGAAGAAACCTCAGATTATGACTGATTACAATTAATTTTTAATGTCACATCATAGTTTCTTTTATTTGATTTTAATTATACCTAAAGTTCATTCGATGCGTATTTGTTTTTCTTTAATAAATGTCTTATTTTTGTATAAATTCTCTATAGTTTTGATTATTTTATCCACTTGACTAGCTTTGATGATATATCAGTATAGGAAGAATACATTTCAAATTCAAAAAAGTGCTTTCTGGTACTAAGTTCATACTATTTAGAGACGGTTTAGATTGCACGACAATAAGACAGTTATAGAACTTTACATTTACGCTCTTCAATAAAAAACTTGCTTAGATGAGCAAGTAAATGGCTATTATTGTACTATTCTGTTTTAGAATATACCGCAATAATCTCGTAAGTTGATATTACTAATTTCATCTTTATAAATCAGTAAGGTAAGATAAAATTACAGTTAAAATATTACAAAATAATTTTACGTAATATATACTTTTATGTAATACATAAATGTTTGTATATATAATGAAATCTTTACGAAATGTGGCTATTCTATAAAAAAATACCTTTCAATTGGTATATTTAACATGAAACAATAATGATTCATTGAAAAGATATAGCTAAAAAACACAAAATTTGTTCTCCTGAAAAATTTGACTTTTGCAATTACTGGGTTATTGCTCGGGGGCGTCGATAAGATCTCTAAATTCTAATTTTAATAATTATATATTATATAGGTATCCTAATTTTAATGATACATATAAGCAATACCTATCTATAGTACTTTCTTGTCTTCCCTTTGCATTTGGTTGCCTGGAAGAGATCACTGTATACCGATAAAGCCGCTCTTTATTTTTAAGCTAGTTCAATAGTTTTTATTCATATTTTTTAAAATATAAATTGTGGTGTTTGTAAAATATAACGTTATATAATTACATAAAAAAGATGATAGGTCACTTAGGTCACGTTTTATTTTAGGTTTACCTGCACCTGAATTTAGTGACAATGCCCTTCGGTATAAGTTCTCGTGGAGCCCGCGTGGAGTATTGCTTAATACTATTTCCGCAGCGAAATATCTTAGTAAAGGACAGGTACAAATATCAATATTTCTTATTCTAAGCACAGTACGCAATAAACTTAACAATAAATTAACTAATCTTTAACTTTTAGATAGTGGAAGTTTTAAGTGGTGGGGAACTAATGTCGGTAGCGCGTGAACTAGACTTTTTACCCGGTTTTGCCTTTGAAGGCTTTCCTAATAGAGACAGTACGAAATACTCTTCCCTGTACGGAATACAAGACGCACACACGATGTTTAGAGGAACTTTAAGGTATAGAGGTAAGAAAATACTTAATTTATAGTTTTATTCGTTAATGCTTATTCAATCTATTAGACAAAATATAAGCTAGCTTTATGGTGAAAATGTAATACCAATTTCAGGATATGCGGAAACTATAAAGGCGCTGCAACTATTTGGTTTTATTGACCCAAATCCACATCCATCATTACATCCTGAAGGACCTCAGATTACTTGGGTATGTTTACCTTTTATTTATTAACATATCTTTCAACAGCATATATATTAGCAAGCAACTAAGGAGACTAAGAAAATAAAATAGATGTAGCACGTTTTTGTATCATTGTACGAATTGCTGTTTTCATTATGTAAATTTCAATTTCCAGAGACAATTTGCCTGCGAGCTTCTTGGATTAATGGATTGTTCGATCTTCTACGAAAACCTGAAAACACGATTGGTGGAGCGTATCGGGTCCAACGGCGCTCAGGCAATTGAATCGCTTGGATTCCTTAGCGACGAACCCATTATCAAGTGTGGATCCCCTCTTGACACTATCAGTCACTACCTTAGCAAGCGTCTACAGCTGGGTAAGAAACAAAACTGAAATCCTGTTTCCCCGCATGAGACATGGGTCGAACTCGATTCTCTGTTCGTTTAACTGATAGGTTTTATTTACAGGTAAATAGTTGACCAGACATCTGTGCCTTTTCCGACCGAAACACTTATTGCTTTCACGGGATTCGAACCCAAGACCTCTCACACTCAGTGGCGTAGCTATCGTAGGGCTGGGTTGTGCAGTGCCCCAGGGCCTCGGAACATAGGGGGCCCTCTAATATTATCTTTTAAAGATATAAGCGTAGAAGAAAAGGGTTTTTGAATATTCTTGTTGCTATTTATAATTTTGGAGGTTCATTTAAATCAAGTTATGCTAAAATGGGGGAGGGATGAGGACCCGTTTCTTTCTTGAGCCATAGGATTAGGTAGACCGGGGCTAGGGGCCCTTGTCCACCTAGCTACGCTACTGCTCACGCTAAACGCAATACCAGGCAACGCGTTTAACCATTCATCTACCGAGGTAGGAGGCATTTAGCTACAGGGGTAAGAAATAGCCGTCAAAAAATATGTAATGTCAAACACATTATTTGCACAAACAAATCGATAAACATAATAAACACTTAAAAACAGCTAATATTATGAAAATATATGTTCAAATACGGCTTCATCGCCATATTATCCAGTTACATAAACAAGAGAATAGAAGAAGACTAAAACAGGAGGGAATGTACGAAATATTAATTAAAAACTACAACGACTACAACATTTAAACAAACACAGAGAAACGTACAATAATCCTAAATATAATTTATTCTTAGGGCTCCGCGTCCCAGATGAATGGTGGATGGGCGTTATGCGAACTTTATAGATTCTTTAATCTCTTGGCACATTACAGAGAAAGACGAAACTGACTTCGTAGTCCTTCGTCACGAAATCGGTGTAACATGGAGTGACGGTAGAAAGGAACGACGAGAGGTCACCATGACTGTACGTGGAGACCCAGCAACCCACACAGCTATGGCCCGCACTGTGGGCTTACCCACTGCTATTGCAGCAAAAATGGTACTGGATGGTAAGTAAAAGATTTTCACAGAAAGAAAGAAGCCCCATCGGCGTTCTTTAATAATTCGTACCTTAGATATATAGACATATTTTTTTTGTAAACAATATTATAAATAGGTATATTTTATAACTTTTAACAAAATACTGTACACAGTCAAAATATTTTTAAATTAAATAGTTTATTACACAATTTATTACATACTTAGAAACCGAGTAGTCGACCAACTAATAGATCTTATTGGACATAAGAAGTAGCTAGTTTATCGTCAAACTAGCTATGCCCGCGACATCGACTGCATAGAATTTTTTTCTCCTTTTAGTCGCGGCGTGGTGTTATATACTTAGTATAAATCCTTCCTCAATAATTTCCCTAACCAACAAATTAGTGCATTCAAACAAATTCTTCACCTAATAATATTAGTACCTATAGATATTACATACTTACCAGTAATAGTAGATCTTAAAGGAGCAGCTAGTTTATCGATAAATAAATAAATTAATAAGCAAGAAAGTATTTCATTCAGTTCCTGGCCTAATTTTATACTTAATTGATTAACTTGCCTCTAAAGGTTGATATTTATTATTCCAGGTGAAATTCAGGAACGAGGTGTGGTACTACCTTTCGCTCCCGTAGTTTACAAGTCCTTGCTGTCCCGACTTCGGTCTGACGGTATAACTGCTAGAGAGGTATGCAGGCCCCTCAATTGATACATACCAAGATTGTTTTGAAGACATTCAAAATAAAGGACTGATTTATCATTAATTAATTTGCATATTTATGTATTGTTATACTTTTGACAATGTTTAAAAATATTGTTGTTTATATTATATTACCATAGATTATTAATGTAAGAGACAGTATATAACGTGTTTTATTAAGATAAGGTTTTTTTATTCTGCTATGTACTTAGGAATTATTTTGACGTTTATTGTCGCGAATATATTTTTTAATGCAACTTTAAACTGTAAAAAAAAAAAAAAATTTTTTTTTTTTTTTTTTTTTTTTTTTTTTTTTTTTTTCCCCCCCCCCCCCCCCCCCCCCCAAAAAAAAAAAATTTTTTCCCCCCCCCCCCCCCCTTTCCCCCCCCCCCCCCCCCCCCCCCCCCCCCCCCCCAAACCCCCCCCCCCCCCCCCCCCCGGGGGGGGGGGGGGGGGGGGGGGGGGGGGGGGGGGGGGGGGGGTGTTTATTCGGAAAAGGGGGGGGGGGGGGGGGGGGGGGGGGGGGGCGCGCGGGGGGGGGGCCGCCCCCCCCGCGGCGGCCGCGCCCCCCCCCCCCCCCCCCCCCCCCCCCCCCCCCCCCCCCCTCTCTTTTTTTTTTTTTTTTTCCCCCCCCCCCCCCCCCCCCCCCCCCTTTTTTTTTTTTCCCCCCCCCTCCCCCCCCCTCTCCCCCCCCCCCCCCCCCCCCCCCCCCCCCCCCCCCCCCCCCCCCCCCCCCCCCCCCCCCCCCCCCCGGGGGGGGTGGGGGGCCCCGGGGGGGGGGGGGGGCGGCGCTTTTTTTTAAGGGGGGGGGGGGGGGGGGGGGGGGGGGGGGCCCCCCGCCCCCCCCCCCCCCCCCCCGCGCCCGCGCCCCCCCCCCCCCCCCCCCCCCGGGGGGCGCGCCCTTTTTTTTTTTTTTTTTTTTTTTTTTTTTTTTTTTTTTTTTTTTTTTTTTTTTTTTTTTTTTTTTTTTTTTTTTTTTTTTTTTTTAAAAGGAATGCATGCATTTCTTAATATTATATAATACTTTACCTAATCGACAATAAAGAGGCCACTCTTATTTTCTGATGATTGTATGATATAACAATGTAATAAATATGTTTCAGTTAGAAATAAACAATTGTGAATATTTTGTAGTTTTTTTTCCTACTTTCATTTTTGTTTTCCCATTTATAAAATGTATTCAGTTCCAATTAATAAATAAAATAGGTTCTAATAGGAACAATATGGTTGAAACCCCCTTTAGCACTTTAGGGTAGGTTGGTATAATTGGTATCAACTATCAATGTTAGAATCGGCACGGATTCGACAGGCTAACATTTTTCCAAACAGTTTACAATTCGTCTGAAACATGTTGTAGTTCCTCTGAAAATCTGGTAATGAAATGGGTGGTAGCAAATGTAAAAGCGGTTAATTGCCTTTTGGTCAGCACATCTTGCTTAGATGTTATATGGATGGAGGACTTTACCTACCATCAAGGAAACTACATACTTACTTTCTGTCTTCCTTCAATATAAAAAAACGTAATTTTCCGAAATAAAAACTTTTTATCCACTGCCATAAACTCTTGCTACGCCGAATAGATTTGTGACGTGTAAAAAAACATAAAGTTTTCGATTCCAGCAAGGCAACCGCCGAAATGAAAATATTGATATCCAGTAATGTCACCTGGAAGAAAAAGGTGTGACGCTTTTGTCATTCATAAATCATTTTTTTGCTAACCTAAAATGTATTATCAAATGACTTGATTTTGTTGTTTTTAGACATTTTTACGGTATTTTTTATAATTTACGAAACAAAATCCCGACTGTGTCTAGACGCACCCGATATCTTTATTGAGATTTTTGATGAGCGACAATTTTTAACGATGACTGTACGTTAACTTTATTTTAAAATGGAAAACGACCCGAATAACACTGTAAGTAATGTTATACCTACAAACTGTAACATGGCTCTACGGCTGATCATTCTACGCTTAGAGACCTAGATGTAAAGGTATAAAACAAAACCTAAAACTTCTTGATACCATTCATCATCAGCCATGATTAGAAAATAACTTGCTTACCTTAAAAATATAAACTGGCTGAGGTATACAGGACGAAAATTTAGCGCTAAATTATTTCATTTTACTATTTTTTACAAATGTAAATAAAAAACTAAATGCCATACAATTTGTAGTAAATAATTAAGACTTACTCATTGGTCTTACAATTTGGAGAGATAGTTTTACATCCTTGCTATGTGAAATGTGAAAGTTTAATTATTTAGAACCTAGACTAAACCTGCCTTTGTAGCTTAATGGTTAGACGCATTACGTTGAATGTCAGAAGTATTAGGGTCTGGATCTCGGAAAAATATATAATATTTAAAACTATTCATTATATAATATTTTTAGCATTGGTTTTTTTTATAGGACATGATTACATTGTATAAATTAAAAATGGATCTACATTGATATTATTTTACGTCACGGGCGGTCCTTGAACCGACATCCACATGATAGGGGAGCTCAATGTAGCTGTAGATGCTGGTTCAAGTCCTGCCCGTGTCATATTTTTTTTACACTTTGGACTCGTGGAAAATGGGATGTCTTTACACAGACTAGGGTAACTTAAAATGGTGACGTTTGACAGCAAACGGCGGGTCGCGAGACGGGACGATGCATGTCGGTGGCTGCGATGCAGGCGCTGCACCGGCTGCGCGAATGCCGCCTACTCTGCGACGCTATAGTTAGAGCAGACGACGGCGCCGCCTTCCCCGTCCACCGTGCTATACTCTCGGCCTGCAGTCCTTACTTCTTGTGAGCATGACCTATTGAATAAGTTTAATTTTTGTAATATTTTTTACATGATGGCAATACATAAATTAAAAATTGATTATAATTTGAAAAATTTACAACACGGGCAGGACTTGAACCGGCATCTACATCTCTACCCAATTGAACTTCCATGTCCGTCGTCGTCATCGTCGAATTTTTTCAACCATAATAATAGTATAAAATAAAAGGAATTTATAATCATATTTTTATTAATAAAACAATACTTACAAAGTCTAATTAAACAGAGTATTGTTTTATTAACAAAAAACTATGAATATAAATTCCTAATATATTCTATTAGTATAATGTCAAAGTTTGTGCTGTGTTTGTTAGTTATTTTCAACCGGCTAAGGGGTTGTCCATTAAACACGTGATATTTTTTTTTAAATTTTTTAACCCCCCCTCCCCATTGGTGAGACGTAGTGAGGTTTAAGACAACCCCCCTCACCCTTCTAAACATCACGTGTATTTTTAGTACCTACAAAGAATCTTAAAATTTTCTGAATATTATTTTAATTTAAATACAGGTATAGACTATAATCTTATTTTATTCTGAAATTAAAGACCATAATAACAATGTCTACACCATTTGTTTAAAAATCGCGCGTTTGACGAAAAAATAAATACACGCGATATGTTACTACACCCCCCCCCCCCCTTGTGTTATTTTCGTGATTTTTTTTAAAACCCCTCCCCCCCTTTCAAGCCTTACGTGATTAATGGACGACCCCTAACCGATTTGAACAACCTTTTGAATGAATGCAACTAACTCATCATAGTACTTACATATTTTATAGCCATACTTCAATAAAGAGCATGCTAGAGATACGTTTCCGCTAACAGGGCTCTGTTCACAACAACTTTACACTCTCGTGAGCAAAGCGACGTGTTGATATCTGGCGTTCGTTCTGAAATACTGCTGTTGTTGATCGAATACGCTTACCTCCGGCGAATCGATGTGACAGACACCAATGTCCACGAGTTGCTCATGACTGCGGATTATCTGGCATTCCTTGGCGTCCTACAGCTGTGCTGCGACCATCTCAGAGTCACATTGAGTCCAAAGAACTGCCTCGGGATCATGATGTTTGCTCGGTAGGTAACGAGTCCAAATCGCTTTCGATTTTTCTAAAGTACAATTTTGTATGCAAAAATTAAGAATAGGTATTTCAAATAATTTAAATAAAACACTTTAATTTGATTTACAGCTGGCCACGGCTACTGCAAAACATCCGAAACGTCGGGCCGTAGTTAAAACAATGTTTAACTAGTATATTTTACGTTTTAAACCGTTTAAGTGTTTTATTTAAATGTGTATTACTTGCGTGAACAACGGAAAGTATTTCAAATAGTTGTTAAACAAATCGTAGACGTCTTAAATAGTTTTAATTTAATACAAGACATTTCAGACGGGTTTTCTGCTACAAGTTAGAGGCTGACGCGAGAAGGTACCTTCTACGCTATTTTGTCACTGTGGCGACTCAAAGTGATGAATTCCTTCACCTGGCGCTCGAAGAACTGAATAGTATCATCTTGGAGGACGAGTTGAATGTCAAAAGCGAGGAAGCGGTCTGGGAGTCGGTTCTTCGCTGGGTCAATTATGATCCGGACGCGAGGTGGCAGCACACGGTCAAGCTCATGGGAAGCATTCGGCTCGGTTTACTTGATACTCAGGCAAGGGTATCTTCTAGTCATCTAACCTATGTTTTATGTATACTAATATATGAAGCTGAAGAGTTTGTGTGTTTGAAATCGGGCTAATCTCAGAGTTCCTGAGATTAGCGCGAAAGCTTTTTGTGTTGATTAGATCTTGCAGTCTTCGAATGTTCTAGATTGTTCATACGTGTATAATATATAATAATCATTAATAACATTATATTATCTCTATTCAGTTCTTCCTGGAAAATGTAAAGGATCACCCATACGTCACGGGCAATGAAAACTCACGCCCCATCATAATCGAGACGCTAAAATTCCTTTACGACTTAGAAATGATTGCGCAGAGAGATGGCGAGGTGGCCACACCTGAAATTGCTAGACCAAGAGTACCACATGAGGTATATCAATTGTGTAAAGTCAATATAGATAATTTTTGTATCCACCACAATACTCTGGTACAGATTTGGGTAAGGATAGCAAGGTACGGCTAATAAATAATCAAAGGGCCGTGGTTTTGATTCCCAACGGGTCCAACATTTTTCAAATCAATTTATATTTTTTCGGAATCTTGTTGGACCTGAAATCTGGATATTAATTGGGTGGTAGGAATATCGCAATTCCGACCGGGTCACGAACCACAGATAAAAAGGCCGTGAAGTTTAATCGCGTTTCTGTTTCAGTCTGCGGATTTCCGAATATCCAAAATAGATTGATACCGCAGCTCGTTTAGATGCGATACGAAAAAGAGATAAAAAATGTCCCGTTATTTCTCAAACACCACTGATTGAAATGGATATGAAATTGATGTCAAAATTTACTTTACGGTTTGCGTAGGTTCTCTTTGCTATTGGTGGATGGAGTGGTGGATCACCAACGGCTTTCATCGAGACCTATGATACGAGAGCTGATCGGTGGATCAAGGTACAGACTCATTTTAAAATAGAAAAAACAAATACGACTCGGGCAAGTCTTGAACCGGCAACCAGAGAACACTATGAATGCCGGTTCAAGTCCTGCCCGAGTCGTACATTTTTTGTCAATTTATAATCGATTTTTAATTTTTGAAAATTTAAAAATGTTTAAAGAATGGAATTGTTAATAATACAGATTTCGCTCGAGTCTGCTTTTTTTAAACAAAAAGATTCATTCATATTCATGGCTCTGAAATAAAACATTCGCGCATGTATGTAAAAATTAATTATAAAATTTAATTAGATGGGTGTGGCTTCTTGTGTAACATTATCATTACCGCAAAATACCGCCTGACTTCTGATTGTTTATCTCGACACTTTGTAACTTTTGTTGTTCTTATGACAATCACTTCAAGAACGCATGCCTCGTATTCGGTAGAAGTCACACGATAAGTTATTTTCTTTGAAACAATTCAATATGACAATTATATACATTTTGCATCATATGTTAAAAGTTATGATTTTCATAAATATATCAACGATAAGACTTTTAACCAATTTCGTAATTTTTTAATCTAACGCAATTTGAGACGCGAATTATTTTATTTAACAAATTATTTTATTTAACAAATTATTAACAGTTTAAAACGCGAATTAGTTAACAGTTTTTTTTTGTATCGAAATAAAACACTGTAACGGTTTAAACGCGAAATATATTACCTACTTAAACTTATTATAACTATGGGCCGACGTTCTCCCAGTGACCACGGGTGCTGTCCGAAATCTCGGGCCGTAGTTTAAATATTTTTCACTAGTAATAACTAATATATTTTGCGTTTTAAACCGTTTATGGGTTGTATCTAAATGTGTATTAGTCGTCATGTTTTTTTTTCTTATAGTTTACATGACAAGGTTAATATCTAATGTATTTAGTCACTGTCATGATGAACAATTTAGCAATATTTTTTTACGAAATAAAGATTGTCACATTAATATATAATAAAGTATGTTATTAGCCGAATTTTTATGTCAAACGTTATAAAACAATAATTCTATAAAATATAATATAAATAGCATATTTTTCGGGCTGAGGAAATAGGTTGAGGAAGTGGATCCAGCTGGACCACGCGCTTACCACGGAACAGCGGTATTAGGCTACTGCATCTACGTGATTGGAGGCTTTGACGGCATGGATTACTTTAACTCTTGCCGCTGTTTCGACGCAGTCACGAAGACATGGCGTGAGGTTTGATGTCATATCATACAAATACTGTCTGTAGTTTACACGAGTAGTACACATTTGAATAAAACACTTTAACGGCCTGCCCGTGACCACGGCTGCTGCAAAGCATCCGAAACTTCGGGCCGTAGTTAAATATTATTTTCAAACAAGTTTAATTTAAATATATCGCGTTTTAAACCGTAAGTGTTTTATTCAAATGTCATATCATACGTCATTTCATAGATATACATTCACAGACAAGGTAGAGAGTATTATGCACAAATTTGTAAAATAAAAACGTCTACGTCGGGTTGTAGTAAAAACTTAATTGTTTGCTTTTCAACTAGTTATTTTTTTATTTATTTCTGACCCACAATATGCAAATAGAACTAAATATATAGGAAGTATAAACAATATTTTCAGATTTTTTTTCTTTGTTTTTTATGTTTCAAAATACTTCTTGAAAAGTACGCCGGTTGAGTCTGTCAGACGTATTAAGTTTTTATGTGTCCTTTCAAATAAAATAATTTTAATCTAATATATAAAATTCTCGTGTCACGGTGTTCGAACTTGAACTCCTCCGAAACGGCTCGACCGATTTTTACCAAATTTGATATGTGTATTCAGTAGGTCTGAGAATAGGACAACATCTATTTTTCATCCCCCTATGTGATAAGGGTTGTTCACCGTTAATTTTTTTTTTATTTTTTAGAGAAAAATTTTAATTTCTATTTTTTTATGATACAACACACAAAACAATCTTCAATTTTCACCCTTCTACGATCAACCCTTATTTTTTAATAGACATTTTAGTAAAATTATTTATATGGCAAAACAACGTTTGCCGGCTCAGCTAGTTTATAAATAAAGTTTTTGTTGCCATTTTGCGACGCTTCATGGGTTTTCGAGTCGCAGACTTCACCTTAAACCTAAACCTGATACTGAAACTTAGAGAGCAATTTTTCAATTACGACGGGCGACTAGCTCGAAAACTCAAGAAGATATTTAAATCTTAATTAAATGACTTTTTTTAAGTAAAGGTGGCGCCAATGAACGCTCGCCGGTGCTACGTGTCCGTAGCTGTGATAGGTGAAACTATCTACGCCATGGGGGGATACGACGGGCACCACAGACAGAACACGGCAGAGAAGTTCAACCACAGGACTAATCAGTGGTCACTCGTAGCGCCCATGAACGCGCAGAGGTCCGACGCAAGCGCAGCTGCTTTGGAGAGTAAGTTTATTAGAAAATAGAGTTATACTAACTGTGCTCGCGACTTTGTCCGCGTGGAATCGTTATTTTTGGCATCAAAATTTGTTTTTGAAAACCTCCTCAACATCTTTATAATTCCTTGCAAGTTTACTTTTAGTGATAGACATATAGTGTCGCAGACATTTGTTTAGATCGTTTGAAGAGGAATCATTCTTTCTTAATCGCTTTCGCAGCACACGCAATGGAAACCCACAAAGATTTGCAAAAACAAATTTTGATGTCCACATTAACTTTTCTACACGAACACTGACAGAGGTAGTATAAAAGAAAACATTGGTGTTTTCTTTTATACTACCTCTGTCAATATCACAAATATCACAGATTCTGTTTTAACAAAGTAATATTGTTTTTATAACACATATATTTTGAGTTTTGTTTGTGTTATGTTTGAATCATGTATGTAACTTAATTGATTTCACAGACAAAATCTACATAACGGGTGGATTTAATGGGCAGGAATGTATGAACAGTGTGGAAGTATACGATCCGGACACAAATCAATGGACGAATCTTGCGCCTATGAGATCTAGGAGGTCTGGCGTGTCTTGTATAGCGTACCATAACAAGGTAAAAATATATACACACACATAAAGCAACAAACGATGTTATAATCGAATAACGAGTTAATAATTCTTAATATTTTAAATAAAACGCTTTTAACGGTTTAAACTCGAAATATATTATTCAACTTATTTAGAATTTAGTTTACCTACGCCCCGATGTTTTGGATACTTTATAGAAAGCATGGTTACGGTAGGATAGTCCTGGTATAAATTAAAGAAAGTAAATCAGTTAACTGATATATTAAGCGTTTTAAACCGCTAAGAGGGTTTTTTATATTATTATATATTGGTGTGCTACTTGCGTCAACAACAAACAGTACCTACTTAATCTTATTAATGAGAGAATGTGTGGTTTACTATCAATATACATAATTAAAAACCGTAAATCTCTTAACATTATGACAAAGTTCGTCGTAGGAACGCCGCTCGAAAATAGAGATGTAATTTATTTCATTAGCCTATATTCCTGTCGTAATCTGGCTCGCTCTTTATCAAACCACTGTTCACTTAGAATTGTTTGAATGTCTTCAATATTTATCAGTCATGCTCCTAATCTCCTATTGTTTACAATATAAAAGTAAATAAAAGCGCTACATCAAAATTCGGTATTTATGAACAATAACGAAAATGTAAACAAAGAAAAGATGAGCTCTCCTTCTCTTTCTTTTTATTTTTAAGTAGCCTGAACCTAATTGCTTTGGAAGTCGAACCCAGGACGAATTGTTCGTAATATAGTGCTACGCACTCAATCATAGAAATAAGGAAGTTTTACATAAAATAATAAATAAGGTTAAGACTAATTCGTAACAATTTTATAGATTTATGTGATAGGCGGTTTCAATGGCATTTCGCGGATGTGCAGCGGCGAGGTCTACGACCCGGCTACGAACGCGTGGTCCCCAGTTCCCGATATGTACAACCCTAGGAGCAATTTCGCGATCGAAGTCATCGATGACATGATCTTTGCGATCGGGGGCTTCAATGGAGTCACGACGATCTACCATGTCGAGTGTTACGATGAGAAAACAAATGAATGGTTACTCTTCCATGTTATATATCTACGTACTAGCTGTGTCAGCGACTTCGTCCGCGACAATCGTTATTTTGAACATCCAATTTCGTTTATGCAAACTCCTTCATCTTTAAAAAATTAAGCTGTTACCCTTGACTTGCTTTTTCTTGCAAGTTATTCTTAAAGCATAGACATATAGCGTCTTCGTTTTTATTTAAAGAGGAATGATTCCTTCATACATATTATAACTGCAAATCACAAGGTCTAGTTCAAATCCCGTGGCGGATTAAGTAATAGTTCAGTTTTTATCTAGTGTTCTCTAAGAGTTAAGTTTTTATTTTATTACCGGCCAGTGTTAGTGTTTGGTGTCAACATCCTTGTGCCTTGAACAGAACGTTAACCCGTCAGGCTGGCAGGCCGTCGGTTATCATCATTAGATTAGGAGCTAAACTGTGTTCAAATTGTATTGCTGTACATTTTTTTTTTATATAATAGAGGAAGACAAGCCCTTGCTTGTTCACTTGGTGGAAGGTGAAATATCCCAACAACATAACATCTTCACAAGATGCGCTGTCGTCCTATTTTGGCTCTGGATATTCAAGAACTGCTTTTTAGGATATTTCTTGCACTTAGCGCGTGGCTTATTTGCTTATCTAACTTTAGGGATATAATATAGAAATAAAAAGTTTATATTTAGGTACGAGGCAACAGACATGAACATTTACCGGTCAGCTTTATCCGCGTGCGTAATCATGGGACTTCCGAATGTATACGACTACATACACAAGCATCGCGAACGCTTGATGGAGGAGAAGCGGCAGAAGATTCTTCTGTCGGAGACCGCGAGGCACCCACAGCATCGCACTGCCCTCCCTGACGTATGTATCTATCATAGAAAAACCCATTAACTGAATATATCTCTGGAATTTCCGAGTTTCTCACAATCTTAATTTACTTTACATTTGAGAAATTAACGGATAGTCTTTTCACAGTGGTTTTATTATTTGACAGTGATTTTTTATAGTAAACCACGCGAAGTATTTGACGTTTTTTAAAAATCACTAGATGGTTTATAAACTTTGGAGTACTAGTGGCCATCAAACACTCGACATCTATTTCTTAAATTAACAAAAAATACTACACTAAATTACTTAGAAACAGTTAAATGAATAATGTAGAATCCTTAATAAGAAATATTATACCCAGTATACCACAAATGTACAAACACCTAATAGAGTAAATAATATTTTAAAGTTTACTTATGTGTATATAAAATGGTTGTTAATTTTAAAATATTAATGATAAATAACAGTCTTAAGCCATTGAAATCGTACCGTTTTATCATCTTTCTTTTATTATTATTTTATTGACCTCTGTCAGCGATTATCTTGAATGCTAATAATTCTTTATAAAATAAAGGATAAGAGGAACGAACATGAGGTAGGTAATATATCTACGTGGTTCTATAGAACTTATACGTATATGCGGCGGCTTTGGTTATAGGGCAATTTGACACATGCAAAAAGATTATAGTAGGTATACTAAAAGAACCATAAGGAAAACTCGATTTTTCTTTCTTAGTTAGAACGTGAAGTAGAATGTGAAGAAACTGTAGCATTCATTTTCGAATGGATATACTAATTGTATATTCGTTAGGTACATCTAACGGAAGATAACGACGACATGTTGGAGCAGCTAGGTTTGATGGACAACCCGAATATAGATGTGCCAGTACCACCGCCACCACCGTTACCTCCACAGCAGCACCCTCTACAACCGCAACCCATGGAACAAGACAGGAACTAGACTAGTACCTACATATATACATAAACTTGTCTGTTCTTGCAATAGCTATAAAATTTATTTAATATACATAAAAAAAAAAAAATATTTCTTCCTCCTTCCAGGTTCCAAAGAAGACTATCAATTATCTAACTGCTACGTACCTAAACTTAAAGAAACCCGTCGAGTAACTCATTACCAGAAAATTGTTTCGTAACCGTTCTTATTTTTAAAATATTTACAATATTATTTTGGTAATTTTGCAATATTTTTAATGTGATTGATTGAATTTCATATTGTGAATCATACCTGTATTTTTGGAATAGTTTTTGAAAATGTATCAAATTTTTAGGAAGATTATAATATACGATATTGAAATTGTTTCTCATGTTTTATTTAAGGAACAAGCTTTAAGTAGTAAATAAAAATACATGTATCGGTAACACTTTATTTTCGCCTATTTCCATCAATTATCACGTCAACTTCCCTTGGTGCTTTGAACTCGATTTCTGCCCCATTGCTGCAGCTTTGTCACGTGTCATATACATAGTCTGGGGTGTCTTCCGCGCCATTGGATTTAGGAAAAGAGCTGACAGGACGGTCTATCAGCTGCTGCCATACTCTTTCCGTCCATGCCACAGCAGTGAAACAGGCTCCATTACTAAGAAATGCACGTAACAAAACCGGGCTTAGTCCGCGAGTCATACAGCGCCAACCATCTGTCCGTATAGATTTAACAAAGCAGTCCCATGCACTTGAATATTTCTTAACCACGTCCCCTTGTAATCTTGACTTAACAACATCGACAGGATAGGATATCACCCACGAGAACGCACCAGCTAAACCTCCGGCAATAAACACTCTCATCGCATCTTGGTTACCCCGAGTCATTGCTTCGTATGTCATAAAATACATCGTGAAACCTGGGCAATCACGGAGTATTGTTACACCCAGTCCACGAAACAGACCCCTGTAACCACTTGTTCTAATTACATGTCTGGCGCCTGACCATGCTCCATTTGGCATTGTTTCGCCAGGTTTCGCGAGTTGTTGACGCGTTTTGATTAATTCAACTGGTGCACACACTATACTTTGAAGGAATCCAGCTACTCCTCCGGCTATTCCGTGACATATTAAGGATTCAGAGTTGGGCATTGCCTTTATTGTGTTTCCATAGGAGCCGAAGACGATTGCGTTAATGGCAGCAATTCCTCCCAGAGGCGCCCCTACTCCTCGATATGCCGTCGCCAATGATCCATCTTTTAAAAGAGCTTTCGTACATTTCAACACACTGCGTCTACCAGATTGAACGTGCACTTTCAAAGTGTCCAAAGGATGCCCGACTATTATTCCAGCACAACCTGCGATAAGATGATTTGATTAAAACTTTACTTGCTATTATTTTACTAGTTTATAGATTAGGTAGAAAACTTAATATAACTACCTCCTATGCAACCAGCTACAAAGTCGAGCGCCATTTCTTTACTTAAGGAATAAATAGTTACTCTAATCAAGATGCACCTGCAAGAAAAGTGGATTAAAAATTCAATTGAACTCACATTCCAGGTTAAAAATGATGAATTAATTAATCTTAAGCCTTTTATAAGACAAAAAATCTTACCTAGCTTTAGTTCAAATAAGGTAATCGTAATGTGAGTTGACGTTGCCTCCACCGGAGGTCACTCCAATGAACATATTGGTGGGAAGAGCGTTCAAGAGCTATAGTCGGTGTGCTATGGTGAGGAGCCTCGATAAAAGTACGCGGCAAGTCATCAGCGAATCGTCCAATCCAGACCTTTCCACTCATTATCATAGGTCAGACCTTATCTTTAGGGGCATATGAGATTACAGTACTTGCTCTCAAAACAATACATTCAAAGCGATTCCAAACTAAATGAGAAAACGACTTTGCGAGTTATTTATTTACAGATCCAGTATACTTTTTTAAAGGATGTAAGGTAATATTATACTTCACCTGACAGTATAGTAAGAGAGCTTAGTTCTTAAACATAAACAAAAGAACGGCTTAAATACCTATTAAACAACTCAAAGCTGTTATAAGAAAATGACCAACATTTTATGATTTCTAAAAATTTGTTTTTTAAAAAATCGGCGTCCTACACTCTGACCTATTTATTTGATTATTGTATGGTTTTAAATTTATAGTTGAGTTACTAAGTATTTATAATTATTTGTATATCTTAATACTTCTTATTTTTTATTGATTAAAACGACCATCCTGAAAATATACAAAAGTAGCCTCCAAATAATATTAAAAAACATAGGTATTCTTAAATGAGAACCTCTCGTCTGAATGCCCAAGATTTGTGAATATTTCTCGATATTATAACACATACATAATAATGACACATATAGTATTTTTTTGAAATTAAGAGTTATAAACTTTTTTATAAAATATAATAGATCTTTTTTTAAGATTATTTTATCAAACAAATAACAATACAGTACAAATTTTAATTTATTCAAGATCGTACTTCGTGGAAAACTACAGTGGGAGTAGTGGACTTCCAATGTGGTTTTCCACGTTTGTTTTTATATACTTAGAATATTCATAATTATTTAAAGAAAAGTAAACAACCAATTTGCATCGCTATGAAAGGAGAAATCTGTTTATAAGTGATTGATGTATATACTGTGTTTAAAATATGTCCTTATTTTTTTGTATTACTACCCGACCCTAATGAAAGACTTGATTTTATCTATGTTTCAATCAGTGCAGTTAAAATAACGATTTAACGTATATTAATGTTAATAATATTGTGATATGAACCGTCTTAAAATGATAACAAATAATACACAATAATGTAACCAATAAATTAGATAAAAGTTTGTTAAATATTCGTTTGACCGTCATCGACGAATGTTTACATTGAACAGTTATAAACGGGTTGTCAAATTCTGCCGGACGGGGAAACCGATATTACCGATTTCGGATATAAAAAATTGTACGTTATTTATTGCTTTTTTTTTTTAAAGCATAACCGTGTAACTATCTATCAGTCTACATTTTATGCTAATGTCAACTGTCATATTTAGCATTTTATTAGACTAGAAAATACGCATTTTAAGTCTGTGCCCTGTGGCAACGGCAATCAATATTGTTTACTAAAATCATTGATGCGTTGTTTACACTTTTTAAACTTTTGTTAAGGTTGTTATTACTTAAAAATTGTTTTCCTTACGTTTACAACCACGACATCATTAAAGAAGTGTTAATAATAAATATCGCAATAATACTGCTTAAGTAATACTTAAAAACAACAGAATTACTACAAGAAAATACGAATATGGAACCCAATAAAGAAGACTCCGATAAACATGTGGAAAACGATGAACAAGTAAAAGAACTGACCAAAGCTGATACACAATATATCAACTGTCGCATTTGCACAAAATATGATGAAGTGTTCTTCCCTATAAATTCTGAAGAAAATGGGCAAACGTTAGGCGATATGTTGTCGTCAATTGCATCAATAGAAGTATGTTTACAATAAACACTTGGATATCATTAAAAGATTTTATTCCTTCTAACGTTATAGGATATCAACTTGAAAAATATTGTTTCAAAATGTGTGTGTTTCTTAAACGAAAATCTGCTATTTCAGATACCATTTAGCGACATGATACCATTTCAAATGTGTATGGAGTGTCGAAACAATGTTATATTTTGTTTTGAATTTAAAATTAAGTGCCAAAACTCGTTTTATGCTTTGCAAGAGGAATTACAACAAACAATAATAGAGATAGGCCAGGGTAACCCCAATAGGTAATGTGTTTAACATCTGTTCAGAATCCAGATATTAAATAATATAGAGAAAAAATTAATTACAAATTACATTGCACTTTTAGTATGTCAAAAATGACAGAATGGAATGTTGCAGTAAAAAAAGAAACTCAAGAAATAGAAAGTTATATCATGAATGTAAAAGAAGAAATGCCGGATGTGAATAATGGTATAATATAATCTGATTTTGTTGTTCTTATTTTACTTATATTTACTGACTATTTATTCATTGGTTACAGTTGCCGAATATTTAGATGATAATATATTTGAAGATGAGTGTTCTAAACAAAATTCAAAAGAGGAAAGGTAAGGGTTACTCAAATCAAATATTCACCTATTTCTATGTCTTTTAATTATATTTCATTGTTCTGTCTTTAAATTATATATTGAAGAATATGCATTCCTTACAAAGTTTTACTTTAGCTGATCTTAAGACAGCGACATAGACTGACTATAGATTGAAAAATAGATAAACATAAATACGAATTTTAAATAGCGACAATAATACCCATACTTCCTTAAAAATCTTACTATCTATATATAGTTGGTTTTATTGGGGTTCTTCCTTTAATGACTTATTGTTGCATTTAACCAATGATTTAACACTGAAATATCAGAACCTGTGGTGTATATTTATCTATATAATGTAAAGCGGCCCATAGACTATCAATATTATTGTGCAATTTTATATGGACAATACTTTGACGACCCCAGACGCACAATATTATTGTACAATAAGTTGGTTTGTGCAATAAATTGAATTGTGTGGGCGTGAATATTAACGGTTGTACAATATTTGGCACAATCAAGAGCACAGACGATCAATTTGCTTGGCAACAGGTTGTGCAAACAGTCCCCACCAAAACTCCATTCGGTGAAGATGTTGAGTCAAACTGAGTTGTGTGCTGTTGCTATTGCTGTAGCGGTGAGTGCAAAGAAGAGAAAAAAAGAACAGAGCTCGCGAAAAGGGAGAAAATGGGCCAAACAGTTGTTCATTGACAGGGAGAAACACACCCACGAAACATTGCTGAATGAACTGAGAGTTGCTGAACCACACGATTTTCGCAAATTTTTACGGATGGACGGAGTATTATTCGACGAACTTCTCGCTTTGGTAACGCCTCAAATCGAGAAAATCAACACTACCATGCGCGATGCTATTCCTGCAAGCCAACGGTTGTCCATAACCCTAGGATATCTCGCAACCGGGATCCTTCGAAGATCTGAACTTTTTAACTGCTGTTTCACCTCAGTCAATAGGTCGTATTGTTATGGAAACATGCACTGCTCTGGTCAACAGCCTCAAGGAATACATAAAGGTAAGTACTTTGTTGAATTTCATTTTATTTGGCAGTAAAAATGTTGGCATGTACGAAAAAATATAAATATTGAATACATATGAATATGAGAAAATATAAATACATTGGAAAAAAGTGCTTGTCTATAAAAAGGTATTCACGTGAATTTGAAGTTAAATTATTTCTTCTGAATTGGGATTATTTATTGAAGGGGTAATGATGGAGATTAAACAGTATAGGGAGTCCCCATTTGTCCCTGAAATAAAATATCATCGATGGCCTTCTTCGCAAACATCTGTTGTCGTGGATCCATTTTTCTGAGCTCAACTGCCCAAGCTGCAGCCACTTCGTCGCAGTCGTCTTCCGGTTGCTGAAGGCGCCTGGTTGTCAATTGAACCAATTCATCAGTAGGATGTGGAGGTTTCTTTTTTTTCATGTTTTTAGAAGGTCTAACATTAGCCTGAAAAATTAAAAGAGAAAAACTTGTATAGTCACTATTTTCAAAGAAACGTCAATATCAAAGTCTGAGAGATCTTAAAATATTTTAACTATACGCAACCATTAAAAGCTGTTGCTCTGTAGTTATTGTTTGTTACAGATCCCAAATACAGACCAAGAATGGAAAGAAGTCGCGCAAGATTTCTATAATCAGTGGAATTTCCCTAACTGTCTGGGTGCAATAGATGGAATACATGTCGCAATAAGGAAACCGTACAATTCAGGATCATTTTACTTCAACTATGAAAAAAAATTCAGCATTGTGATGATGGCAGTGGCAAATGCGAACTATGAGTTTATCATGGTTGATGTCGGAGTAAATGGTCGAATATCAGACGGCGGGGTACTCAATTACACGAATTTTGGGCAAGCACTTGCAAATAAAACACTGGGGATTCCAGAACCTGCTCAACTGCCGAATAGTCAAAAAGTATTGCCATTCGTTTTTGTGGGAGATGATGCCTTTGGACTGACTGAAAATTTAATGAAGCCCTACCCTCAAGCAGGATTAAATGTGGAGAGGAAAATTTTCAATTATCGGCTGAGTCGAGCTCGTCGTGTGATCGAAAATGTCTTTGGGATTTTGGTCAGCCGATTTGGTGTACTACAAAATCCAATAGCACTGGCTCCTGAAAAGGCTCGAACTGTTGCCTTAGCATGTTGTTATTTACACAACTTTCTACGTAAACGCCAACCACGAGTTTATGTCACAAGGAATCATGTGGATAGTGAGGATTTGATAGCTGGCGTTGTCACGAACGGATCGTGGAGGGATGGTATAGATGAGATAACAAGACTACAGTCAAACAAAATCTTCCAGGATGCAACAAACACTGCCAAAGTGGTCAGAGATACCTATTGTAATTTCTTCATCAATGAGGGCCAGGTTACATGGCAAAGGAAAATTGCAGGTGCAAATACCTCGGTCGATAATTAAATATGGAACAATAGGCGTTTTTGGTTGGAAGAAAGTGACTTACTTGAGTAAGATACTTGGTAAAAATTTTGTAGCAGTTGTTTGGATTTTGCAACATATAAACATGCTTAATAAGTATATATTGTGTGATGAACTTGTAGGGAAAATTAATCGAATAAACAACTTACTGCGTATCTGGTTTTATTATTTGCATGTTCATCACAATCCTCTTCATGAACCTCATCCATGTTTCTTGACATGTGTCCATCGTACTGATTGAAGGAGTAGCTGTTTCTTGTGCCTGAAGACATCTCATTTCTTCGAAATACCACAGTACAGGTTCAACATCTTCCGCACTTGCACCAGTTTTCTATGCTTCGCGAATCCCATTTAATTCTTTACGAAAGTTCGTATGTAAAGATTTTTTTTTTATCACATCTGGTTTCTCAGCATCCGGAAAATTTTCGCGGTTTTTTCCAACAACGTACTGCTCCCCAGTTCTGGTACAATTAGTATAATCTTTTATCACTTCTCATCCCAAAGAGCGAAAAGGCCGCGATTAACTTCAATAAACTCACAAATAATAAATTGTTTAACCGCTCTCTTGTCAACCATAACGACGCGTCACCACTACTAGATGAGACAGACTGACAGGATATTGCGCAATGCCGCCTACAGACGGCACAATTCTTTCCCGTTTCCACAATATATTTTTACGGGTTTGAATTTCACTCAATATATTGCACAACCTTTCAATGTCGTTTACACACGATCAGTTTTATTGTACATCCCGGGATATTGCACAATAATATTGATCGTCAATGAGCCGCTTTAATCTTATATGGTATTCATGGAATCTTACCGTTTTCAGATCACCTTCAAAGGTTAAAGAAAAAGGTTTGTATCAAGGAGTGAGACCTTGCTTTTCTGTCTCTCGACAAAAGAAATAAATATACATAAATTTATACAAGCAGCTTTCAGTAAATCTCTGATTTTTTACAGTTAAAGCTATAAACGTTGTCAAAGGCTCTGGCTTTAAAGTATTTCATCCCTGTAAAATATGCAATAAGGTAGTATTCGATTTTCATAATATATCTACTTTGAAATGTGTTATATTTGTTTTTACAAATAAAAATAGTTTTTCGTTTTCAGAAATTTGTTAGCGCTTTAAATTTAAGAGCTCATATGAAAATTCATAATTCAGACGAGAAGAATCTTATAAGCTGTAAAAATTGTAAGGAAAAATTTACATCTGAACATGATTTGACTGTCCATTCCGCTCTACATACTAAAGGAGATAAATGGAAGTGCTTTGAGTGTTCAAAAGAATTTTACGGTTTGTTGATATTAAGATAATTCTATTTAGGAAAACAACAAATTATTTTGTAGATGAGAATAGGTTGATTATTTGATCTTAAAAAAAATATTTACACCTTGAAATTTAAAAAAAAATCGACAAGGACGTGTAAAACACGATAGCTCAATTGATCCTAGCAACAGCACAGAACGCTGTGAATCCCGGTTCAAGTCCTGCCCGATATTTTTTTCAACCTTGAAGTTTACTTTAAAGAAGTAAAGTAAGAAATACCATTTCTCTCTATCTCAATTTATCTTGCCTCATTCCTGGCTGCTTAGATATTATTTTAAATTTAATTTCCCTACTTGTTCTTGTCAATAAGTCATTTATAAATAAGTACTTTCTCTATTTATCAAGCATGTCTACGATGTTTGGAAGAGATCCGTACATTTATATTCCTAGGTTTTTATTATAGTTTTAACAGTATTATCGATCTTGCATTATATGCATTTAACAAACTTTTTAAAGACCGCACGTGCTTCCGACGCCACATTCGTCGCCACTATAACACTAAGGAGTTCGCTTGCGAGTGGTGTTCGAAGCAGTTTGCGGAACTGTGTGGACTTCGACGGCACGAGCGCGTACACACGGGCGAGACCAGGGAGAATCGTTACAACTGTACTCAGTGTGATAAGAGGTGAGATATTAAAAGTTTATGAAATAAAGGACATTCAGAATCGATTATAATTTTTTTTTAAATACGACACGGACAGGACGTGAACTGGGATCCACGCGTATCGTGGTATTGCTCTTACCAATTGAGCTACCGAGTCCTACACGTAATTGGCGTTTTTTTTTCAACCTATTTAAAATATGTTTTAGTACTTAGATTGATACCTTTCATGTATTTTCAACCTTAACACTAATCGTACAATTTTTAATTATTTATACAGTACCATATGCAAAATATTAATCAATAACATGTGAAAATATTAAAGTTCTCAAATAACGGATATTGAACTTTGTGTAACACAAAGTTTTCAGCAAGGCACTAACTAGACACTAAGCCCACTAATGTGATTTAATTAATCGTCTTATCTGTGTCAACTACTTTACGAAAAATTCATTCTTCAGTCTCACTTATCGTCATAGAAGTTTGCTGTCTTCCACAATTAAAATCCCTTGCCTAAATGTGTTTAATTCTCTCTTGAGTCCTATATTTCAGGTACCCCAACAAATACCAGCTAAATATGCATCTGATGCGCCATACGGGTTTAAGACCTTGCACCTGCGATATATGTGGAAAGAGCTTTCCGTCCACTAGACTACTCAATTCTCATAAGTTGACGCACACAGATGATAAACCGTATGCTTGTCCAGTTTGTGATAAAAGGTATGAAGGATGAAATTAAATTGTGTGGCATAAACAAGGAACCCCAGGCTTTACCTAACGTCTCAACAAGATGTGCTACCGACATATTTTGCCTTTGGATATTCGGAATCTCCATTAGTTTCAATGTCAAGTTAAACAGTATAATTTTAAGTAACTAAAGGCTTATCGGCTTATATATACAATAGTAGCATTATATTTTAAAATTTGGACCAGTGAAAATTGGTGGTACGGATTGATGTTGGATGTCGGTTCAAATCCAGTCCAGTCTAAGTAGATTTTTAATCAAGTATTATTTAGATTATGTTCCTTGCACTGAGTTCACACGCTTGGCGATTGCTTTTAGGTTCCGGCACGAGTCTACGCGAAAATCTCATGTTCTGACGCACACCGGCGAAAAGCCAATTGTCTGTTCGATATGTGGGAAGACCTTCAGACAGAACTCGAATTTCACTGTCCACATGCGATCACATACAGGTAAATTTTATTATTTTCTTTAAATATAGAAAAGTGCTATTCTCAACGCTTCAAAACTTTAAAGTTCGGAAATAAAATTCGCTAGGTGATTTTTTTATTTCACCAGTACTTATCAATGATTTTATTTGGCGCAAGAATGGCTGTGTAGAGTTAACTTTTTAAATATATATGTTATAGGTGAAAGGCCATACGCCTGCAGTCAATGCACACGCAATTTCACATCCACATCAGCTCTAAACACTCATATGACAAGCCATTCTAAAGAAAAGCCTTTCGCTTGTCCTGTTTGCGGAAAGAGGTATATCGACTCTCAAATATTTATTTACCACTAATTGATTTTTTTATTTCCAGGCAAAATCCAACAGGTTTTATTTAAATTAAAAATTGATTAGAAGTCAGTGGAGATCGACCCCAAGACCCGCTGATATTAACAATATATTGCTATCATTAGATCAACGAGCCCGTGAAATGACTTGCTTTATTGTAGATTAAAAAATGATGAAATCCCAATCCAGGTTCCTTCGCCAGTCTCTGACAAATCACATGCGTCTACATACGGGTGAGAAAGCACACGCTTGCCCCGCATGTCCGAGACGTTTCCTGACAGCTTCGAGACTTAAGGACCACTCCAAAATACACACTGGTATGTTCACAATCACATCATCCACGATTGTATTTCGTGCTAATAAAGTTACTATATCTTCACCCTTTATGTAATTTCCTTTACAGACGAGAAGCCCTTTGAATGTAAGACTTGCAGTGCACGATTTAAGAAACAAATCACTTTAACAAACCATGAGAAAAAACATGCTGCTTACAAAGTGACCAAGGAAAAACCAGGTCGAAAAGGAAATGCCAAAGCAATGATAAAAAGAGAAGTAATTGATTACAAAGAAACAAGCGAAGACAACAGTGATATCAACTTACAAATAACAGAAGTTCCAATTGATGTTTCTGAGGAATTGGTTTTAGAGGATGACAGCAATGGTAAAACTGAATTAATTGTTATAGAAGAGAAATTGGTTTCACCACAACTATTAGATGGGATAACACTGAAGGTGTATCACATAGATCAAAGTCTCGTGCAAACACAAGAATAGAGAATTAAATATTGTAATTATAAATTTAAACACTTAAATCAATTTATTGAAGAAAGTGTGAGCCTTTTATTTATTATGTCCATTGCAATACTTTCTTACTACATACGTACTTCAAATTAAAAGTAATATAACAGGAAAGCATTTCTAAATAAAAGTATTCAACATATAATAAATAATTTTTTTATTGTAACAAAAAATATGGAACTACTTCTAATTTACACACTTAAATGCAAAGTTGTGTTATGTACACATCTGTATTAAATCCAGGAAGATTTCTTAGCCGCTTCATATTTCTGAATGTTAAAGAGCATAGATTCATGAATTTCCTTAGCATTTCTGTTCTGGCCATAATAGTCTACAAATTCTCCATTAGGGTCCACTAAGTATATAATGATTGTATGATCAACCTGAAAAATGCATGCACTATATGAAACAAATAGTAGCTAAGATTTTTGTAAGAAAGTTTTTGAATTTATTCTTGTTAAACAGAAATTCTTATTTTCTTTATTTTAACTTCTATTACTTACTATATAATCATCATCAACATCCTGCGGACCTGCACTAAAATATACCCGATAAGACCTACAGGCCTGCTGAACTTGCTCCTTGGTACCTGTGAGACCTAACAGTCTTGGTGTAAACTCTTTACAATATCTGTAAAAATAATTCAATTTGTTTTCATTGCTTTAATATATGTCATTGAAAAAATATGAGAGAATTATAGATAGTTGATTCTTGTAATCACGATTGTTAAAATATCAAACGTTGGGTTTAAGCTTGAAAAACCCCCTCTCCTATGAGTGAAAATACTGTGCTGAGCAGTGGGAGATTAGTAGAATGAAAGATAATTTAAATTAATATGTACTTACTTTCCAACAATTTCTGGTGTGTCTCTCTGTGGATCAACCGAAATAAACAATGGCTGTAGTGGTGGGGATGAAAGTGTTTTATCTAAAACAATATGTCTTTAAATGCAATATACAAATTATGAATATAAAATAAACATTGTTTCTCCTAATATGTATGGTAAATATATACAAAAATGAAGCTTACCATGTCTATCCACTACCTCTGCAAGTTTTTCTAATTCATCAGGGCAAATATCTGGACAGTGAGTAAATCCAAAGTATATCAATAGCCACTTGCCTAAGAAATCTGTGCTTTTAACTGTTTTCCCCTAAAATGAGATAGAATTCTTGTGCAATATGTAGAGAACATAACATGTTATATTATAATCTATTCAAAAATGTTAGTTATAATGTGAGGACTATAAATAGACAATTTTTTCCTCATAGACTAATACCTACTTCAGAGTCTACCAATTCGAAAGAACCACCAATTTTTGCCTTTCCAAGCTGCCGTTTTCTATCACGTTCTATAGCCTCCTGCTTCTCATTTTTCACATAGAGCATGAAACCCGTTAATCCACCAACGACTACTGCAGTCACACCCATTGATTTCCATGTTACTGGACCTATAAATTTTTTTGCTGGTCGCTTTGGCGGTACGGCACACAAATTTACGGGTGTGGAAGAAAAAACACGACATAATGGTCTTGCACTGTTTCGAAGTAATGAATTCATTTTACTCCTTAAAATATTAATCCTAGCATGTGTGAATATTATCTATCTCTAAATTATCTAATCAAATCACTATTTCGTGAATACATTCAAACTAGTCGAAAGAAGACCGGCACAGCAAGGGATGTCTATGTCTAATGTCACTGTCATACTCATAACTTACTAAAAATGTCATTAATAATGACCACAGACAATATGTGTATGAACGTTACGAAATAGATTACGTCCATTAAATATCTTATCTAATCGTTTATTTCGAACCATTATTACCTCTTGTTGTTCAAATATAACCCAATATTTTACACTTTTTCTACTACTTTTGTCTTTTTATATGAAAGGGGTTTGGGAAAATGAGCATATTAATATCTATAGTCTTATAAATAAAATAATACGTTTGTTTTCTTCATTGTAATATTAATAAGTACAGAATATTTATTAAACTGGACAACTTTGCACACATGCACACAGGAATAAAAGTATTTTATTAGAAGGCAAAGGTTGAACTAAACTGCGGAGCTGTCTACATTTCGAAATTTCGAGAAGTCGTGAGCCGCGGTAATGAAAAATGTAGGGGTGATGATACCAAAACCGCAACTATTGTAAAACCGTTCATTTATATATCTCGCGAAAAAGCCGAGTACTCCACAGACCTGTAGTATTCGCAAGAAAAAAGTGCATAATAAAATTACTCCAAAAATGTGGATAGTTCGTTATGTAAGTCTGCTAGTCTGAATGCTTTTAAATATTTACTCGACCCTAAAACATTGTGATAAAAAAAATATTATTCGCTCCTTATTATATTTTGTAAAAATGTATATTACATATGTTTTAGATTATCTTTACGGGGATCGCATGTTACTTAGTAGCAGCTCAGGAATATTTACCGCCAAAAATCAATGGAGGTGGTGGAGGTGGTAAAAAACCCATCTCAGAGCCAACGGTATACCAATTTTACTGTTTTTGTGGTATTTACAATATACAACAAACATTTATAAAGTAAAATGTTTCTCAATATTGAGCATTTACAAAAAATATGAAAATATTGAATTATAACCTCTATGCAGACTTCTTGGCACTTTATATACTTTTTATTATTTTATTTTGCACAAATTTTAATCACTTTATGTATATTTAAGAATATGTTCTTTAATATCCCGCCTAATAATCCATAAAAAATGTAATCCTCTTTCAGCTACCAATAAACTACGAGTATACCTACGATGTGCAAGATAATGCGATTTCCCTTGATTTCGGTCACACGGAAAAGAGGAAAGATGACAGAGCTTCAGGATCCTACCACGTTCTTCTGCCGGATGGAAGAACCCAACTCGTTGAGTACGAAGCTGGTCCGGAAGGATATAGGCCACAGGTTCATGATATTTTAGGGACTTAATTTCTATTGGACATTGCATAACAATTTTTCACAAAAAATATGGCGTATCCCTCTTAAAAAATTACACGATATTTTAAAAATCACAGTACGATACGGTAGCTCAATTGGTTAGAGCAACAGCACGGAACGTCGTAAAATACTTTCAATCCAAAATCGATTTCTAATTACGAAAATACGACGACACGAAATACTACTAACAAAGTAGTATTATTTACTCACAGTTCAACAAAAAATTAAGAGGCCTTAAGTACATGCATTAATTTTTCAGGTTATGTACATGGGAACCGCTACCTATCCAACTCAGTCAGGTGGCGGTGGAGACAAGTTTGAAGGTTACCATTATAATGCTGCTTCAAATAGGCAAACCGTAAGACAATCTACTCGCGGTGGTACTCGTCCGCCCACAGCTGCCCCCGCGCCCGCTCCAGCTCCGCCTGTCCTTTACGCCCCAGCTGAAAATACCACAGAGTAAAAATAGTTGCGAATCGAGTAAAGCGAAAATATGCCTGGAGGATCAAAAATAATAACTGATTATATATTTAAAACTTTAATGATCTATTTATATACTGTCTTTTATCAGCTACAGACCTACAACATTAAAAATCAGTCTACACTATTTTTTTTGTAATTATTGTAAAATTGTTAAAATATGCAGTGTATATCTATCTATAGTATTCTTTCGTATATGATTATTAATTTGTTTATTCAAAATCCAAAACCAATATGACAAAATACATTTTTAATTCAAACTGTCAATATGTATTGCATTTTATTGAGAAACCTTATTTTAAATGTTATTTTTTTGTTGTCATCAATAAAAACGAATACATTATACTTAGGACTTTGCCAAACGACCCTGATCCGAAAAAATATTGTATTTTCCTCCTTCGCTCAATTTCAAACTAAATCGAACGAAGCGAACTATAGTTTTCTTTTTATATTTTAATAAGTACTAAATTGTAAGTTAATATTTTACTGACATTTTGATCTAAACAGTAGTTACAGTTTATTGAACCTTTATAAGTATAAAATAATTTGTCTTATTAAACCAATATACTTTGTATATCATATACCTAGTTACCGATGATCGCATAGACAAAACTTTAAAATAAATTACTTTGTCATGGCGATTCTGTCGACATATATTACTAGAATTAACTTAATCTCTACGTTGCATGTAATATGTCTATGTTTTGGTCCGGCCAGTGTACACGGCGATGTGTGGACGATGTGTCGAAGCCGATATTATCGAAAGAGTGGTAGTCCTTTTGCATACTCATTTCAGCTAGATTTCTATACCTGAAATATATACAAGATAGTAAGAAAGCTGCCTCTGTTGCTAAGGGATATGATTCGGATATGAGAATTGTTTCGGTACGGGAACAGTCTCGGGAAGGGTACATTATGTACTAGCTCCATGCGTGCAGCGACTTAGTCCCCATATAATAGTTATTTTGGGCATCAAAATGTGTTTTTGCAAACCGAGGAGGTCTCTATATAAATTTTAGCTTTTACCCACAACGTCGGTTGCGCCCCTTTGTACTTACAGGTTAATTTTAAAAGACAGACATTTTTAGATCATTTAGTGAGGAATTATTCCTTTATACATATTTTTTGAGATCTTCAAACGTATTCGTAGCGTACGCAACGGAAAACCACGAAGTTAAATAATTTTCCCGGATTTTACATTTCTTCACTATCTCTAGGTTCCTATTAGTCGCAGAGCGATTTTTTACCTTCTATAGCATATAAATGTTCTAACCAACACAAAAATAATTTTTCAATTCGAATCAGTAGTTCCTGAGATTAGCGCGTTTAAACAAACAAACCTTTTTAGCTTTATATATTAGTATAGATATGGTTGTTTATTTTTAATTATAATTGTAATAACATACCTCTTTACAAGCACACAGCATCCTAGCAGTAGCAGCACTTGAATGGCAAGCCAGGCAAGAAATAAAGCTACGAGCAGTAGTTCATGCACGCAGACCAATCCACCATCGCCCACTTGAACGTCTTCTGCTAAAAGAATACGTATTTTAAGTAGTCTACTTGTGTCTTTGACAACTTCTGATATCATTAAAATAAACTAGTCCGGGTGGACCCTATCTTTAAAACGATATTCGACAAGGTATATGTGAGTAGTGGTTCGGCTAATGCAGATAATAAAATGCCGATAATATAAGTTTAAACAATTCGACAAAATTCTTAATTTTTTTTGTATTCGAACCAGTAGTTTCTGACATAAGCCCGTTCAAACAATATATTATATATTAGTATAGATGATAAAAATAATCAAACTCACGCAAAGAAGATCTGTGGTCAGCTCTGACAAGAGTGTCGGCGGAAACGATGTCTCTAGCGCCCACCACCATTTCTAGTTCTAGTGGAATTCTACCATCGCCATCGGCACACATCGCTGTAACACCTTGGGCTACTACATTTGGAGCCCAAAATGCCTATAAAAATACAAAAAATGTAAAATTGTTACAATATAAAATAATTGCGACTCTAGTTTTATAATACCTCTGAAGTGACTGCTGCAACCTCGCTGTCGTAAGTGCTGTTTGTTTGGCGGGAATTTCTGAATTGTTTACCACAATTTACCTGAAAAAAAAGTTGTTATTTTGGGCATGGAAACTTATGTTCCCATCTCTTCTTTTCTTTATAAATTATAGCTGTTACCAACGACGTCATCCGCTCCCTATTGTTCTTGTGAGTTTTATCATTTAAAGAAAATTCATGTCTTACATATTTTTTGGTTTGAAACAGGATCAATGAAACAAAATCAATTCGAACCAGTAGTTCCAGAGATTAACGTGTTAAAACAAACAAACATCAAACAAACTCTTCAGCTTTACAATATAACTATAGATATATATATATATATATATACCGGTGCACATTTTTCGTCACAAAAGCGAACCATGATTGCAAATCTGACAACGTGTGAATTGGGGAAGCGAAACGCCTTGAACTTCGCCGACAGGCGTTGTGTGTTGCCCTCGAAGGTCCGTGTGAATGATGGAAAGTCTACCTGTGATAAAATAATATTGTTACTCTTGGAATTAATGAACACACACATAATATATTAACGAATAACGAATCTATTTTTAACGGTTTAAATCACCATCATATTTATAAGAAATTAGCTAATAAAACCTGGCAGAAAATTGTACAGCAGGATGTTCGGTCGGGTATAAATGTTTTATGAAAGTATACCGCGAGAGTTTCCTCGATTGAGGAAACTCCGATGCGGTGCGATTCCGTGGGGATCACTTACACAGATGAAAAAGCCGTGAAATTTAATCACGTTTCTGTTTCAGTCTGTGGATTTCCGAATAATGAAAGCCAAAATAGGTCGATATAGCATCTTGTTTAGATGCTATAAGCTGAGGTATTTCATCTATCATCAAGTGGACCCCGAGCCTGTCTGTCGTTCTCTGTCATTAACAAAATGATATAACTGTTACAAATATGAATATTACCTGTCCAGTTGGGCATCCTCTGCTATCGAGTAATAAGACAGAACTCTCTCCTAGCTTCGAAGAAGCGACTAAGTGGTAGGCTTCAATCTCCGCTTCATCTAAAAAAGGTTTTCGAATTCAATCCAACGTTATAATCAGAAATTTATACTTTTAAAGTCATTCTATACGTATTACCTGTGGTTCTTAAAACCCATCTAGTAAAAAATCAATTCCCTTTTCGTTATTACTAAAATTATCTAATTTTACTTACTTGCTTTCAGCAAGCGGAACTCACCAGTCGTTTCAATTCGTAGTTCCAGTGGCTCTCCAAGTGACACAGCTACTGGCCCATTGTCCATTCCGGTCCGTACCACGTACATACTCAGAGGAGCAGATCCAGAACCGAACACTGCGCTTGCTCCGGCTTCTGAACTGGTTTCGCTCACTATCGAAGGCCTACTATAGTTTTAAACGTAAATCATATGAAAAAATTATTCTTAGTGTCTCTGCTAATTCAGAAGTCTGTAACTTAGCTAAACTTTCAGAATAGGCGTTTAAAAGAGGTTTTTCTAGAAAAGTGACATATTAGTTTAGGCTCGTCGACCAGCACCAAAAAGTGGAGCGGTAGAGCTTTTTAATCTAAAATTACGCTCTCTATGAGATAAATATCTATGAGAAAGGACAACAGCTATCCTATTTTGGATTTATAAGTATAAGAAGACAATTCTCCTGTGTACTTAAATAATGGTGTAGATATGGGGACCTTAAAAACTTCAACACTGAAATAAATTCTGGTCACATAGCATTTCCGTAATACACAATAAGAAGGAACCTTGACTTTATAAGGCTTGGCCTTACTGAGTCGTTGAATTGATGTTACGATGGCACATCGAATGAATTAGGCCGTTATGCTAATTTCGAATTGCAAGTAGTAATATATTTCTGCCACAAACATAATTTCGTTGAGGAAAAGTTACCTTATAAATATTAATTTCTAAGTATATCTAAGTTTTTGGAGTTTGGGTTTTTAACCAGTCAATGTTCGTGTTGGTGGTAAGACTTCTGGTTATCGAGTTACTCGTTAAAAGATAATATGTCAATTTATCACTTGATGTTCTTTTCTCGTTATTTTTTCTTCTATAAATATTTAACATTTACAATGACATATATACAATATATAATTGACATACCTGGTATCTCGTACGGAGACAGTGGCATCAACTTTAGTATATCCACGAGAACCAGCACCAGGAGAACAGCCAACTCTCACCCATCTATCACCCGCTGTCTGGATTATAGGATTGTTCTGGATCATTAACATCACGTACGCCATTGTCCTTTAAAATAATACTCATAGTGTTTGATCCATTATCTTTAATCAAGCGTTAAAAACAATAAATTCGATGAAACTGAAAATAATGTTAAAAGACTATGCTGTAAGAAGAATTGTGTCTACCTTTAATCTGATATTTTATGAGGGAGCGAAGCTTTGAAATAAGCGATGTGAATAGGAGGATAAGAATGAATACATATCTTAATATCTCTCAATGTCAGTCAAATGTATGTGATAACGTTTGTCAAAATATAATAATAACTTAGGTTAGGTAGATGACACAGGTTGTTAAAACTCCCAAATTTGCAGGCAATTCACTCGTAGTTACCTATTTACAATTCCATTCGGTCCTTTAGAGATAGCATATGCAAAGTTGACGTCACAATCCCCATAAAGTGGTAGAGCTAACTTGACAACACCAGTGAAAGCCCTGGCGCTGCACTTTTCACCACGACCCGGTACATACATTCTTCCTTTGAATGTTCCACGAGGTCGGTACGTGACTAACAAGTTCGATCCTTCACAGTCCACAGAAACTGACGAAATAAGACTAATTCATTATTTGTCGGATCAAAAATATAAAATAATGATGTTTCATTTAATTAAATAGCTTACTATTCAAACAGATGACGCGGCGATAGTATGTAGCGGCTGAAACTCGTCTCAAAAGCCAGGAGCCAGCAGTAATAAGGTCCTCACTGTGCAGGTCACAAAGACCCCGAGATAACGTTGATGTCCAGGTGAATCCACGGCATATAAAGCGATCTTCATTTTCACAAGCGGCTTTGCACTATGATAGAAGACATATTTAATTTACGCCGAAGATCCATTGTTGTTTTAAAACTATCTTCAAACACTGTCTGTCGTTTACGCGAGTAGTACACATTGAAATAAAACACTTCAACGGTTTAAAACGCGATATATCTTAGCTAAACTTATTTCCTGCCCGACGTGTCTAGCCATGGCCCTAGTTAAAATAATGTTCACATAAGTTTCATAAATACATATCGCGTTTTAAACCGTTAAAGTGCTTTATTGAAATATCTTTAAACAGTTTTTCAAAAAGTTCAATAATCATTGTATATGTATATAGCATATTCACGTCGGGTCGCGTCGGGCTTGCAAGCGATTATCGCGCGTGAATAATTGTATTTACTACACTGTAACGCGCTTATCTGATGCACATTGTATTTTCGTAATGGCTACGACGGAAAACTAGCTTTTCCGATTGCAGTAAAACTTAATCCTTATCAAACTACTGTAGTGAAAATTGTGTTAAAAGGTTGTTGGTTCAATAAAAGTAATGCCTGTCTGATAACCATTGGGTCGTGAATTCAACCACTGGATACAGAATCTTGTTATTTTCTTTTTTAAACACGTTTGACCAAAGTAAAAAGTGTTATATACAATGAGTGGTTTGTATATCCTATGCGGAATCCAGGAAACCATGAAAATTCGCGATTCAGTTTTAGTCAGTGGACTCTATACGTATAAAGCCAAAAAAGGTAAAAATAAAGTGTAATTCGACGTTACACGGCTGTCGTAGAGTCACCTTCGATTAAGAACTCTATGCTTGACTGTCCTTCTCTGCTATTTAACATCTAATTATTATTTTTTCTGCTCACAAACACAACTAAATGAACAAACCTCATCCTTCGTTGTATTTTGGATGCTTAAATCGACCCGTTTTAATGTCTGATTGTTATACTCTTCGTAGGAGCATCGATCTATTTTCTTTGGATCTGAAGATAAAGGAAGAAACATAAAAAGTAATATTTGTGAATATTTTAATCGTAAATACTGTCTGTAGTTTACGCGACTAGTACACTTAATAAAACACTTTAACAGTTTAAAGCGCGATATATATTACATAAACTTATTTGAAGTTATTTAGCTACGGCCCGACGATAAAGTTAACTAGTATATATCACGTTTTAAACCGTTAAAATTTAAATTTAAATATTCTAATCATGTTTCAAATACTTACAGTCATGGTCACAATCATTTTCAATATAAAACGTGTAGTAGTTAGACACCCTGTAGGACTCTGGTTCAGTGAATTTGTTCTCTACATTCAATACACAATTCCCAACAGCAGTGTCGGATACCAAAAACGTGTCTAAGGGACTGTTTGGTTCTACCCATTGAGCTGATCTAAAAATATAAGGACAGAAAATATAAGTAAAAGAAATTTAAACAGACACCTACAGATGTATAGTTTTAATTGGAAAATATTTCATAAGTAATATAATTTCTTCAATTAAACAGTTTTACAATTTCCTTGTTACGTGTCTAAGTATTTTATTTAATTAATTATTTATACGAGTATGTCATCTCGCGTTCACTACATATACAATGTTACATGAGATATCATGCTATGCGTCTTATTGTTGATGATAGTAGCAAAAAAGTGCTACTACTATAATTTGAACTTTTTTATACAAGACGACAGGAAGACAGACTTTATTCTGTGGATTGCGATGCGATCATTTCGACATTTCTACCACACATTCGATATTAAACTTGCTGCTAAAAAACGTACCTATACTTTTTCTCATTAGACGAAAATAGTGCGTTGTAACATTCTTGCACTGTCGAGTTGACCAGAATTTTACTATTACCTTCGGAATTCAAATAGTAACCTGGAGTACTCTCTACTGACCACCACTTTCTACTGCAACTGGCGGCCACTGAAATATATAAACAATAGATTAATCCTGCTACACCTTTTTTTTTTAACTGATGGTGTGAATGCCTAATGCACGCCCAAAGTTGTTTCAATCTAAAATCGATTTTTAATTTATATAGTGCCATCATGTGAAAATATAAAAGGTTGCCAATGTGCATTATATGTAAAAATAAGTTTTCGATACTCTTACATTTCAAACATGTTTTCGTAAAATATGCGACGTCATTATCCGTACGTAGGTGAGTGACCGGCGCAGAAGCAAGACCCTGACAACTGCCTTTGGTATACGTCACAACAACAGATGCACACTCTTCTAACTCTCTACATCGGGCAATACAAGCTCCTATAAAAAGAAAAATGCTGAAAGAATTAGAGGTCGTTCCTATTCGAAGGATCAGGAAGAGGTTTTTTAATTTTTAATAACATTCAGTCAATAACTATTTATATTATTAGCGTAATAGCTTTATCGCGGATATTAGCTCGGAATTCCACAAATATGAAAATATTTTCCCGTTTTTCCACATTTCCGTCTATTTCTTAGCTCCTATTGTTGGTTTATAGCCTAAAGCCTTCCACGATAAATCCTATTATCAACACAAATAATTTTTCAATTCGAATCAATAGTTCCCGAGTTTAGCGCGTTCAAACAAACATACAAACTCTTCAGCTTTATAATATTAGTATAGATTTGTTGCCTTTGTTACAATTTACCTGTTAGTGACTCTTCTCCACCGCTCGCTGAGTACATGAAGACGGGCCTAGCAGTATCTGGTGTCATCCCAGACCAACGAACGAAGCTCTGTGATTCATACTGACGGCATACTGCGCTTACTTTAACAAATGACTTAAATACACATCACATATTTCTTATGATAGAGCAAAACAGAAAGGCATGGCATTAACTCAATGGAAGGTACCCCAGCCACATAACATCTCAACAAAATGCATTGTCGACCTATTTTGGCTTTGGATTTTCGGAAATTCACAGACTGAAACTGAAGCGCGATAAAACTTCACGGCTACCAAGAAGCCGTTGGTTGGTAACCCGGGCGAAACTTGGATATTTCTAACACCCATTTAAAATCCAAATTTCCGGGCATAGTCTAACTTAATTCAGAAAATATAAGTTTCGAAACATGGATCGAACCCACGACCTGCTACGACAAAACCAACGACAACCCTTCAAAATAACACTATCTCGTCGGTCTAGTGGTTAGAGCAAACATGAGGTCCTTGGTTCGAATTCTAGATCAGGCGTAAGTATTTGGAATTATACTAAGATACGTTCTAGTACCAGGATGATGTTGGTTATAAGGAGGTGTACTGTTTGGAGCTCGTAAACTTGCTAGTATACTGGCTAATAACTATATATAAAATAGCTTAAGTGCGTTTTATTCGAATAGAATTAAACGCGCGCGAAGCTTTCTTACAAATTTTACAAAAAAAAAACAATTAATTAAAATATCACTTTTTATAATACCTTTTGATCTCGTCTGTTATTTGTACTATAGTTTAGTCATACCTACATATTTAGAATTATTTCAAAATGGATATTAATATTTAATTCGGGTTCCACTTTCAAATCAGGTTTGTTTATTTCTCGCTCTATCACAAACCACTAAGAATTATTAAATATAAATATTTAATAACTACTTGTGGTTCATGATTTGATTGAAAGAATTAATACAGTTCTAGGTTCTGGGTAGATATTTTTCAAAGTTTTGGACTGTCCGTATACATAGCGTTTAATATTCAATATGTCGATAATATTATTATAAGTTAGCACAAGGATGTAACCAGCTTCCAAGCATGTTTTGAACAGTATACAAAGATCTCATCTCTAGACAACACGTTTTTCAAGTCTGACTCGAGGAAAGTGAGTGTTACGTATACCAAGACTTTAATTAATTACTCGATGGAAATAGTGAATATTTCGACTAGAATAAGCAGTCTTTCAAAAACAGTGACTATATTATCTATAACGACATGTATAGCTTAAATCGCGTTTTAAACCGTTAGTGTATTATTTAAATGTGTACTACTCGCGTAAACTACAGACAATATTTAACATGTATAGTATAGTTAATGTTGCTGACTCATTAAAATCAGTATGCGTTATTAACATAACTTAACTTATCTATATATGGTGTCTCTCTCGTTCCAGATGAAGATTCTACACTATCGGATGATGTTTCTGCTTTTTTGTATACTCGCAACGATACAAGCGCGAGATATCTTGAAGGGTGGAAAATGTCCAGAGGGTAAACGACCAGTGAAAATTGGTGGTGTTATAATGTGTGTATGAGATTTTATGATCAGAAGCATATTTTTATCAGTAAGTTAAGTTTTGAATGCTTGTGGTGATTATTAAAAATCTTTTTCGATATTTCCCGCAAGGATATTGTTTTATTAAAACAGCTAATAATTATTTCGTATTTTTATCTGCCATTTTGTTAACTAAAATCTAAGAGTAGCCTTTTTAATGTTTGTACCTACTTATATTCCCTATGCATGAGTCAACGAGTGGACACACAAAAGTGTCCGTTTCATTGATCGCAAAAACGTACTAGCAAGTATGTAGGTAATCAGTTTTTAGCGCCCTAGCGACCTAAAACCAATCTATATTATACCGGGATTCTAAACCAAGAATCTTTAAGCGCTATGCAGGGCAATGATTACATCTTAGTCTTGAAGACGGTAGCTAAACAATGTTAATACAAATACTCTGTAGTTTACGCAAGTAGTACACATTTAAATAAAACACTTTAAAGGTTTAAAACGCGATATATATTAGTTAAAATTTGAAATAACTATGGCCCAAATACCAATTTCGACTTTTTTCGATTTATATGTATTAGTTAAACTTATTTGAAAGTTATTTTAACTAATATATATCGCGTTTTAAAGCGTTAAAGTGTTGTATTTAAAAGTGTTATTACATATTATTAAATTACTTGGAGACATTAACATTCAGGGGCAAGATAAAGTGTTAATTAAATATGTAACGTACAGTCTTTAATGGCAACTTATTTCTTAGTATGACTTAGGAAAATTATGGAAATCATTATTGTTAACGCAGTTTTAAACGATTCAACATCAAACAACAAACTTTCTATTTTAAATATGCACAACAAGAAATTTAACACCTACAGATATAAAAAGTAACTTGCGTTAAATATATATTTTCTTGTATTTTCCTTGTAGACTCTAAAATAAAATGCGTTTTGTTGGCACGAACAAATTAAAAAAAAAAATTGAGTTCATTTTCGTCTGAATAATTTTTGTAGATAAAAATGATGGAAAATTTTGTTTGAAACACCTAAACAAGCCTAAAAATAATATTTCTTAAGTCATCGTAGTTACGAAATAGTGAACTTACATAATACTCTAAACATAAACTCTGCTAAGCAATGTTGCCCTTAAATCTTTCGTTAGCTATAAGGGTATATAAAATAATGCATTGTTGTAAATTAAAGTAAATAATTGTATTTAAAAGATACTTACATCCAGTGATCTGAAATATGCTAAGAATCACGAATGTTCTAACTTTATTCATTATATAATACATTGTTAACACGTCACAATTGGTAACAAATCTTATTTACACCACAATATACAATATTTTACGTTATCCGTGTACATCGTTGAGTCATAAGCTATTAAATGATATTCAAGAAATTTCGTTCTTTACATGTTAGTCCGTCCTTACAGCTGATTAAACAAACTAAATTGCTATAGTCGTTATTTTAACATTACAAAAGAGGCGACTGTTAATATTTTCACTCTTAGCAGAGTCATAAAAGTGAGATAAGTATTGAAATGACAAAAATAATGTTACGTTTACCGACTCGGTTTTTCCGATAGCACTCGGTTCTATGCGTTTGTGAGGTACTATTTACTGAAATCAAGTGCAGTTGTCATGTACCAGTCCCCACTACTCATCACGACCTTGCAGTTATTATGGTTTTACAGACAATTTACAATAGAACGACGAGTCAACGATAGTGAAAACGAACGATAATACGCTCGTTCTACGCTAAAGTATGTGTTTTGTTACGCCATGCGGGAGAGCCTGCTGCTCCTAGTAATAACACACTCTTTTACGATAACCAGCATTTATTTTCAGCATTGCGAAAGAATCCGTCATATTTTGACGCTCGTTTGTAAGTTGCGTTACGCAGGTAATTTGCATAAGTTGATAAGGAACTTGATATCCGTCGCTTAATAGAGTTAAGTTGCAGCGGACATATAGTAATAACGCAGCGGTAGCGGTAATAGATAACACAGCAATTATTATTTACGTTTCTAAGAGAAAAACATAAAGTGATTTAATATATTTAAATAATATGCAACAATAAAGATATACATACATCTAAACTTATTTTCCAATATTTTATTAGTTTCTCTCCTACTCGTTGTGTGTACTTTTACTATGTACCATTGATATTCTTTGTTATTCCTTACACCTACCCACTAAATAAATTATTTTCTATTTTTTCTCTAAACTGCAGTGCCTGGAAGTGTACAGCGATAATGCCGCCTTCATTTATAAGTTAGTACGTAAGATTTTTCCTCATTTATATGTATTTTCTTGTGTGTTTTATAAATAATAAAGCTATCATAAATAAATGAACCTCCATAGTATACCAACCTACCAAAAAACCATGGTTTTTACTCGTCTGACATGCAACCTTTTATACTGTGACCTATTAAGCAATCTGTTATGTTAATTCGATTACATTCAGTATTGTTATGCTAATCGTCTCAACGAAGAATACCGACCGATCGCGTGCGTAGACAGACAGACTAAATTAAAAAAAAACTAACCGCAATCTGTCCAAGGTCTTGATACTTAGATATCGTCTTTTTTTGAATTAAATTCTTTTCTAGGAAAAAAAGATTGAAGTGCAAAATAACGCACGTAACATTAGAATTTGGTAAATTAAAAAGGTTTTATTACCAAACAAAATTTACATGTTTTACGTTCCGTTAGTCCATGCCCACTTCAGCTTTATGGAAGTCATCCTGATGTATTTGGCCTTTGTCGCCTTTCTTATTATGCTGTGTTTTACTCGACCTTTTAGTTTGACTCCCATAAAGCTGCGTTCAATTCCCCGTTGACAATTCCTGAGTTTGAGTTAGTTTATTTTTGTTGTCGTCCAAGTTTGACAAGCATAGGAAAGACAAGGCATCAGCGTCACTTCCATTGCTTTTGCTTTAATTAACATTTATAGAGCTTATAAAAGGAAATGTTAATCTGTGTATTTGTAATTAGCTATGACAGCAACTTTGTCCGGGTAGAATAGTTATTTTGGGCATCAAAATTAATCCTCCTCTTTATCTTTTAAAATGATAGCTGTTACCCACGACGTCGACTGCGTTCCGTCGAGCGAATTAATCTTAAAAGATAGACATATAGTGTTGCGGACATTGTTTTAAATCATTTAAAGTGGAATTATTCTTTCATACACATTTTCACAGCATAAGCATCGGAAATCCGAAAAGATGAATCCATTTCCCGATAATTCTTCGCTTCTATTAGTCACGCGCAACCCAAAAGTGTTTCGAAATGAAAAGAACTTTTCAATTCGAACCAGTAGTTCCTGATATTACCGCGTTCAAACAAACTCTTCAGCTTAATATATTAGATACTGAAGAAAATATAACGACACATATGTTATAAATAATTTATTGTGCGCTTATGAAAATGGCCGTACACTTACAATTTACTGTTAAAAATTAAAATGGCATAGCATGGCAAAGTGACAAGCTACATCAGCTAAGCTACAATCAGGTACGTTTTGAAACATTAGCTATTGGGAACAAATCTTATTCGAACTATAAAGGATTCGACAAAATATACGCAAGTATTTTTATTATAACAAGATATAGTCCATATTTATCTTTTGACTTTGTAAATATATCGAATGAATATTTTTTAATCATGTATAATATATCAATTTGTATCTTACACAAACTTTCTTTTAATAATTTACAAAATAATGGGACCGTTTTATAGAAGTTAACAATATTATTATTATAAACTTGTTGTGTTGAAGCCTTCTCCTATAAAATTTGTTTAACATATCAGAATCAAGCAACTTCAAACACAAATAAGTATTAAATTTCTAAATTACATTTCATTTCCTGTATGTAACTATCTTTATTTAAATGAATTAAGTAAAAGGGAAATGGTAAGTACCTAATAAGGTTTAATTTGTTACAAATACTTTACCGGCTCTGCAATAAAGATCATGACATTATATGATATAGTGATGATTAAGCCTTAATTCTAAACAATAAGCATTCAAATAACAATTTTATAAATCAAGAAGAAGTTACATTCTTTTTTTATTACCTACACGTTCTGTGAGTACTATCACGAGCAAAAGCTAGTGTTAAATACGTGAAAATATGATAAATGTATGACTCTTTAGTAAGAAAAAAACATATTAAATAAAAATAGTAAATGAAGATTATTCTTTCAATAACGGAATCGTAGTCCTTAACAAAGTAATTAAAAACAAATTAACAAAAAAAATGATCCAAATGCATTATTATTTGACAATGGATGTTGTTAGTATCATACGAAAATCTTTTAAAACTTTTCCATTGAAAAGTTTAAGATAACGTCATAATTTAAGCCTCATATCGCTATAATATATTTTAATTAATAATTTAATCAACAAAAGTAAACAACAATAACAAAGAATATCGGCGGTAACTCATACACTTTGACTAATTTCCCTTTGGTTCCGAAAACATGTCTTATGACCTTATAAAATAGTTTTTGTAGAACAACCTGATGAAAGACAAGAATATAATACGAAAATATACCCCTTATTGTATCTAATACATCTGACAATTATAGGACACTATTAAAACAAACGACAAATGCGAACAATTTTAACTTACGGTGACTTTACTGCAACAACTTTAATAAGAGTCATTATTAGTTAATAAGTCAAGTCATTCTTTTGTTTTATTTTAATAATTCTTAGGATAATAATAGTTAATTAAAGTTCTTCAGAAAATACCGGTTTGGCACGAGAAATTGAGCCGAAAGTATTTTTTTTAATTTGAATTTAAAAAGACGTAACGATGGTTCAAATGCCCAAAATAATCATTCCGGATATCATTGTAAAATTTAATACAGAAGGAATAGCCATTCCAAGCTATACTGAAACGTTTTGAAAAATAATGATAAAAGGGCGGTAAGGCTAAACTGGGATACGATCACGGAGATAAGATAGAATAGATGCGGTGCCTTTTGCCAGTATCGCGTGGCGTGGTTGTCTGAAGCAGTTGCCCATCAGTTCTAATGACCTGTAAATTTACTAAAAACATTAGGAACGTACCTAATATGATATTGAACGCTAAAATATTAATATAATAAATGGTGAATTATTTTTAAATAATATTACATATTTTTATTATTGTATTTACTGTTTACGTAAAACAAAAAAAAATTAATAAAACACGTTCATCGTCTTAAAACGCAAACAATATAGGAGCCACCCACCATCTTTACTTCCCCCGAGCAAAGTTTCCAAAACTTTAAGTCAGAATTTAAAAAGCAGTTGTTCTAATAAGAAACTGTCTTAAATCATCAGACAGTGTTTTAATTCAACTTAAAAACATTGTTTGCTCCATTAAAATAGGACATGTACCTGAGATGGGTAAAATTTCCAAGTTCAGGGGGTACGCTCATGATGCTATTATTGGTAAGGTCCAAGACAGCTAACTTCTTTAAGTTTCCAAGAGCATCCGATGATATGTTGATTTCGGTTATCTGGTTCTCAGCAGCGAGGAGAATTTCCAGTTTCTCCAATTCATAAACGCAACGCGGAATTTTTGTAAGCCTTAGAAATCAATTTGATTATGTAAACATACTGCAATAGAATAGGCTAGCCAATTGGTATTACGAATCTTTTATTTTTGGGACAAAGCAAAAATTTACAGGTAGTAGTATTATGTATTATAATAGGGTAGTTTTACAATATTAATAGATAACCCAGAGTTTCTATCAGAAGTTGTCGTGAAACCTTTTCCTGTTAAACTTTTAGTTACAATTTGATTTGAGGACTCCACAAAAGGTGTTTCAAAATTGTGTGCCCTACCTGATTGTAACTATCATTGCGAGGACTCGAATTCAGAATGTCTAAAGCATAACATCTAAAGGCAAATCAGCATAGGGTCACTAGATGGAAGGTGAAATATTACAGCCATATAATATCATACAAGATGCATTGTCAACTTGTTTTGGCTTTGGATAACTGAAGGCGATTAAGCTTATTAAGTTTCTTCATCTCTGGACGGTGATTCATGACCCAGACGGAATTTCGATATTTCTACCACCCATCCTATATCCAATTATCCAGACGAAGACGTTGTATCAGAAAAAATATTAATTGATTGGAAACATGGGGTTAGAACCAACGACCCGTTGATTATTAGCCATACATTACTACCATTTACAATTTGTTGATTTAAATAAAACACTTTAACGGTTTAAAACGCGATATATTAGTTAAACTTATTTGGAAATGATTTTTGACTTCGGCCCGACGTTTCGGATGCTTTGCAGCAGCCGGGTCACGGGGGTCATTCCGTTTTAAACCGTTAAAGTGTTTTATTTGAATGTGTACTACTCGCGTAAACTATAGACAGTATTTAATTTGTTGATTTTCAATATGAGCAGTAGAATTAACTTTAAAAAAAAACCACTTTAACGGTTTAGAACGTGATATATTAGTTAAACTTAATTGAAAATTATTTTAACTAATATATCACGTTTTAAACTGTTAAATGTGTACTGCTCGCGTAAACTATAGACCGTATTTAGTGTTTACTTACTTGTTATTGGATATGACAAGTTCTCTCAAGTGTGTTAAGTTTGCTAGTTCTATGGGCAGATCGGATATGCAGTTCTTCGCTAAATCCAAGAACTGAAGATGAGTACAGGCGCTTATCGCTGAAGGAACTTCTTCAATTGAGTTCGACGATAGTATAAGTTGAGACAATGTGTCACTTAATATTGATATTCTGTAATATAATAATGATGATATACTCATATATATGAAGCTGTAGAGTTTGTTTGTTTGAACGCGCTAATCTCATCAGCTCCTGGTTCGAATTAAAAATTATTTTACTTTTGGTTAGAACATTTATCGAGGGAGGCTTTTGGATACCTCGATAAATGTTGCGCTGTGACTAATACTTTTTGGGTTTCCGATGCGGACGCTGCGAAAACGGTTCAAGATACCCACAAAATATGTATAAAAGAATTATTCCTCTTTAAATAATCTAAAAAAAATGTCAGCGACATAGTTTGTCTATTTCTCAGATTAACTTGCAAGAATTACGGGGCGTGACCGACGTCGTGAGTAACAGCTTAAATTTTTAAAGATGAAAAGGAGATTTGCAAACACAAATTATAATGCCAAAAATAACTATTCTAAGCAGACGAAGTCGCTGACACCGCTAGTGTATTGATAAGAGATCAAATAAAGCATGGATTGTAATTAAACGCAAAGACGTAACGTACCCAGAGGGAACTGCCTGCAGCTTGTTTCTGGATATATCAACAATATGCACCTCAGCATCGGAAGCAGCACGAAATACTTCTTCAGGCACGGATGCTAGCTCACGTGAAGGCACCATTAGAGATTGACTCTTTTTCATTGTATATCTGTCAAAAACAAATACCTAACAGCACTATTCTTGCATGACTATGACTATTAAAGTCTTATTAAAGTATAAATAGAGCTTCTTTTTTACCTTTTTTTAGAGGATATATTAGTTAGATTCTTTGATTTTTGTATTTTCTTTATATGTATTTGAATTGAACATACAAAAATTAGTCTAACTAGAAGGAAAGTCAAATATCCCCACCATATAACATCTCAATAAAATGCACTGACCACCTATTTTTGGCTTTGTTTTTACCAAATGTACTCAATAAAACATTTAAAGAAATCTTAATTATTCAAAAATAATGAATGGAGAAATAGCTGTAAAAATATTGAGAAAGCTTACTTATCAGGCCACTCTGCCTCAAATCTAGTCTCGCCAACCACTTCCTCTGTGATGCGGTCTCGCAGATACTTCATCATCCTATCCGTTCCTCCTCTGATGACGTCCTGACGAACGAACGACAACTTATTGCCTTCCATACTTATGCTCTGCAGTTGAGACAGCAACCCTAGATTCCGCGGTAGCCTGTCAGATATGTTAAAACATTAGTTCAAATATCTTTTAAAAACATTATCGCAAAATATTAGTAATTCTCAGCTATAAAGAGTTTCCGGATAAATACATAAATGATAGTGAATTTTGTAGCTCAACTTTTGATGTCACTTAATGACAATAATAAGCTTTTACTACATATATTATATAGATCATTACATTTTTTTTTAAACTATTAAAATACGTATCCTATATTATGCCGTATGTATGGTTGCGTCGCAAAAGGCCTCCCCCCATCTATTCACTAACATAAACAAAAATACACTTGACCATTGAATTTAGTATTAGTAATATGTTACAGAACACGAGATGTACATATACATACATACATAACAGTCCTTGAGCCCTTATACAAATACTTACTTATTTAAATTATTGTTAGTTAAGTCAAGCCTCTTGAGTTTCTTTAACAATGATATGTTTTCTGGAAGAACATCCAACTTGTTATCCCTTATGTTTAATACATTTAAATGTTGCATTTGGTCACAGAATTCATCAGATATTTCCTGTTGACAAAATATTACAATATCTACTGTTAAATAAAAGTCTTACATTGTTAAGCATAGTTTTTAGTTCTAATATCTGCATTATAAGCGCAATTAATAAGCAGGTGATAATGATTAGACATTTTAAAATATTACCTTGATATAATTGTTAGCTAGGTATATTTCTTTAAGTGCAGTACAGCCATAAAAATCTGGCAACTGTTCAATGTCATTGTGATTTGCATCCAGGATCTCCATTTTCCTCAACTCTCCCAAAGGTGGAAGAATCTTCAGATGATTGTTGCTTATATTGAATTTCTTCAAATCTTTAAAAATATAATTGTACATAGTAAATTATGACATTTGTATATAATTATTATACACTAGACTGGACTAACATAAGATACAATAATAAAAATTCATCAGAAAAGAGGCATCAGTACATTTTTTTTCAGTCAAATGACAACAACATTCAAAGATAAGGTATATTATGATATGCCCTGAGTTAAGCAACTATATAAATTACATATTCTACATAACACAAGTATATAAATTCAATGTCTCGCAGATGGCTTACATGACCACATTGTAACAACATCAAGGTCACCAGATGAGGCTGAATTTTATCAACTATTTTTGACTAAATGTTTATCTGAAATGAATATATTTAAACAGATCCTTATAACTACCTCTTAAATTCACAATATCTGGAGGAAGTTCTAAAAGTTCATTATGTGACAAATTTAGTTCCACAAGTCTAACCAAATAACCCATTCCAGGTGGTAAGGTTGTCAATTTGTTATGCGAAAGATCCTGCAAATACATTTATAATAACAAAAAATAAACTTTAAACATCTGATTTTTAATACAACCTCTTACCAAAAAAGAAAGCATGACCAAATCCCCAAAATCTGGTTGAATTTTTACAAGTTCATTGTGTGATATACTCAACCATCTTAGTTCTGTTAATTTATAGAACTCCATAGGTAACTCCTTGATTTTGTTATGATCTAAACTAAGGTTTGATAAATTTTTCAAATGCCCAAACTCGGGCGGAAGGGATGTTAGTGCATTATCATGTAGCTGAAAGCATACTATTATAAATAAACGGATAATTGCAAAGAGTTGAGATTGTGGAATTAACATTTCTCAATACCTTGAATGTAACAAGATCCTGTAGCAATTTAACATTTGGAGGTATTGTATTTATTACATTTGAACTGATATCTAACATTTTTAAAGGCTCACTATTCCACCAACTATTTTGGTCTGATCTTGTGAAATCTACCTCTTTGGTTTCCTCTAATACAAGTTCATCAATTTTCCACACATTGTCAGGTACTATAAAAACAATGCATACTATTTATTCACATATTATATTCATTCGCCAAAAACTTTATATTCTTAGCCTTAAATTAGACATGATAAAAATTGCAACATGTAACTTTTATTCCAGTCATCTTTAAACAGTGCTACAGGGCAACTTGTACTGAGGACGAATCGTTATTTTGTGACTTCGTTACGAGCAGATTTTCGTTTATACAAGTCGCCTTTTTTTATATTATCAAATAACTCACCGGATCCCAGACCCCTGTTGCATAAACTCAGTTGGCCCGTTCGCTTGGCGGATTTAATTAAGCCAATTGATAGTTCATTATTGTCTGCCTTTTTATCTTGAAGGTGAAAAACAGCTTTTTTACATACTTTTATTCTCGACTCTCGAGGTGAGTGGCGGGACATATCAATAAATATGTTAATCGTTTGTATATATAAAGGAGTATATTTAATAATAGATTTTATTTAAAGCATAACTAAAACATACGCAACGTTTTGTAAATAGCGAATAGGTAATGTAACTACTCTACGGTAAGCGCTAGTAGTACTACAGTGTTTTCATATTTTTTTTGTCTTGTTTATTGCACAGGAGACTTTATTTTTATCATATTAAGGCTCAAAATAAAGTTGCTGTTAAAGATATGAATTTCGAACGACTTTGAATGTGACATTATTAAGTCAAATGTCATGTGTCAAAATTTTATGTTATGGCAACTTTCAACTAACAAACCAATCTGCTGTTGCCCACAGTTATTTAAAAAAATTAATACGAACCCAGAATCATTATACGTTGGTTGTATCTTGAATGCCTTAATCACTAAATGTAATAAAGAATCTACGACCTAGCTAGTTAGATCTAGCAACCAACTCTATTTTCTTCTTAAGGTCTCGTAAAGAACACAAATAAATACCTTCAAAAAAACATCTCGAATAAGCGGCTGTGGAATTTGGAGACAAGCTAAATATTATATCAGACTTGTCACCCATTTCATATTTTATTTTTTAAATACGAAGAATGCTTAATGTAAAAGTATTTTTAACAAACAATTTTCAAACGCTCGGTAGTTTATTAGAGAACACCTTTGAAGAAAAGCTGACTACACATAAAACATTTTATTATTTTAACTCATTATTAAACGAATTAATTTAATAAATACATTTATCTAAATATATAAAAAACGCAATTGAGCACGTAAGCACCGAAATATGACATGACCAAATGAAAGTGACAATTTTGCATTTTAACCGTTCCGTTGCAAGGATAATTAAATTATAGTAGAATCTTTTAAAAAATGTAAACCGCTTAATGTGATATTTTAATTAAAGAGTACTTGCGATGATTTTAAAAACCGATTACAAACGAGACTCGAACTCTAAGGTGTTTCATGCAATACCATACAAATATTTTTTATTGTCACAAAACATAACAACAAATAAAAATATGGAAATTAAGGACGGCGGGTTTTATAGCTAAATACCTATCTCTTCCAAGCAACCACGCCGAATAAAGGAATCTTCGTATTATAAGAGGTATGCATGACAGCTGAAAAGGTACTCACTTAAACTTATAATAACAGTAATATAATCATGAGCTTAATCTTGAATACATTAATTCTAACCTAACTAATTAAGATAAATAGTAGGACTTGACAAGATCATAGAAAGGGATTGGCGTACACATCGAAAATTGTATCTTAATCTTCTATCTAATTAGTACAGGTCGTACAGTACGTAGAAGAATTTTGATGTATTCAAATGTATTCAGTTCAGACTCCTCACCCAGCAAAATAATAAATCTAATGGCTTGTGTTCCGCCGTTATGTGATTTCAAATGGAAGTAATGTTTTGACGTCCTCTGGGTACCTTATAAAACTAGATCTTTGAGAAAGAATTCACAACAGCTTAAGATTTTCGATGAAAGCGATCTAAAGGGAGATACAAATATTTTATAAATAATAAAAAAATATAGTAATGAAAAATACAAGCAAATCGCATGCTGCCTTTATTATCTCTATTATAATGTGCATAATATTAACGTGCTATGCTGTACCTTCAAGTGCAAGATGTAAACTAAAGCAGTATTCACACAAAGCTGTACAAATGGACCTAAATGGTCTACGGTGTTGGGATGAAGTCAAAATCTTGTCGTGTTGGGGTTACTGCCTGTCTTATGAAGTAAGTTGCTTATATACTTATTACGTTTCAGCATCATCCTTGTTCTATTATTTTTAATATTTTTTTTCGGCCAATCTCTCTCGTTAGATAACGTGTGACAGAGTATAAGTATTCAGTCAAAACAGGCGTTTCGAAATGCACACATATTTTCTCTTTTAAATTTGTGCTTGGTATGGCATGCTCCTACTTATCCTGTGAAGCGTAGGTACTCCTAAAGTTTAAGTGATTATAAGATTACTATTATAAATTTTATTATAAATCAATAATATGTATAAATAGTTATAATTTTAAGAACAATCATATTGACAATTACGGGATGGCATATTTTTGCATTTTTATTTATTTGAAATTTTTCACATCATAGACAATATAAATAAAAAATCGTTTATAAATTTAGTAATTATATTTTAAATACATACTTGATCTAAACATGTATGTTGTATATTTATAATATTATAGTTTAGATTTGCTTTTAGATATCGCATTGGCAATTCCCGTATAAAGAATCCCATCACCCCGTCTGCGTCCACGGTGAAAGGAAACACGCATCTGCTAAATTACGTCATTGCGATCCAGGAGTAGAACCGGGAACTGAAATTTATCATTACGTTGAAGCTGCTAGTTGTAAATGCCAGGTAGATATTTTAGTGTTATCGTATCTGTATAAATTATTTATAGTTTATTTTTTCTACCTGGCAAAAGAAAAAGACCATTTGCAACCCATAGATAACTAGTGATGCCCTTTTTATAGAGTGTAGTCGTTGCCACAGATGACACAGGGTTAATCCTTTAATATTTCTCTAACCCTGTCTAACCTGTGTATGGACCAAACGCCTTCAACATTCAAAATCACTTGTAGAGCGACTTATTTTTATTTAAAATGCCAAGCAAGAAAATATACGATATTGTATCTCTTTTTATTAAAATTGATTACAACATGACACTAGTGGAAACTGGGAACCAACTCGACTATCGTGTCGCAGTTCAGGTTTGGAGCTTAACTATTATTTCCAATTTTAGATATGTTCTTCGGAAGATACCAGTTGTGAATGGCTACCCCCGGATTCCACAATTATAGACGGTTTGGTGAGGGAACAGTTATTGGAGGATATGGAATAGAAGAGATCACCGATTGTATCTTATACATTTAACACGGATGTACCTTTTGTGTGACTATGTATTTTATTTCCATATATCTATATATATTTATAGAATCTGAAGCCTTTTCAATTATTAAATGATTTAGACATTGTGTAGTACCTATTCCTAAATTTTTCTGATTTCTTATGATCCCCTATAGTGATCTAATAATTGATCAATGTTTTACTTAGCTTGATAATATACATACAATTAAATGTTGTACCTATATCTGTGGGTAAAGTTATCATTCCTTGTTGGCAGTTACTATGTAGTGTCATCAGTCATGTAAACAAACTTTTGACTAAATTATAATATTGTGGACTGTGGTTCTTATTTTAGGTTATAAAATGTCGCTCTGTTTGCTTTTATATTTTTTCTAGATTTGTTGTATTATATGTTTTTTAGGTATATAAGATTGAAGATTTTTGAACTTTAGATAGGTTTACAATTTAGCAATATTAAAAAAAAAACAATGTTGGAACCATGGAATAACAAGGAAATATTTCCACCCCCAATAAATACTTTCCTTTCAACTAACAAAATAGGTATGTATATGTACCTTGAAATATTTTAATTATTAAAATTCATAGCATTTAATTATCTGTTAATAATTCGTTTTCTTTTAGATATAAGTATCATGAAAACTACCATGAATAACATAGTACAGATGCTTTTGAAACAATCGCCTTTACATCAAGAAAGTGCGATCATGTCGAGATTATTGTACAAATTCGACAAAAAATTTCGTAACGATATTGGATATCGAAACTTTAAAAAGGTAAATACAGCTTTAAAAAAGTATTTAACATTAAATCTTATTAAAGACGTTGAAACTTTTGTATCAGTATTACCAACGGAAGAGGATCTACCTTATCTCCCAACCAGGCAAATGCTAGAATATGTGTTAGTGAGAATTATGACCTTTGCAAAGTTGATGTTAAGAATTGTAGTTTGTTCAAAACAAGCGGCTATTTTTTATTTAAATAGAATTAAAAGAGGAGAAAGTCACTGGATGTGTCTGGTGCCTTATGCTTTGTTGAGTAGAATCTGGTCGATGACTCAAGTTCTGTTACAACATTCATGCAATTGGTATAACCAGTTGCATCCAACTTTGAATTTATTGCAAGTAAAGGGTTTAAATTTCTTGCCCTCTGGCTATGAATTAGCTGAAGATTTGGAAGTGTGGTGTGATCTGAAGAACTTAGATAATTTTGGCCGTTTTGAATGGAGCAGCAAAATTAAAATAGACATTGATCCAAATACGGTTGAAGATGATGAAGGAAGTCTTGGTGAAAATATTCTTGACTATGTTAATAACTTAAATGAGGAAGAAGAAATATTGGAAGAGCATGACAGGGTGAAGAGTAATTTACCTGCTAAAAGTGAATATTCACTCTCAAATGCTATAGACGATGATATAGGTGTTGCAATTTCAAGAAATAGTTTAAAATTATCTGACCCTCTTCAGTATAAAACAAAATTATATGAAAAGAAAGAGGATTTAAAATCTACAAATCTAAGTGATAATAAACAATTGTTAAGACATTGTGATCTAAAAAAATCCAACACAAATAATTATATTCATTCAATTGAAAGAATAATCAGTAATAAGGATTTAAAACAATTCATAGACACTGAGGAAACATTTAGAAATGAATCTAGAGATAAAGCTCTTACAGGACATCTTAGTTTTATGCAATGGCATACTTTAAAATCATGTTTATTAACATTTTTAAATAGTGACATCTTACCAAGAAAGTTTCACAGACGAATACTTAAAATTTGGAATGATAAATGTTTATATTATAAATAAATAAAAGAATATATGTTTATGAATGTTTATTTACCAATTGTTGCAAAATGACAGGTTTGCATAAGCACCATTTACATAAAAGTAAAGTATTGTGTGAACTCATTCATCAGGTACATTTTTCAAGAACACAATGTTAGTTAAATAATCCTTGTTATTAACTTGATTTCTTATTATCCCTTTAAAGACTGAATTTCCATTACATTTTATCTTATGATAGGTTCATATCAATCATTGTATATATACCTAAATTGTATGTATTGTTTTGATAATGAGCATTATTTTTCCTTTTACAAGGATGACAATGTGATTTATCAAGGATAATATAGTTTACTAACAATATTTTACATAAATATCAGATCCATAATTTAACAAAGTTTTATTAAGAATTCAACTTAACTGGAAATATGAATAATTGTCGGCGTTATATAAATGCATATTCATTAGTGGCAATAATTTAGTATTTAATAATTCTCTTCTTCCTAAAACTATAAATGCTGATATTAAATGTTTGCACAGCCTATTATAATATCAATACGTTTTAAAGACAAAAATCACAAATACAAATTTGTCTTATAAATATACAAGTGACTATTTTATTGAGAAGTACATCCTATGTTACTTGTAATAAATAGAAAAGCTAGAGGGCACATAGCAATACCAAGGAATGTATAAAATTTTTGTTATCAATGTTGTGACAAGGGTACTGTATTACAATTTAACACTGGACATTTTCTGTAACCGTGCCTTTAAGCCATCTTCCTTTTTCGGCTTAGTGATCGTTTGTGATTTACGCACTTCTTGTATTTTTTTCGTCTCTTTTAACCTAAAAAAAAATTTTTTAATTATTTTTTATTACAGAAAATAGTGTTGTAGTAGATTTTTATATCTAAATATGTACACTATACATGCTTACTTTTCTTTAATTGCCAATTGCTCCTCCTTCTTGTATATATCTTTAAAGTCGCTACAAAATGATGTCCACAATGAAAAAAAATCTTTTGGTTCGCAATCTTCAACTTTTTCACACTTAGGCTTGTACTGATAAAATTTTACAGTTGCTATGAATTTGTTTCGACAATCTGACAAATTGTCATCTTCAGTCTTTAATTTTTCCTCAGCTGCCTCAATAAATGCAGTCATTTTATCTTTAAACACTTCCAGCCTTTTATTATCTGTAGACACTTGTTCTTCCGGTGGATGCCTTATAGCGTCCGCATCGATGACCTTTTTCGTTTTTTCTTTACATCCTAGAAGTTCAAATATAAATTAAAGGTCACTCTGATCATGGTATGAGAAACTATTCATTTGTTGAGGGTAAAAAAAAATGCCACCTTCAAGTTGTGTGCGGAGGGCGGCAAGACTAGCAGCGACATCAGCAAAGTCTAGTGCAGCAGCGCGGTGCACGTCACCAGGTTCAGGCACCGGTAGCACGCAATCAGTCGACAGAGCGCCTCCCCGTTGTCGCATATATGTCTTTACTATAAAGTGTAGTAGCGTAACCGTTGATTGTTTAGACTGCAAAACATTTACATAGCAATTGAAATATCTTCCTCTTTGTTTAGCTACCTATAATTGTCTACTAATTTTGCCATAAATAGGCTAGATAGATATATATATAGCATATTTTAGTTACAGCATGATTGATAATATTGGAGATTACCTTGACATCTTTTAACTTGGCTAAAATTTCTAATCCAAAACCATCGGCTTGACCTCTTTGTCCATTTCCTCCATTCATATAATTACCAAGAGTTAGAATTATTGCAAAAAGTTGTTTAAGAGATTCGCTATTCATTAGGAACTGAAAAACACGATAAGATGTTATTTTCAATATTCTCTCGTAATTGTAAAAAAATAAACTAAAAAGAATAAAAATAATTTGTTTACCTCGCAAGTATGCTTTAAATTATCTAATTTGTGCATTGTCGTATTAACGGCGTCCTCGAATTCAGCTTGAAACATAAAACACGATATTCGCTCTGCAAAATTTGGTATTCCAGATAAATCGTGTAAAAATGCTTCTGGCTTATCTAGCGGAATTTCTGGTTTGGTCCTTAAATGCTCTTTTATCATTTCTAATTCCTCTGCAGTTGCGCGCTAAAAAACAAATATTTATTTTAATAATAACAAAATATTGATTTCGCGCTTAACCTGGATATTAAAATTTGACAAATGTTAACCACAATTAGGGAACATTTATCAGTCTTATTAACGACTAGCTGAGCCCGCGACTTTGTCCGCGTGGAATAGTTAAAAGATAGACACATAGCGTCTGTATCTTCGCTTCTATAAGTCACAGCGCGATGTTTTATAGCCTATAGCCTTCCTCGATAAATGCTCTAACGAACACAAAAATAATTTCGAAACCGTAGTTCCTGAGATTAGCGCGTTCAAACAAACAAACAATCTTTGTGGTAAGTGCTACTTTGCCGCAACACTCCCACTCTCACCTCACATCACTCCTACTCTAACTCTCATTCCCATTCCCAAAAAGCCAAAGAAGATAGTTTCATTGTTCTACCTTTAAAAAATCACGAATTTCCAAACGTTCATCCCCTTTAATGGCATTAAAAAGTATTCTGTCCTGTCTCAGGCTCTAGAATATTCGTGTACCAAATTTTATTTAAATCGATTCAATAGTTTCGACGTTAAAGCTGGACAGACAAACAGACAGCGGTACTTTCGCATTTATAATATTATAGTAAATAAAATAGATGAAGCTTAAAATCTTCATAATACGTTTTATAAACAATCTATTAAGTCTTATTAGGGATCATTTAGAATTTTACTGGGACAACATAATTACCAATTCATAAATCTGCTGGAGTGCTTCCAAACTAACAACGGACGTGTCAAAATTGTATATGGCATTTTCAATTTCTGAAAATTCCACATGTAAACTTTGTGCCAGTATGCCGACATTTTGTGATCTTCTACTCTCCAATATTTTGATTGGCTGGATTTTTGTCTTGACCTCCACTTTCTTTTTAACTGGGGCCTTTACAACTTGTCTTGAAAATAGATCCATAAATTCATCGATATTATCCAATTTGGTTTCATCAATTTCAAGCCACAGTGGTTTCAAACTGGTATGTGCTTCACCCTGGCCATTGGCAATCGTTGGTGCGGCTAATATTCGTGTCCAATACAGTGGCTTCATAGGTGCCGCCGGCTTGATTGGGAGTTTTCTTAGAGCTAAAACCAATTCAGTTAAAATAAATAACAACTGAATAAAATCATAAAGTGAAATAATTTAATGGAATTATTAAATTTTTTAATAGTTTTTTTTGTAATAGTTTTTCCTTTTATGCACGTATGGCAAAAAGTACTCACTAGATCTTTGCATACTCCAACCACCAGCTGGTGGTGCTGGAAAAGGCGCAGGACCAGAAGATGGGACTGGTACAGAGGCGCAGCTTCCTGAAGATGTGGCGCCCAGCATAGGGTGGGGTGGTTTCGGAGGGTGGTGGTGGTGGGCCCATTCCGGGTATTGGAGGTGGTGGTGGAGGACCCATTCCGGGTATTGGAGGTGGTGGTGGAGGTCCCATTCCGGGTATTGGAGGTGGTGGTGGCGGACCCATTCCGGGTATTGGAGGTGGTGGTGGTGGCGGACCCATTCCGGGTATTGGGGGAGGTGGTGGTGGCGGTCCCATTCCGGGTATTGGGAGGAGGTGGTGGTGGCAGTCCCATTCCGGGTATTGGGGGAGGTGGTGGTGGCGGTCCCATTCCGGATATTGGAGGTGGTGGTGGCGGCTCCATCCCGATTAATGTAGGAGGTGGTGGTGATACTCCCATACTTGGTAACGGGGGAGGCGGTGGTCCCACTCCAGGCATCGATGGGGGTGGCGGACCTATATTGGGCATTTGTGGTGGTGGTGGATACCATACCCGGTATTGAAGGGGATAGTGGACCAATATCAGGCATTGGTGGGGGTGATGGAACTATATCTGGCATTGGTGGAACCACTTGTTGTGTAGTTGGTAACATATTAGGCATGGGGGTTGCAGGAGGTAGATCAGATGTTGGTGAGCATTGATATGTCACATCAATACTTGTTTTTTTGTCATCTACGGCTAAACTCTCCTTTAACATAGATGTTGGTAAATTATATGATAATAAAGGTGGTGGCAGTGATGGTTTTTGCATATTTAATGCTATATCAGGTACTGGTGGCATAACTACATTGTTTGACCCACTTATCGTCAGGTTTTCTTTCTTTGATAAATTTTCTTTGTTTATAAGATTGGGCTCTGATTCAGGAATAAATTTGCATTCTTTTGTCCCAGGTGTGGGTGGTGGTGAGGGGGACATCCCTGGCATTGGTGGTAGTTCTGGTCCGGTTTCACTTATAGATAATTGCTTGGTAGTATCTGATATTGATAAACTTGTTACATGTTCTAATTGATCTGTTGTTCTTTCATTACTTGATTTTAAATCAGATGTGGAATCTTTAGTGTCTGTTAAAGGTATTGATGGCTCTAATTTTGAATAAGTTAGGGTCTCACTTTTTTCAGGTTCTATTGATTTCCAGCTTTGTTCTGATTGTGTTGATTCCAAAGAAAGCATATCAGATTGGTGACAAGTGTTGTTTTTTGCATATAAAATTTGGGTTGGTGGGCTGAGTGACCTAAAAATATCACTGTCATCCACATTCTGATTAATAAACAAGTCAGTGCTTGTACTGACATATGAAGCGTCGGAAGAACTATCATAGATCAAGTTCTGATTGTTACTAGACAGGCGATTGTTTTTTTGTGTCTCATTAATGTGCTGTTTTTCCACTTTATTTACGACGTCATTATTGCTAGAATGTTCTAAATTATCATTTCTCAGCAACATATTACATTCTCTGCTTTTATTTAACTTACAATAATTTTCTATTCTCACAGATCTTTGATCCATTTCTTCTTCTAGAACCATTTTATTACTACCATCATAATGCAATTTACTTAATCCTACATCATTATTTACAATTGTACTTAAAAATGAATCAGGTTTCGATGTGGTTATCACAGATTTGTCTACCATTTTTCTATTGTCGTAGTTTAAATTATTTGTCTGAACTTCTTTGCTAATTACGTTGAATTTATGATTTTCATTAGCTTGTGAATTATTACTACTTGAGGTTACCATATTTTTATTGTTGACTAAACTTATAGACTGTTCCTTATAATTTTCTAATTGATATTCAAGCTCCTGTAATTTTCTTTTTAAATCTGATATGACAAGCTTTGCTTCTGTAATATCACTGATCTCTTCATTGTTGCTCACAGTGGTATAAAGCTGTTGAGGCTGAATACTTTCATAAGGTTTTCCAGAAAAGCAGTCCTTTTGGGGTGGCCATGATGTGTGATGAAGCCGGCCAGGAGTGAGTGGTTGTGCAACAGGTGGCTCCATGTGCGCCCAGTAGTACATTAAACTTGGCTGTAATAGATTTTGTTCTAAATATAGAATAACTTGATTACATAATGAGCTACAGAATTTTAAAAAACCTTTCCACATTTAAGAAAGGAATAAACATTAAGAAGAGTTTCATGTTAACTAATATTAATAGTTGCCTAATACCTTAAATATGGTCTCTGTAGGTGCATCTTTATCTGCTATCTGACGTAAAACGCCAGCTGCTAACAAGTGCGTGCAATATTGTATACCCAGCTGCTTCAGATCTTGACTGTTAGTAATACTGCTAGTTATAGTCCCTTCAGCTGATGCAATAAACCAATTTAAAAGCATCTGTCCTGGAAGGATAAAATTTAATGATAACTAAAATAAATTTCAAGTAGTTACTATACAAAGGAGATAATTTCCCTTCTACTTTCTTTTATTTAAAAAAAGTAGCAATGATACGTATACGTAATTACGAGATATTTACACATCTTAGTAATGGATCTTGGCTTTTGCACCATAAGCATAATTTGAACTTATAAAATAATTGTAGTATAATGCTAACTTGTTATTAATATTATAAATAGCACTAGTTAATCAGCAACCATACCATTAAAATAACAAAAACTGTGAATTTACTTATTATCTTGAGATCTTTGCAAAAATTGTAAAATAGCGACTAGAAAAATTTTGAAAACTTTAATGACATCATTGATTTGTTGATAACATGTTGACATATAGGTATCAATGACATTGACGTAACACGTATTTTGCATTCACCGAAGTTCACAGTTGTCCAATATCCATTACAATTACTGATAAAAAAAATATTAAAAATAAATGTTCAATTCTATCTAACGTTAAATATATCGCCGGAATTAACCTAAGCGTTTATTTAAAAATGTTTAAAAGTATCTGCTTGTTCTTTTATTTGTTGTTAACAGCACGAAATATTATATATTTTTCTTTACCTACAATCTAAACTGTGCTTACGACATAATATTAATGTTATAAACTAATCTAAACTTGAACTTACGTTGCTTGTAATGTCTAAATAATGTAGAAGATAAGCCATGCATGGCTTTTATTCTCAAATTAATTTCACACTCCTTATTCAATAATTCAGCTCTAACTTCATTGATTTTCATATCATATATAAATTTAATTTTAACGTCTGTTCCGTACATGTTTAATGCAAAAATGTACCACTGTTCTGTTTTTATAAACCTAACAAACAACTTCTTAACAACACACAACACTACACGTCTGGCGACATTTGGTTTTTTATTACACTTAATTATCTTCGGTAATGGGAACTCGATAGCAATTTCATCAGTATGTAAACCCAAAATAGTAACGATATCTTGAATCCCCTTTTTCTTCGATTGACATTTACGTAAAAATTTTGCGTAATTTAATTGCGCGACAGAGTTGTTTGTGAATTTGACACGACTTGTGGACAAACGCATTTTTTTTAATAAATTAAATTTTTCTTCTAGGTCACGTATTCACTCCATTTGCTGCTCATTATCTACACTGAACTAAATGATTTTTTAAGATAAGAATTAGATATACACTATACAAGGTATCTACGTAAGTAAGTATATTTAGCTGTATAAGATAAGGTAATCATAAATGATGTTCATTCACCTAGTTCAATCCTTAATCATAACATTGATCATTTAATGTATATGTATTTGTATAAAAAAGGAGGCATTTTTATTGGCTTTATTAATATTTTTGTAAGATTAGTAGCAGTTTCGGGGCAGTTCCAGTAAGTTTAAGACTTAATTGTGTTGGGAAGTCCACTTCTAACATTATCTACAATTTTAAAACTTATAGATGTTTGAAAATAAGGTAATTATTTTTTTTTTTTATATATATATGACGATAACGGAAGGGTGTGTTTGTAACTAAGTCCGTATAATACTTAATGTATAAAATATACCTTCAAATTTTTCATAAAGCTGAAAGTTCAATTTCTCGGGCACGAATTTTGGCCGAACAACTTTGCTCTCGGTGTGCTTATCTAGAGTTAACGAAGCAACTTTCCTTAGAACGTTGGATTCGGTTGCAGGGGCATCACTGACACTGGAATATCGTCGATCTTTATCTGTAAAGTTAAGTATAGAAGTCAAGTTTTAGTGAAACATGTTATAATTAGTAAAAACCTCTCATATTAAAAAGTCAATTTTTCATAGTCTAAACAGTTATAACTGCTATGCTAACACTCCTAATGTTTTCACGGCAACACGCGCAAAAATAATACACGGAATTAACTAAACTTAGTGGCGGGACATGAAAGTGCTGTCAAAGTAGGTAATTATAGGTAAGTACATCAGCAGGTTTGCTGCGAGATGAGAAACAGGATCGGGAAATTGGAAACGCGCAAAAACTAGTAAATGTCTACAACAGGTGTATTTTAATACGGGTTATATTAACATTGTTTATCGCTCGAAAAACATCTCCCAAGTTTAAGGAAGATAGATGTTCCGCGTAACATAGCACATATAATTATAGTTTCGCTTCACGTATAAAGACGTCAAACTTACTTGCCGTTAATAAAACCGATTAGTTAAACGGAGACATTAGTTTGTTTATAACCAACATACAGGATTAGGGAAATTCACGCAGTTCTGAAAATTTCAGTAGCTGAGACAGTAGCGTAGCTAGATGGACAAGGGCCCGAGTCTACCTAATCCTAAGGCTCAAGAAAGAATCGGATCCTCATCCCCTCTTTTATCATAGCTTAAGTTAAATTAACCTCCATAATTATAAATAGAAAGAAGAACGGTTAAGAATACTTTTCTTCTTTATTATCTACTCAAATATAAGGTTAGAGGGCTAAGTTCCGGGGCCCTGGTGCACTGCACCACTTGGCCCTACGATAGCTACTTTTAATTAAGATGTATTATTGATAAAAAAGCCATATAAAACTAGACAATCCATTTCTACCATGAATCTAGAGTAATTAAATCAAACAGTTTTATGGTATCTAACATCTTCGTATTGTTTTGTAAGATTATGTAAACTGTACAGCCGCAACAAATGAACAATCACACACAAAAGTGATTTCTGAGATCGATAACTTATCGGATATTTTGCAACATTCGATTGTACAAATTGCTACCTACTGTTTGGAACGCATAATCAGAATTTCGAATTGTATCGTTTCGCATATTTTTTACTAATGCATACTTATAGTTGGAAAATATTTGTGAGATGAATTCTACAACATTAAGACAGAATAATATATTTATTATATGTATAAGTAAGCAATAATTACCACTGTCAATGACGGAGAGCGACGATTCTGCAGCTACGGGGGGAAGTTCAACTTTTCGATGTCGAGACAGAGTAAAAGAAGTCTGCGCAGGAGACGCCTTGAGCCGATTATCCAAGAAGTCATGGTTGCACTCATGGGTCCTTCGATCTGCCGGCTCCTCTTTCAATTTCGATAAATATGCGCCCATAGCCTTGTCGGTTTCATCCCTGTCACTTCGGTCGTCGGATGTGTCACTTTTTTCTTTTTCTAGCGTGTCACGCGCTTTGTTTTCCTCCTGTGGCATTTCCGGTGGCGTTCGGTCGAGTAAGTCCGAATGTAAAAGCGCATGTATGTCGAGGGGCGAGATGGTGCGCGGGAGATCGTCGTGCGCGCTGTCACTTTCCGCGGAATAGTAGCATTGGTTGAGCTCGACGGCGAGAGGCGTGAGAGGGTCCGTAAACACTGAGTCGGAGGTGGATTGGTCTGCCGGTGAGGTGGCGGGCAGAGGTGCGGCGGGCAACTGGTCGCGGGTCGGTGACCGCGGAGTCGGCTCGCACCTGGTCACCGTTACCTCTGACTGCACACTCGTCTCCGCGGCCCCTTCCACTCGCGACGTTTTAAACGCGCACTCGACCATATCGTTATCGGATACCTCGATCGCTTCATTGTTATCTGATTCCGATGTTTTATCAAACTCCCTGTCGATCGCTTCGCGTTTCGCGGCGCCCTTTTTCTGCTTTTTGTCCTTGCCGGAACCCCTTTTGTTTAGGTTTCTCATGAAATGCCTGCCCTTTGCTGGCGATTTTGATGTTTTGGGGTGCTTCTCTCCGGCCTGTGTGTTACCCATGTTTCTAATATAACTGACTTAAACATTTATGTCTATGGAGTGGCTAGAAAACTAGACACTGAAATATTAACGATACAAAGGTGTTTTTGGTATGAGCTTCTTCGACTTCTGGGGTCCTCTGAACTCTTTAGATATAACCCAGCTATGAACTTGCGCAGTACAAGCCTAAAACATAATCAATATAAAAACTTTTATGATTATCAAATATGAATTGTGGCAAGAAAATTCTCCAAATTATTTTAATTATATCACGTAAAATTGTATTTTAACAGAAAAATAAAATAATAAGCAATGTTTCATTATTTTTCAAATAAAACCGGGAAGTTTCAAAAGTGAAACGTTTTGTAGATATATGATAGATGTCGCGCAACACAACTTATCACTATAGAGAAGTTGATTTATACTTTTTATTCTTATATAAAAGTAATGTAACCGTACAATTATTGGATGTAGTTTACATCCAATTACTAAATTTTTTATTGTACGTTAGTTTCCCTTTCCATTAGACACGTTGAAACTAATGTAAAGATATCTCTATATTTGTGTGCAAATTTTTTTGTGTACTCTCTTTTACATGTATCACTTCTATCGTAGGGACGTCCAAGCAGTCGGTGCCGCTTCTCAAACCTTTTCATGTTATTTAATGAGACAGGAATTACCTTTGTGGTAAACAGTTAACATAAAGGTGGCCTTGACACATGGCGTTTCACTTAAACGCCTCAAGTGCCTTAGTTTCCATCACAAAGTGTAATGTATGTCTTAATTAATAATAATACTTCATACTATTATAACGAGAACTCTCTGTTTATTTTAATTTCAGTTTAATGTATGTATCTATTTTTCGTATTTATGTAAATAATCAGATTCTCGCCCTGTAGACCCAAAACTATTTATTCTTGCACCGGGATTCAAACCTCTGACGCTTAACTCAATAACAAATCAAGCAATAACTTTAAACTCACATTAATGTGACATTTCTGAGATTCATTTTTGTTTGATAAAAGGGACGTAAATGACAGTAAAACAGTGGAGTGAAAAAACTTTATTTTCACAAATGTTAATACATCAATATTTACAATAGATTCCACAATTTATTGTTATAATACAACAATTAATAAAACTAATCGTAAAAATACGAAGTCAGATCTTATAACTAAAATATGGCGCGTTTTCGTTACAAATCAACGTTTGGCGTTTAAGTACAGTAGATATAGATAAATTTAATATACAACTTCAAATATGTACAAAACTTAACGTTAATAAACTTATTGATTACCTAAGTATTAATAAAAAAATAAGAAAAATATAAGAAATTAGCTTACTCGTTGTGATTATAGTGTGATTGAGAAAATGGAAAAAAGGTTGTACACAAAAAGCAATATTTGTAAATGTTTAGTTTCAATAGCTATAGAGTGTACAACTTTTATTAATAAACATTTATTTAAGATCCAAAAACATCCCTCAGACAGTGTTAAATGATACGGATCTTAATATTAACTAAAGCAGAGCAAAAAGTATCGTATTAAGTAAGATATGTAAAATACAAACAGTCAGGTCGAATAGTTCACAAAATCGCTGATTGAAATGCTTGAGATCCTCGTCCTTATTATTTTATTTTATTTAAATAAGTCTATTTGTGAGATTGCTAATTATTAAAATAAAAGTCATGATACATATTAAGTTGATGTAGAAAGACATAATTTAATAAACAGTGTACACTCTTTAATTACTCACAATTTAACCACAGAGTCGACTCTGTGGTTAATTTGTGATGTTATGAGTTTTAAGAAACAACAAATTGTGATCTTCTGTTAGAGTTTACACTGAATTACGAAATGCATTCAGGAGTGACGGTAATTTAATTTCTTATTTAATTAAAGGTGGGCCCATTTCGTTACAAAACTTAAAACTACATAAAGTCTGTGCTTTCTGACCAGTAAACCAAAAGTACATAGTTTAGATTCTTTACGCGCACATTATCTGTTATTAACAGATAGAATTTAATTTTGAAAAAATAAAGTAATAAATACAAACTACATAATTAAGTACACTCTACTTGATTACGAAAAACCTTTAACAAGAAAACATTCCGTTAAGGACGGTTAGAGCAGTTTTGGGAAATGAGAAAAGTTATGAAAAATAGTGTAAGGCTTTCACGGCCATCGTTCAGCATATCATTGTTTTTGGGCTAACATCTCCTGACGATGCCGTCGGCACGTGATGGCGAAACGTCGAGAACCTCTTCTCGCTCACGTCGGCCGAACAGCCGGAAAAACAATTATATGCAGGTTATTATTTTATTAGTGGTTTCCATTGGTCAACATGAATATGCATGGATGACAGCCAGATAGATCGAAACACATTTAAACAAATTGAAGGGTTTTTCGCGATTCCATTACAAGTTAATAGCTAGAGCGCAATGGCACCGTAGATGGTAGAGTATTTTTGATATACAGGACGGCGTTTTTAATTTTTAAATCTAGCAAATTATATTACAAGTCCTATATTAATCGCGTTAGCTTCCTAATAATATTGTGATATTTTATCTACACAAGTCAAATATGGCCGTGTATAGTAAGTATTTAGTACCAAGCGAAGACATCTCGTAGCATTACCATGGTAGATGCTATGGGCCTTATAGCCGCTATAATAAATTCATTAAAATGAATACTACCATATTTACATTAGCTGATATTCGTTGTAAATACTATCTAAGATTAAGGATGATTATAATAAGTACGATGGTGTACTAGAAAGAACAATGTAATGCATATTTCTGTACCATACAAAGAGTATTTATTTAAGCTCATTATTTTGACGTTTATTGGAGAAACCGCTTTTATGCTGTGGGCAGTGAATCACAATAAGAATGCAGTCGTACACTTCTTACTTACATTCATAGCGAAATTTTCAGAGTCATTGTACGTTTTTCCACAGTATTCTACATTTTAGTACTTACGTATATACGTATTTTATACATAGCCAAACATAGCGAGCGAACACATTTAAGATTAATACTAATTAATGTTAAATTAATTGACGATTAAACGTACGACGCTATAAACTGTGTACGATACGATAATTCTTTTTAATCATATTTCGCTATGTAACAGCGCCACGTAAAATCCGGAATTGTTTGTCACATCGGCAGATCTAAAGAATTTAACAAAGACATTCAGTTTAGCTCATTTCTCGAGAGCAGTACGTGAATTATTTAGAACAAGATGCTATTCTACTCTGTAATTAGAATTCCCTTTGCGCTGTCTGAACACAAGCCTGAGCAAATATTATAATAACGAGATGTCTTGTTTTGAAGCGCGACGTATTACTTGATTAGTGCACTCCGATGTATGCCGTAAGCAGTACAAAGTCTACTTGTCACTTGCAACAAAGATGTGCAATGTGGGTATATGTGCGTCCTGATTAATTAGCCCGTCCAGCATCTTAAATACTGTCTGCAGTTTACGCGGGTAGTACACATTTAAATAAAAAACTTTAACGGTTTAAAACGTGACAAATATTAGTTAAAATTTGAAAATTCTTTTAACAGCATTTACAGCCCACATACTAATTTCAACTGAACAGATGGCGCTAGCGTAGTAGTTTTTTACTATGACGTCAGAGACATTTCAAACTTAAGTCTTCCCGTGACAATGGCTGCTGCAAAGCATCCGAAACGTCAGGCCGTAGTAAGAATAGTTTACAAATAAGTTTAACTAAACCGTTTTTAAACCGTTAAAGCGTTTTATTTAAACGTCCAGCATCTTGTTAATATTTTACATTCTATGTACGTCATATAAAATGACTGCGAGGAAAACTCCAGCGTCGTATTCGTTCAAGACTAAAATAACTATAGTCCTGAAATATTAATCAAGAATGTACAATGTTCATATTGAACGAACCAACACAGAATTGCATCTAAGAACTGTGACGTCGTAAGGGATTAATGTTTAAATTCAAGTTATTTTCAGAGAAAACTTTTACATTCCTCTTAGTTTTAAATATTTTAACAACTAAAATTATTATCGTGCGAAATTCGATTCTGTTGAGGGGTGAAATTTAATAGTCTAGAGCTATGAAAAGTCATAACGGTCAAAGAACTAATATCAGCTACAAGAGCAAATACTTCAGGAAAATCATAGTTAAAATGTTGTCTATACATTAATACTGACCGTATTAAATAAAACACTTAACGATATAACCTACTATGACCACGGCGGCTGAAACTAATCTATTTCACGTTTCAAACCGTTAGTGTTTTATTTGATAAGTCAAAGTTTGTAGATGAAAATTAGTTGCAATCAACTCTTGCAGGATCGTGTTTGCGTTGAGTTTCGTGGAATAAATTTCGATGCTTGTTCTTCAGCAGTAAAAGGGTGTTAGACGAAATCTAAACAATGATCTCACGTATAACCCTTCGGGCGCGAGAATTCGGCGTAGAGTACCCAGATTCTAGGGATTCGTCGTAACTGAGTGAGAGGTGAGGTGGCTTGTCTTCGGGTGTGGCATCTTCAGGCCCACCGCCGTATGTCTCGGGCAGACCGCTTACTTCATGGTAGGGAGATTCTGCAAGACAACAGTTACGTTACTATACTTGTCATAGATGATATTATTATAGAATTACTAACATTAAATTAATATAAATTTAGATATTTTTAACATTTGAAAACTTGATGGCAATAAATAAATTAAAAATCAATTTTAGATAAAAGAAATGTACGAGAATGAAAAGCTTTCCGTTGGTTAGGACAGCACGGAACATTGTGGATACCGATTCAAGGTCCGCTCTTGTGCTATTTTTTTTTTCAATCTCAAACCGATTTTCAATTTATGCCACATGAATATTTTAATTTATATGATAGTTGAAGCATATTATAATTTGATAAATATATGAATATGATACAATATTAAAATATGATTAATATTTAAGTAAAACACTTTTCAATTAAATTTAATTTCGGTTGCTTTGCAGCTACCATGGCAACGCCGGAATGTTATTAAAAATAAATTTGTAAATAAGGTGACGTATACATTTTGCGTTTTAAGCTATTATTTTTTTCGCATGTGTAATTTTCGCGTAAACTACAGACAATGTTATATTCAATAAAACACTTTAACGGTTTAAAACGCGATATATTAGTGAAACGTCGGGCCGAAGTTAAAAATCATTTTCAAATAAGTTTAACTAATATATCGCGTTTTAAACCGTTAGTGTTTTATTTAAATGTGTACTACTCGCGTAAACTACAGACAATGTTATATTATCACAGCTATGCATTTATATTTCTTTGCATAAGTCAGGACAGTGCGAGAAATGAAGTTACTTAATTTTCTAAGTTATATTTATTTCATACAATATGGTCATCGAATTCGTAACATCCAATTAACTTACTACAAAAACCCACGCCACAATTAGTTACTTTGTCGTCAGCTATGTCTGTCAGATAGTATCGGGTGTCCTTATAAGCAAATTACAATGCAACAATATATTCAATAAACATATTGTTACAATTCGATCCATTCATAAGTTGGTAACCCAACCTTGTGTTCTTTCATCGTTGAATTCAATGGAATGTTTCATAAGCACATTGAAATGAAACACAATAATCGTGGAAAGTATAATTATTACTGTTCTGATATAGACAAAATTCCATGGAAAGACACTCAGGGATAAACATTAAACATATTATTAGTTTATTACTTCAGGTATTTAGGGTCTCAAACACATTTGCGTTTATAATATGAGGGTAGTAGCATGACTTTGTATTGTCTGTACTTTACGCGAGTTATACTTGCTCCTATCACTTTTGACAGTTTGAAACGCGAAATACTGATGCTGCAAAGCATACGGTACGTCAGGCCGTAGTTGAAATACATTTACTAATATAATATATATTTTCAAATTTGCGATCATTATTGAAGGTACATATCTATATAACATCATATATATATCACATTTAAATCTGTTTAAAGGCAAACATTTGACGCCATTAGTAATACGCCATCAAGCGTTTTGCCAGCGTTTTTTATTTATTTTAAATAAAAATAAATAAATACATATAGTAAGGTACTCTTTTAAGAGATCATGTCCAAGCGGCGAGTGATAAGACTGTCAACTCACCGATATGCTGGTCCACCCTTTTCTTGGGCTTGTGGACAGAAGCATAGGGGTCCGAGCAGTAGTCCTGTCGCGATGGTGTTTGTGAAGAGCGCATGGCGTAATCGGCACCAGCATGACTACCGTGCGTGCTGTGGTTTCCATGCGGCAGTGGGGGGTAAGGTGCGTAATCGTCGATTGTACCATAACCGCCATGGGCAATGGGATCATATCTAGGATAAGAAAATGTCAGATTATAGACTTGATATAAACAAATTCTGTAAAAAATCGAGTTTTAGAAAAGAAAGGGAAATAACGAAACCTTTTTTCTTCTTACACAGTTATACATAACACCGTGTCTTCGATATTATCTGGTTCACAAATGGAACATTTTAAGTTTAATTTATCAAAACATTTTGAAAACTTTAATATTTTTCACACGTTATTGCAAACGAAGGCACTATATAATTTAGAAATAGAAAATAAATTGAAAAAAATGTCGACTCGGATAGGACTTGAACCGGCATCGTCCGCGTTCCGTGCTGTTGCTCTACCAATTGAACTACGAAGTCCTACACCTCAATACCATAGCCTTAATACGCAAATGTTACGGTTGAAATTACATTGCGCGAGAGGTGCATGTGTCAATAGGTTGAAAAAATTCGGCGATGATGCGTCGGACTCGATAGCTTAATTGGTAGAGCAACAGCACGGAACGCTGACGATGCCGGTTCAAGTCATACCCGAGTCGAAACTTTTTTCAACGTATGTTCGATTTTTAAATTATCAAAACCTTATTTATAGTTACAGTTACAAAAGTAACTTATATCTATATATATCGTGTAAAACTTATTTAGTGACAGATTTGTTTACACAAATGTTTTTTTTTTATGAAACGTCATTAAAAACTTACAAACAACCTTTCCGCATCGTTTCTTTCAATCAAACTGCAGTCGTTTCATATTTGAACGCATGGAGAAATGCTATCTCACTAATTTCAAGTTTTTCCTAGGCCAGTGGAAGTTTTCATATTTTACATATTAGAAATGTTTTTAGACTAACTAATTATCAGTTCAACCTTTTATATAATAAATTGACATGTCGAACAAATAAAAACTTCCATGAACATAAAAAGAGAGAAGAGATTTAACGGATAGCGGATATACAATATGATTCTGAGAATATATTACAATCGAAAGCGTATTTACGCTCTCCCTATTTGTTCTTTTGTTATTTCACGTATAACAACGTTGTAGGATGCCAGATTTCTGCAAATAGTCAATACAAAGGGGGGTATAACTTGACTGCTGCTTTATTTTTAAGGATGGTAAAACTGAAGGCACTTTTTTTTATTATGTATTTGCAGCTTCAAGTAGGGATTGCCGTACATATGGTACGAACTGGCACGTACGAGAGTACGAGAGCTTGATAGACATGAAATATTTATTTTTCAAGGAATATTTGAGTTTATTAGAACCCGGGAAGCCGGGGAACATAGCTTTACAGTTAAAATATACACATATTGCAAGACTTCAACGTTATTATACATTATATGTAATAACATTTTTATATGATTACTTGATGGTTGGTTAAATACCATTTAAATTTCGAACAAGATACGCCATCGACCTACGTTGGCTTGAATATTTGGATATCCACAGAATTAAACCACAACGAGACTAAACTATACGGCAAACAGCAGTGGATCAGGTCCGATCAAGACCGGAATGGAATTTCGATATTTCTAACACCCATTTAACATCCAGGTTTTGAGACGAAGTCCAACATATTTTAGAAAAAATATTTCATTTTTATTATTTAATAAATTACATTATTAATATAAATTTATTAGAAACATGTTGGATCTGGTTGGGATCGAATCCACAATTATTGTTAGTGATACATTATTACTATTACACCAATGAGCCCGTCAAATTTGTTTCATAACAATAATTTCAACTTCTAATGAAGTTACCATGAAACATACCCATAATTGCTTTGTCGTTCGACCATCTGGTGTGGCGGTATCCCAGGTGCTGAGTTAGCAGCGGCCATCTTCATCTGCCACAAGGAATCCTGGGAGTTGACGCTTCCACCGTTGTTACTGTTCGTGTAGCTATTTTCAATATACCCCATGTTCACCCCTATAGAAGAAAACAAGTCGATATTACCCCGTGGGTGAGGTGATTCGTAACATTCAACATGCAATATTATATTATTTTGTTTTGGATTGATTTTACCATCTACGTAGCCACTACTGCTTAGTCCTTGTGCGTGCATGAGAACAATTTCAGATAAGTATGTTAGCTATTAAGTAGAAAAACATCTATGTACAATGTAGTTTAGATATAAATAAGTTCTTATTTATAAAATGGTTTGTAAGGAAATGAAATTAGTAGCAGGGCTGTGTCTGTACTTTAGTAATGACAGGTAAGTACACTTTAACACTTGTAACGGTTTAAAACGAGAAAATATATTTCTAATACCCATCTGCTGTAAGCGTCCAAAACAATTGTTAATTTTGTAATATATCAGATTCGACGCTTTGAAATAAAAAATATATGAATACGCAGTAATATAATAATTAATAAACTGAATAAATCACTAAAGAGCATATTGCGAAAACGCTAAATGTGGGTATTAATCAATTCATTACCAGTTCATAATATGGCCCAATCGAATTACGCGAATGTATGTTAAACTCCAGCGAATCGCGTTGCCAATTTTAAAATTATCTGATTGCGATAATCGGAAAAATAACATGGAAAACGTCTAATTCTCTTACGGGAGTTAACTTAATTTATGTTACAACGACACTTATACGCGGACGATACTACGAATTAAAATTATCCAGCCGTCATTCGGGAAAACTGTACAATGAAACCACTTTTAAGCCAATTACGAATGACTTGTCTGATTAACAAGCAACATGATACAATTTAATTAGCGAGTGCTAAAGTGACTGATGGCATGTTATTATAGTGATTGCGTACGAAATAATTGATATTGATGAATATAATACGATTTTTTTAATTCAAACTCCTTGAGTCCTTATCTGGTCTAGCCACAAAGGAACGATGAAAAATAAGGGTAATATTAGGTTACTTACAGTCTGAATTTGTAAGGTTTTGTCCGGGATGACCCTGAGCGTGGGGCGCTATGTGGTACCCGTAGCCTCCCTGCGTAGCGTATACCGCGTTCTTGGAATCGTCCATAGCTAATTGCAAGTCCATAGAGTGTTCTAGAGCCTTATTCTCCATTCCAGTGCTCGGGTAGTAAGGCGGCGGTGCCTGATTGGGCGGGGAGACCATGGGCGGTCTCATGGAGTCCATTTCGTAGTCTTTGGAGGTTTCCTTCTTGTTCTCGTTGCGTTTACAGCGGCAGAATATGAATAGGAGACTTAAGAAGAGAAGGAAGACGAGGCACGACACCACGATGGCGATTACCGTCGCCGTGGTCAGGGCGGCAGCTTCTTTCGTATACGATGGACCGACTAAAAAGAGTAGACAGCAATTTAATGGAAAGGACTAATTGCAATAATTTATCTATATATATGAGTTTATAAATAAGATTCATTTTTGTTTCTCATTCATCTGTAACGAATTATAAAGGACCACATAGAGTAAATGTATGTTTTTTTTGTAAAAGTCTGAACTCTGCTTTGTGTATGGAGCATGGGAAAGACAATTTTTGTTTCACATTTTTTTACATAGTAATAGACTTGTTTGGCCTGACTAATAAAACGTTTCCCTGGGATTCGAGCCCAGGGTCGCAATCCAAGGTATTGATTTTTATATGATAGAGGAGCAAGAATAGGGTTCACATGATGAAGATGAAATGCCCCAGCCATATAACATCTAAACAAGATGAAAATTGTGTAACTACAAATAATTTATAAAATAAATTAAAAAATTTTCATGGGCAGGATTGAACATTCATTTCGTTTTGCTCTACCAATTATACCAGTCTCAGTTTATTTTCGATTTTTAAATTATATATCTTATTGAATAAATTGAAAAATATTAATGTTTTCTAACTACAAACTGCCTAACACCCTTTCACAACCCAGATTTAGATCAAATTGTAGGTAAATGCACTTACTATCGGCCTCTGTGTATTCGCTACACGTATCTTGATTGTCTTGTAAACACAGTCTTAGGCGAACTCTAGGGTTTAATTGGTCTAATGGGGGGACCGATGAGCCTCTGCCGCGTGAAGTGGGCGGGTCCAAAGTAGTTTCTTGTATTGTTGAACTGATACCCGATAGACGAAGGGGCATCGTGTCGACGACCTGTGACAAAAAATTACCTTTAATCTACGTTTTTCAACACCTTGTAAATTCGGACAACTTGTCATTATATTCCTACTTAATTAATTCACCTGTCCAATGAATATACGAAATTAATTTCGGGTGAGGTCGTTTGGTTTCGTCCTGTCAATTTCTCCAATAAACTACTTGCTGTGAATTTATTTTTTCACATGGTATCGGAGGCATTATACTTTTTCATATATGTATAAGGTAGATAACGGAACTATTTGGTTACTTTTGCTATTGAATGAAGCTAAATAAAATAGGTGTCATTAGTAAATTATCAATTAATTTTGAAAGCGTTAAATAATAGTCGTGGTTTAATATCATAACTACAGCCTTCAGGCAATTAATTTCTTAGGTACTTGATGTATAGTATGGATTTTGTAATTCTGTAAAGGTGAAGGGTTTTAACCTGTAAAGGCTTTTAAACTGTTTAAGCAGAAACGAATCTCGTTCTATAAAATTTTGTTGAATGTGAGTAGACTACTAATATATAACTTATGATTTAATTTTTGATATAACTATTAAAAACTTATGTGAAAAAATAATATTTCTAACTTTTTGTGTAATAAATGTGTGATGAATGTCATGTAAATAAAAATGTCTCTAATAGAATATGAAGACTACTATATGGAGGTCAGACTTTGAATCATAATATTTGAATAAAATCAATTTTTGCAAGGTGTATAATACTTCGGTCAACCCCTTCGTTAGGGTCGAAGAATGAGTAAAGAGAAAAGATAACAAGGGGATAAAATTCCACAATTTACGAGCTGTTGCGATAGGAAAATATCATGGCACATGTTCAACGGCTTTTAACTGATATTCTTGTTGCAATATAATGACTACGAACTGTTCGGTAACGTCAAATCTACAGCCACTATTTTTGTGTTTACCGACATGGTACAAAATTTCAAAATGCATATTCTTAGAATTTTTCTCATTTCCTCACCTGCCAACCACCGACAGCACCAAGACCCTCCACAACTCCCACGAGGGGTAGACAAGTAGCTGCCACGCTGTACGACACCGATCTGGTGCTGGGATCGAACGTCACTTGTTCCGGTGGGGGAATAGTATCGACCTTCGATGTAACGGCAATCTCGTTGGAATAATTACTTTGTCCCTTAGTGTTGACAGCTTTCACCTGGAAACGATTTTACGTTAAATAATATAAAAAGTATTGTATACATTGATTGAGCACGATTTTTGCAGAATTTTAAGGGAACCGGTAAGGAAATATCGAACGGAAATAAACACAAAACAAGATATACATATATTAGTGCGCTGTTATTAATAACAGTTCTTAAGAATAGTGTGAAAAAAATACCCAAATTTACAAAATATATTTTAGGATGTCAAAAAGGTGTCAAATATTAGGACAAAGAAATCGATAAGTCGCTAGAATTATGGAAATGGTAGGTAAATCTTTACTCTACTAGAAGTCCCTGGTGTTTTTTTTTAATGAAAGAGGAGGACAGAGGCCAGAGGTTCACTTGATGGTAGGTGAAATGTCCCATACAACACCTGGACAAGATGTGCTGTGACCTATTTTGGCTTTGGATATTCGGATCTACAGCGGATATGTAATTTACTCTATAAATAAAAGTAAATTAGCAAAACATTTACAATATCTTATATATGTTATAGTTAAACGACTTTACTTAATATTTTGTAACAAGAATAATTATTATAGAGAATAATGGCTGCAAAAACCGTACTTAAGGTTAAAAGGCTCAAAGCATGGCGAAAGTATTAAGTGACCAAAGCGAATGCAGAAATCGTAAACGAAAGTGGATTTAGTTAATAATTTCAACGGCATTTACCTTGAATGCAAATGTCAGATGCTGGCGGTAGCAAAAACAATGAGAGAATCATATTAGCGGATGTCTACGTGAATCAAAATTTTAATACACCTAGCTTAAAGTGAAGAACCGTTTCCCCTAACGGGTATAATGCGATCGCGTTTCTGTGACCTGCCCGACCGAAATAAAATTATCTTTTCCCCGAAAATTGTATCCAAGACCTCAGCCTACAAGCACTTGAGGTTTTGGATATATATATATGGGCTGAGCATCGTGTATAACTATAGAATTTCGGAGGCGGTATAATATACCTAGCTTATATAAATAAAAATGCACTTTCAACGTTACAAGAGTATAAGGCCAGATAATAAAATAATTGAAAAGCCAAAAAAGAACCTAGCGCATTCCTTACATTCATTAATTCATTTTGTGATTAGTTTCGGCTGAAACTTTTTAAACTTAACGTGTTTTATTCCGCGAGTACCGTTTACTTGTCTTTGTGCATTTAATTACTTGGTTGCTTTTTACTCGTGCACAACAAGTTTTTTAACTCTTTCATTTACCTCAACAGAACTTCAATATCATATTTTTGAATTCGAAATTATCATGCTTATTCACAACGTTTTTGCAAAGCGTTATAACACTGTAGCCCGTTTTATACCATTTGTTGATATCTCTAAGTAATTATGTATTCATAGACCTTAAAATGAATATTATAACTTACCTTAAAGTGATAGGTATTATGTTGGTCTAATCTAGTAACATTACAAGGATTAGATCTGCGGCAGTCATATTCTTTCCAGTCGTACTCGTCTGTTCTTTCGGAAGCGCAGTGTTCTCCCGCGGCTGGGTTTTTCAGTCTTCGGTATAGAACAAAATATTTCGTATTCGACAATCCTCCGTCGAATCCTGCTTCCCATTTTAAAGTTACGAATGTGGGGCCCACCTTTTGGCTGGCCAGGGAACGGGGGGATTCTGGGGCGCCCTTTGGTTGTAATCTGATCTGAGGACGTATACTGCCTAGGGAGTTCTTCACCTTACAGTAATAATCGCCATAATCTGGCCCTTTGACGTTTCGTATAAGCAGAATACTTAAATAGGAGTCGTTATTGTCCGTTGTGGTTGTAATTTCGTAATGTCCGTCTGAGGACATTTGCAGTGGCGCGGTGTTTGAGCCGTAAAACCACTGAAATTCCGGCTTCGGATAAGCCTGGACTCTGCACGAGATTTCGGCGTTTTCCATCACGTCGTACGCGACTTTGTTTTGTTGCCGAATCGAAATCGGTTCATCTGGAAAAAGAACTTGATTACTGTAACAATGTCACCGTGAACAAAAACTATAGAAAGTGAAACTTTACGAAACTTTCTCCTTTGTTAACACAAATTATTATTTTGCTGACCGTAGCAAAGACCGAAAATTAAAACTAAAAACTTGAATACGAACTTTTATAAGAACAAAATTACTAATTACTTACGTTCAATGCGTAACTGCATAGTGGATTCTACTTTCTTCACTTCATTCTCGAAGGAACAAGAATACACTCCCCTGTCGTCGGGAAGTAAATCGTCACCGTTAGGTCTAGCTCGACCTTTGAATCTAAGCATGCTCTGAATGTTGAATACAGCATTGCGGCTTTCATTAATCTCTGTTTTCACTTCATACATATTAGCGTCAGCCTTTATTTCAGAATTGTCCTTATACCATTTGACGTGAGGCAGGGGCTTTCCTAGTGCAACACATGTTAAAGAAAAGTTCCTCTCCCCCGAATTCTTGATCATATGCGGTTGAAGTTTCGACTGGAACCGTGGAGGTTGGTACACTTCAAGGTTCACTGAAGCTATTTCACCGTGCCCTAATTCGTTAGTGGCCTGACAGTGATAAACTCCTTCGCTGCCAAGGTGTGCACTGGGTATTGTGTATTTGTGACCGGTCGCGAGAACGTTTGGTTTGACGTCCCCAACATCGATATCTCTGAACCACCTGTATTGTGGAGAAGGCCACCCCGGTGGTTTAGCGCTGCAAGTTAGTGTGACTCCCGCACCTTCTTGAGCAACGGGTCGATCGGGGCTAATAAAAGCTCTACCCGGCTTATGTCTCACCAATACAGCAACCGAAGCACTACTAGCCCGTTCCATACGGTTCCCTGTCGACGATGTTATAACATTTATTGCTTTGCAAATATATGTCCCCGCCATTTCCGCGTTCACTCTCGTTAGAACAAGTGTGTTTCCCTTTTGCCGGAAGTCGGGTTTTCCCTCTTTAGTCCATTCGATAGATATTGGTTCCGGGTTCGCCGACACCTCGCAGCGTATTTCAACAGTGCCTCCCTCTTCGGCATCATACGTTTTTGAGTCTACTGTAACACTAGGGGGGTATAGAACGTCTAAATAGATATCTTTTTCTCCAGGATGATCTAGACCATTGTCAGCACTACAAGTATATTTCCCTGCGTCCTGTACAGTTACGCCTTGTATAGTGTGTATGAAGGAATTCGAAATATATTTGCCATTTCGAGTCCACCGTACGCTGCTTACTTTAGGTTTTGCGTCAACTTTACATTCCATCGTGGCTGTGCCGTCAATTTCAACGTGCAACGGATTTTCCGGGCCAATTTCGATTCGGGGAAAATCTGAAACAAATTTTTCCTTTTAATTTTCACGAATAAGCACACAGTACTTCCGGTTTCAATTCAAAATAGGCTTAGATTAAACATGGATTAACATTACTACGATTCAATCATATTGATACACACATAATTAGCTTTAATTTACTAACTGGGAATACAGTCGTAAAAGAAAAGTCACCTTTTGTCTAGAGTGACTAATTTCTTATTTAATTCGAATGTAAATTGTAGTTATTCAATATGCATACAGTGTACAGAAAACAAACTTTTTGCTATTTTCATCCCTTTTCAATATTCTATGTATCCACTGTATAAACAAACAAAATATGTAAGACTATGTAGCAATAAACCATTCGTTTAACATATTCATTCGCCTGGAATATACATAAACATTTGTTTGTGTGCCTCCATATGAACAAGCAAGGAGAATCGATATCAAACAAATCGGGGCAGTTTATAGGAAACGGATGTATGTACGTTCTACTTATGAGCAGATCAGAGTAACGAATGTTTACAGAGCACGTCCAAATTAGAACATACATGGTGCACGGCGAATACTTTTTATTTAGGTTGAATTAAAAATGTTGGCATCTGGCAGGGGTTTTAAGTAAACTAACAGGGAAGTATTGTGCAAATGATAAATATTTACATTTTATATAGCACGGCGGAAATTAAATATATATGAAGTATATCTTCATAATGTGCATTGGAAACGTGGTACAGCGTGGTAATATTAAAAATAAAAACATAATATTCGTACGTTCTTTTTCCAGGAGATTACTTTGTAGAGTTATGCGGGACAAGGAAAACAGCAAAATAAATATAAAAGAACAACGTTACTTTAACGTCAGAAAAAATAAAGCTCCTGTAAGACCTCGGGCGAAGTATGAATATCGAAGAATCGCAAATGCTTCGCCGTGCATTTCCACAGTTCACGAACGATAGAATTGGCTCGAATTTATCAAGGGACTGGTCTTAAAAATTAACTCCACTCAATTTATTATCGAAACAGGTGTTCCAAAACAAGCTTCTTATAACTGTTGCATCCCAGGTGATAAATAGTTCCATTTACTCAAGATGCGGTTATCGTTTTCGAATTTTGTACTGTTATTTATTAGTAAAAGAGACCGTGACGTTACAAAGGTTCTGGAGTCTAATCACGGGCAAAACACTACGCATTGAAGAAAGATACAAGAAGAATTGAATTGCCTTTAAATAAAGTCAATCATTTGAACAGGTCCTCGGGGGAACGACGAAGTTTTTATTTCATTACTGCGAAGGCACATCTTGCATTAGTATGTAAAAGGTAACGTATGATTGTGTATCTTTAGCTCGGAGTCAAGACGCGGCCTGGTTTAATTGCTCCCGGCCCCGCTTAAGGAGTCTGCCTACTTAAAACGCTTATATTTGCTTTCCTAGCGGAAAACGACTGAGACTGAAAACAACTCTTTTCATTCACTCTCAGTGTATAAAACGCGCGCTAATTTCGGATTCAGGACGTCCGCAAGCGTTTACATAATACACTGATTGTCAGTGTAAATTCGTCAAGAACATTGTTACATACAACAAAGGAACATGATAAAGTAAGGTCAATTGAAGGGCTCCAGGTACTTTCAGATTGGGGCCATTACCACAATGCTCCATTCGAGTAGAATATTTAAGTGAATTCCTCTACTGATCGGCAATGTCTGATAAAAGACTCGCCTCTTGTGGACGGCTAGTGAATTTTTAAATTCGATCCGGACGATTTATATGAAAGTAGAAAATGATCGCCATTTAATTATGAAATTTCTTATGTCGAAGTCTTGTTTATACAAAAGATATTATACATAATATATAATTATGGATAATCTCATTACCGAAAGTTATTGGATATTGGTTTAAAACCAAATCGTTAAAATCGTTAGGTTTCAATAATTAAGTTCCATAATTAGGAGGGACAGGCCGGTCTAGCTTTGGATTATACTGAATAATGTAGCGTTGCACTCAAAATTCTGCATCAATTACCGATTAAATTAGTGTAATTCTCAGAGGATGTTAAATAACTCCAACTCGTACAATACAATACAATAGCGTAAAACGAAAATTGATTCTCTTTCATTTCATTTAAAATATAAAAAAAATACTTTATATTAATTTCTTATATAGTAATCCTTTGTAAATTGTATTAGATTCGTTCTTCGTTGTATAGAATTTTCCATATACATATTGGACCTGGATTGGAGGAAATCTATTGGCTTATCACAGATTAATAAATTGAACAATTAATTCTGGATTAATGCCAGCAATGAGGCAATTGTCAGGTATTGATTAGCGTAATTGAATAGACATAAATAATTATTATTAAACCTGTTATCCCTATATATAATAGAAGTATATTAATATAAAAAAGAAGCTTTACTTCTTTTTAATTCTCGTATTGTACCTATTTAACGTATAATTACCTTAGATAGGTACAATACGTGAGTATTCAATATTACCCATGTTCTTAATTCGTTCGTTTATATTTGTAAAGGTCTGTAATAAAAAATAAACAGATCTCTGTTGATGAAATAAAACATAATAAGTTCATGTAACGTTGGCTGAAACTTGGTTGGTTGTGAATACAGCGTATATGTTTGTTTTTAATTTTAATTATTATAATATAAAGAATATGCGGTTTTTAAAATGGCGTTTATCGGTGTAGTAAAACAAAATAAAAATAACATATACTTACAGTTAACACTTAACTCGACATTGGAGTCCAGTCTCTGCCCATCTGGCATAGCTCGATTCCACACGACACATCGGAAGGTTGCTCCATCATCTTCTCTATTTGGTACGAGGGTCAGGGTGGCCAAAGATGGCTCCGACCTCGTCCTACCATGCACTATGCTCGCCTCCATGGGATACGTAGAACCATCCCGATACCATCTAAATTATTATAACGATTAAGTTAAGGAAAATTGTACTGAATTTTTGATATACTCAGTAAATTTCAGAGAACCCTTATCTTTTCAAGCTCGATTACCTTTCTTATCAATGATCATTAGCAACACCATGAAATCGATGGTATCGTTTACTAAGTCGAAAACTTATAGGTAAAGATCGAACAATAAGTTTTACATAAAGACTATTAGTTAATTCGTTTAATTCAATTATTCAATTAGCAAAAAGTTGTGCATTAAATCTAACTTATAAATTAAAAATCAATTATATATTGCAAAAATTACGAGAGGGGCAGGATTTGAACCAGCATCCACAGCGTTCCGGGCTGTTGCTCTAACAGAATTGTCCTGTTTTAATGAATTTTTAATGTATATAGTGCCATCATGTAATATAAAAGTTTTCAAATTTAATGATACTAATGCTATGTTGTGCTACATATCAATCTTAAATTAAAAAAAAAACATTCTTCATTTGAAATTTCTTAACAAGTGAATATTCTAGCAAGTGTCAATCTGTTAGACCAAACTTAAAGCTTTACACTTCAATGCTTACTTTATATCGGGGCTAGGCGAACCACCTGTCGACGAGCAAGTGAGATTGAGTTCTCGACCTTCTTGCGCCTGGGCATGAGTGCCCGGGCTCAAAAGGGGTGGCTGCGGCTGAGTAAGCACCACCAAGTTGTGTCCCTGAGAGTGCAACGTCCGCCCGGACCCACCTGCCTTAATGCGACACTCAAATCTACCGTTGTCACGCTCGTAAGACACGTTTGAGACCATAAGGTCATAACGTCCCTCCGATGTCGCATAGATGACTCTGTAACAAATATTGTCTTGATAATGACGGACAGTAACCGTTTAAAATGCGATATAATTATATTAGTTAACTTGTTTGAAAATTATTCTGTCTCCTCGTGACCACGGCTGCTGCAAAGCATCCGAAGCATCCGGGTCGTCGTAAAAATGATTTTTCGCTGATAATCGCGCTTTAAACCGATAATTTTGTTGAATGTGTACTATTGGCTTAAACTAGAGACAGTATTTAATAACGGATGTGTTGACTATAATTTATATTTCACGTCTTATGTAAGCTGGTTAAAATGCACTTTGCACTTATCAGATAACAGTTACAAAGAACAACGGTAACGTAACAACGTACAATAACACGTAAATTTCACACACATTAATTTCAAACAATACCCACATCTAAATTTTTATTTCTTAATAAAGCTAACGATTAAAATCGCGACGTTTTTATGTTTTGTTTAAAGATATTACTTTTTGCCGTTAAATCCACTTATTGTATTATTCTCCCAACCAATACGTATAAGTGATATTTTAAGTAGATGCACGTTTCGTATCGAATATATTGAAAGCTTGCCAGGAATTGCATACGTTTTTAACTTAATATTATACTGGAAACTTAAATCTCGTTGTATTTTAAAAACTTGAAATATATACCATAAGGAAAGAGTTACTGGTATTTTTCAACCGGGTCACCCTATCTGCTTTCCTTTCATGAAACGATGCTAAAGCCCTAACATTCTCAAAGAAAATTGTATAAAGCCTCGCGCAAAGCACACAACGACCGCGTGGTAAACTCAGATTGCATTATTAATATTATCAAACAATTCGAGCCCATAATTCATTTGAGAAGGAAAATATACATATTTGATGACAGAAGGACTTTAAAACTTTGTGTGGTTTTGGAAATTTGAAAATGGAGACTGGAACGATTTTATGAAAATTGTGTTAATAACAAAAAAAATGTAATGTAACTTATACATGGGCCACAGCGTAAGGTTTTGTTACAATACTTCAAAAACCATTTTTAAAAAGCCATCATAGGAAATATAAGTAAACTCTGTCCGTCTGTTACAAATAAACCTATACTAAAATAATTTTATGAGTTTGTTTATTTGAACAATCGAATGTCAGGAACTACTGGGTCGTATACACTATAAACCTTTCAAGATTAATTTGCAAGAAGGACGGGACACGGAGGACGTCGTGGGTAAGAGCTATAATTTATAAATATGAGGAGGAGGGTTGTAAAAGAAAATATTAATGAATTTACATTTTAATATTAGATACACTCTACATCTTCAGCGTCGCCGTGACCACGGCTGTTGCACAGCAACCGAAAACGTCCGGCCGTAGTTTAAATAATTTGTAAATTACTTCAATTAATATATTTCGCGTTTTCAACCGTTAACTACAGTTAACGTACACTACAGACAGTATTTAACCTACTTGTAATTAGTTTCCAGTGGAATATTTCCTATGGCGACGTTGTCGTGTCCACTCGCCGTGCTGCGCACCCAGTAGTAGGTCGGCGAGTCCCCAGGGCTCACCTCACCACCGAACCTGCATTGCATAGTAACGTCGTCTCCTTCGCGCGCATCGTGTTGCTCGTCTTCAGTGCGTATCACTTGAATTGCTAGAACAAAATAAATGCTTATTAGTATTTTATCAAAATAAAACTATGTATAACATTTAAACACTGATAATACAATCGACGACAAGACATTAATGAAAAATCTGTCTATACTATTCTAAAAAAAAACTGGGAAAAAATATTCATCTTCGTAGCTTTCCGGTGCGCTGTGAAAACAGATACCCAAAAAATATGTATGAAATTTGAAATTATTTAAAAGAATGTCCGCCACACTGTATGTCTGTATTTTAAGATTAACTTGTAAGAACGACGAGATGCGTCCGACGACGAGGGCAACAGCCTAAGTTTAAAAGTCGGACGAAGTCGCTGACACAGCTAGTTAATTACAAATAGAACGGGCTCGTTGGTTCTATGGTAGCTATTTATGACTAATGGTAGCAATATCGAAATTCTCTCCTCGAACCACTGTCCACAGATTATAAGTCCGTTAAGAGTTTCCGTTTCAATCTGTGGATTTTCCAAAGCCAACATTGGTTGACAGCGCGTCTTGTTTAGATGTTTTGTGGTTGGATTATTTTATCTTTCATAACTGAACCACACCTGTCGGTCCTATGTCATAAAGAACTTTTTATGTTGTTCAACGCAAACTTCAATACTATCAATTATAATATTTGATCATTTATGAGCATCTAACCCAGTTTATTTTACGGATAAACTGCAGTAACTGTATTATGCATATTTTAATATAAAGCTGTAAACTCGCAGTTTTCAAGAATTATAAACCGAGGCAATTAAGTACGCCAATTATATTGAATTTAAATAATATTTTATACGCAAAACTAAGTACTCTGTTTTTTTTAGAGTTCAGTAATATAATGTAAAGTTTATCATTGATATTAATATTGTAAATGCCCCTCATTATCTATCAAAGCAATTTATTTTGGGTATAAGATTGTTGAATCGTAAATAGTAAGAATAACTATGTTTGGTCCCGAGATCAGAACATATTCTCTAGTCAACTCCCTCGAGAATAAACATGCACACTTCACACACAATTTCTTTTTCTCGTGTATTATTAGTTTATATTAAGAGGTAGATTTCCAAGGAACCGTTTCTTTAAGTGTGGGTTATATCCTGCTCATCCACGTAATGATACCATGACACAATAATTATGAGCGCTGATTAGCGTCAAAATCGATTTGACCGTTAGTTTTGGATTTTAAAAAATGCCCAAGAAAAGGAAACGCACGGGGCTGAGGAGCGGCGGACGCGGTCAATGACACGGGTCGCGTGCGCATGAGTCGAGCTTGTCCGCTAAGCTCTACCTTAACCTACAAGCACAGTAGCTACTAACGAACATTTTAGAAAGTCTTTTATCGTCAAGCTATAACAGAGGTGATATTAAATTCTTAATATAACTGTTGTCAACATATCTTACGTAGAGAACTAAAGCCAATATAATTATATTAAAAATGAACAAGGCATTGTTCGAACTTTTCCGTACGAATTCCGCACGGCACGTCGAATTCATGGCAGGAGTTTTTCTGTGTCTGTTTTAATTATCGATTTTTACTAATCATCATCTAGACTAATTAATTAGAAATGCTGATTCGTATGAAGAAATTTATTGTTTACTGCTCCGAAAGAAAACTAACTGTTGCTTTTCGAAATTGTAAACCGGTTTAGTAAACGTGATATTAAATATCAAGCTGCAGAAGTATAACACCGATAAGGCCACCCTGTGGTTAATAGATGTCTTATCTTGTGGTGTGCCTTCTAGTTAAAGCATTTTAGATCACATGTACTCGTATACATACGTAGGTATAAACTACTGACACCAAAACTTAGTATCAATTGTTATTAAAGTTATATATACCTATATAATTGATATATACAATATATTATATTCCATTGTTCCGATTATTACTTTATGAATGAAGTTATTATACATAAAATCGATATTTGGATGGATTAAAAAATACTACTCGAGTCCCGCCGTTGGAACAATTATAGGGCTGGGGATTATGAATAAATAACATAGCACAGTAACGGTCGCTTACATAAACGTTAACGATGCATTACGACATAATTGTCGACCTATTAACGTTTTTATTGCTTCTCTGATTTGAATTTGTTAGTATACGGCGGTTATGATTGAAATAAGCTGCCACTGCCAGACACCGGAATTCTGTCAAACCACGCAGATGGGCATACGTTGTGCTATATTCGAATAGTTTAATATTTAGTTTTGAATTGAAAACGTTTATAACATGAGCGAGACTCAAACCACGGCGTTGCAAACCGCAGTTAAAAGTAATTTCATATGAAATTGTATCTCATGCTAGACTACATACTCAATGCGTTAGTTGGAAGGTTGAAATACCATGGTGCCTGAAAGGTGAAATTACATGTGTATAAAAGGATGGACATAATTTGAAAATCGCAGACTTGTGTTCGCGAATTCAAATCCCACTCGTGTCTTGAAACTTTCGAATGTATAAAAAATCTCATAAGTGTACATAGCTGCCGACGTATATATAACACGTCAAAACGTTGATTCAAGAAAAGTCTTAAATGGGAATACTTAAGTCTTAACAACATACTATATTCTTTATATCCTCCGCTGAGTACTATTTTTCCCATTATATACTCGGTGTGAATAATATAGTCTATGGCACGTTAAAGAATCTAACGTTGTAAAGGCTTTGTTTCGAGCCTGGTTAGCCCCATACAGTCACTGAAGACACACGTGTTACGCATTGATAATAAGAACAAGAGGCGATTGTGTTAAGTGTTATGCGGTGGTGGGAAGGAGACAAGTATACGATGGTAACAAGAGAGCGTGGGAGCATGCGGGCGCCACAATGTGTCGGATTGCAGCTTGCCAGTTGCGGCTAACGTCGACCATGGCAGACCTTGATACACACATGTACTAGGAATATACAATTGGCTAAAGGCTTAAAGGAAACCTTTTTTTAAGATCCGTTTCAATTTCTCTCTGATACGAACGATGAAGCGTTGGAGCTTTTTCTGGCGGCGGTAGTAACGGACACAGTGTAGTGGGAAAATGAACTGAATGATACTTGATAGGTGTCCTAGAAATCAACTTATATGTCGTATACAGTTGCACGAACACAATTTTGTCTCCAGAGCAGAGAACTGCAAAATCATTTAATGGAACAACGTTATGGGATAATTAGAAATAAAATATAAAAGTCAGCTACACTAACGCGTTACGTCACAAAGAGAGTCACCAATTTTCCCAAAATCTGTATACATACAATATGATACAGGCGGTGTAATAAAAAAGCAAGCAAGCAATTCCCGATTACCATAAGGATTACAAAGTTGAATTTTCCACGCTATGAATTTACTTTTTTTTCTACCTATGAAATGTTAAGTTATACTGTGTTTGTAAGTAATTGTGATAAAACGTCGACTATCGTTAATCAAGTAAATAAATAAATATAAAAATGTAACCAGAAATAAAGCAGGCCAGCAATAATTAATTTTTAATATCTGACATTTATGAGAATAAATGTTTTAATGAAAAATTAAAGGGCTTCTAAGTTCTTCAGTTTCTCATCGTTTCCACAGTTGCGATTTGAAAATCTCTCGAGGGCTGCAACGCTGTCTGCTGTTAATTACCAAGCAGTCCAATTATTGCGAATTTTTGTTTCCACGAAATGCCGTTACCATGCCGTAGAGAAACACCGAAGGGCATAGTGCAACAGTTCTTTTTAGCTTTCCAACGATAAAGGCTATTTATAGTAAACTTAACCCGTTTTATAGGTTAAAAGGATATCGTGTTTCAAAGCATCATATGTATGCAAAATTGGCTTTTATAATTCCATACAAAGTTAAGAACTGGGATCTTCACTTCCAGTCAAGTTCTTGTTTCTAAGTTCTAAGATCTTGATAACTGATATCTTGATAAGTTTCAAGCTATCTTGTATATATTGCAGCTCTTAGTCTAAGAGCTACTTTAGCTTTCGTAACTTACCAATTATGCATAATCGCAATACAGACGATTCTAGGAAATCTTTTATATTATACTTATAAGTTAAATACGGCATGCTTTGACGACATTTTTAATATTTTTATACTACTAGATGAACAAGGATTCTGAATCGGTAATCTAAATGTTGCCACGAGAGTCTGAGATTCTACAAAAATTATTAAAAAGTGAAATCCCGTTCCTGGGTTATCTGGCCATTACAGGCAAGTAGTGGATCAAACTACAGTGCCATGCCTGACCTTAACTGAAACAATCTATTATTTCCCCGGAATTCGAACACGGGACCTCTGGCGCTCAGCGAAGTAATAGACAACCCGTTAGTTATTTAGTAGGCGAGGCTATTCCAGTTATGTATACGAATCAATTGGCCACCAATCTGCACTGGAACAGTGTGGTGGGTCTAAGCTAGTTTCCTAAGAGAAACGTGTGTCATATGTTAATAATCAGAATACTGCATCACGTAATATAATTATGGCTAATAATGACCAAGCCCTCGAAGCATGACCTAGCTATTTGACAGTAATTGGATAAAGATTATGTATGACCTGAAGTAACGGCATTAAAATAGACGCGTACGGTTTTATACTAAACTCGGATTCCATACTTGCACGGCATTTCTAAAACTACTCAGCACACATGATGCTGGAAGATAAAAGTCGGATAGTAAATACAACATTGTCTTCTCATAAGACTATAGAGTTATCACTAATGTAATGTACATTGCTACCGAATAAAAATAAGTAAGTCTGAATCCAGCAGAACTTTCACCAATGGACATTTCTTATTAAAAACACGACGTTAAAGCTGCTTGTGTCGAGAAAACGGTTGTAAAAGTTTTAATAGTTAAAATCTTTTGGATGAACACGTTCAACTGCTAACTCTGATTACCTCAGTATAGCTGATTCAGAATGATAAAAAAGTCTTCGTGCAATGTAGTTCGTTGGAATGTTCGTAATGAGGTCAGCTGCTAGTGTTTGAACTTTGTAGTGTATATTAATTAATTAGAACTCCTAGTAACGGTATG